CAGTTGGGTCAGGTTTCAGCGTTCTCTCCTTCACTTCAGGGGGGTGCGTCTATGGGCGGTGTCTCCCCTCAGATCAATGCTTTCCAATTCCCCCAAATTGCCCAGCAACAGCTTGGCGTTCCGATGAACAGCCCCGGTCAGCACTCGCATCGCCGCAACCAGTCCGCCCTCCCTGGCTTGGGCATGGGACCCCCTCCAGCTCCGTCCTCCGGGGCTTCAGGGTATTCTGATTACAACCAGCAGCAGGGCAACCAGCCGAAGAACGACAATGGAGGTCACGGTCGTGGTCGAGGGGGCCCCCCGGGTGGCGGCCACCAGCGACGTCACTCGCTTGCCTTGCCTGAAGCTAAAAAGGCCGCAGAACTCGCTCAGCAGAAACGAACAGCGTCTGGGTTCCAGTTCCCTGCCCCCGGTGCGGGAGCCGAATCATCCGACAATGCAGCAGGTTCGGACGACAAGTCCACTGCTTCTCCGGCACCGGGCCCCCAGGGCCTGGGCATTCACCGGGCCGGTAACATTCGAACTGGCGGTCATGGTCGGAGCCAATCTATGGCTGTGGGCAGCAATCGAGGCTCGCTTTCTGGCCGCGGTGCTGGTGGATTTCAATTTCCTCCATCGAACGAGTCAGAAAACCCACGCCGTGGAAGCGGTCATGCCCGTACTTCATCTAGGAACTTCGATGGCAACTGGCGCCAACCAAACAATCAGAATCAGGGTCAGGATCAGCAGAAGAGTTTCGGACAACAGGGCGGTGGCTTCCAACCTGGCCACCGTGCACGTGCATCGATGAATCAGTCCATCGGCTCTATTGGTTCGTTCCAGTATCCTGGACAGCCACAGCTCATCCAGTTACCTCAGGGACAGGTCGTGATGGCCCCGCCGCAGATGTTTGGTGGCGGTCAGCAGCTGAACCCGTTGCAGCTTGCACAGCTTCAGGCTCTTCAGCAAAATGGCCAGCTTAACGGCCAAGGACTTGGTCTTCAGGCTAGCCAGCACGCCCCTCCTCAGTTGTCTGCTCAGCAGCAGCAACAGCAGCAACAACAACAGCGGAAGACATTGTTCACCCCATACCTACCTCAGGCTAACCTGCCCGCTTTGTTGAGCAATGGCCAACTCGTGGCCGGTATCCTGCGGGTCAACAAGAAAAATCGTTCTGATGCGTATGTTACAAGTCCTGATTTGGATGCCGATATCTTCATCTGTGGCAGCAAAGACAGAAACCGTGCGCTTGAAGGGGACTACGTAGCCGTTGAACTCCTGGATGTGGATGAGGTCTGGTCGCAGAAGAGAGAAAAAGAAGAGAAGAAGAAGCGCAAAGACATTACAGACGCTAGGGCTGGTAGCAACGCTGGCACTGATAAACTCTCCCGTTCTGATTCTGGCGCAAATGGAGACCGCCAGGAGGTCGGTCCTGATGGCAGCATTCGTCGCCGTGGTAGTCTCCGTCAACGCCCAACGCAAAAGAAGAATGATGATGTCGAAGTGGAGGGCCAAAGTCTACTCTTGGTCGAGGAAGACGAGATCAGCGATGAACAGAAGCCACTCTTCGCGGGCCATGTTGTTGCTGTCATTGAACGCATCGCCGGACAGATGTTTTCGGGCACCCTCGGACTCCTCCGTCCCAGTAGCCAGGCGACGAAGGAGAAACAAGAGGCTGAACGGCTGGCCAGAGATGGCCCCCACGGCCGTTCCCAACATGAGCGTCAGCAGGATAAGCCGAAGATTGTCTGGTTTAAGCCAACGGATAAGCGTGTTCCCTTGATTGCCATCCCTACGGAACAGGCGCCCCGTGATTTCGTCGAGAAGCACCAGGACTACGCCAACCGTATCTTTGTTGCTTGCATTAAGCGGTGGCCTATCACGTCTTTGCATCCTTTCGGAACCCTTGTTGAGCAGTTGGGTGAAATGGGCGACCTGAAGGTAGAAACTGAGGCGCTCCTCCGTGACAACAACTTCGGATCTGATGAGTTCTCTGATGCTGTCCTCAAGAGCATTGGTTGGGAGGACTGGACCGTTTCTAGCCAGGGCGAGGCTCTCCTCGCTTCTCGCCGAGATTTCCGTCAGGAAACGACCTTTAGCGTCGTTCCTAGTGGAACTAAGGAGCTCGAGAATGCTTACCATTTCAAGCCTCTTGGAGACGGCAAAGTGGAAATTGGAATTCATGTCACCGACATTGCTCATTTCGTAAAAGGCAATTCTCTAGTTGACCGGGAGGCAAAGAAACGAGGCACTGCTGTCTATCTCGTCGATCGACTAGTCAACATGCTGCCGCGGCGCATCTCCACCGAGCTCTGCTCTTTGCTTCCCGGAGAGGACCGCCTCACAGTCAGTGTCGTGCTAAAGGCTAATCCAGAGACGGGCGCTATTGACGACGATGTTTGGATTGGCAAGGGCATTATCAAGAGTGCCGGCAGACTGAGCTACGAGGAGGTTGACGCCGTGGTTCAGGGAGCTGCGGATCTTTCTGTGCCTGAAATAAAGGCTGACACTCTTCGAGCACTATATGTAAGTATTTCTCTAATGCTCACCCGTCCGTCTGGCAGTTCCTTTTCTTGGCTAACAGTACTGTAGGCTGTTGCCTCTAGATTCCGCGAAGCGAGATTCGGCAACCGTGTCGCGCATATACCTCCTCTGCGACTGCTCCATCAGACAGATGATGAGAACGTCCCCGTTGAATACAATATCTTCAACTCCTCTCCTGTGCGGGACATCGTGGAGGAATTGAGTCACAAAGCAGACTTTTTCGTTGCTCGTAAATTGGTGGCTGCTTTGCCTGAAAAGGCATTCCTTCGTCGCCAGCCCTCGCCTAATGTGCGCCGTCTCCACTCGTTCATTGATCGGATGAACAGGCTTGGTTTTGGTTTGGACTCGACAAGCAGTGGTACCTTGCAGAGCAGTCTTTGCAAGGTTCAGGATGATGATTTGCGCAAGGTGGGTTCTCTTCGTACACCGATAAGGGGCAAATTCGTCTTCGGATTCTGTCTTGTCTTGATAACACAGCCTTACTAACGTCACCCAGGGCATGGAAACACTCTTGGTTAAGGCTATGCAGCGTGCCAAATACTACGTCGCCGGCAGCGTTCAAGACGAGCAGCGTTCTCACTACACTCTCAACCTGCCAGTTTACACTCATTTTACCAACCCAGCTCGCCGCTATGCGGATATCATTGTTCATCGCCAATTGGAAGCCATTCTATCTAACGGTGCTGTTGAGTTCTCTGACGATATTGAGGCCCTAAACAAGGCTGCGGACGTCTGCAACAACAAGAAGGACTCGGCACACAATGCTCAGGAGCAAAGTGTTCACATCGAAGCGTGCCGCAACATGGACAAGAAGAGACAGGAGATTGGCGGTGACCTCATTAGTGAGGGCATTGTCCTTTGCGTCTATGAGTCCGCTTTTGATGTTCTCATTCCCGAGTTTGGCTTTGAGAAGCGTGTCCACTGTGACCAATTGCCCTTGAAGAAGGCCGAGTTCCGCAAAGACTCCCGTGTCTTGGAGCTCTATTGGGAGAAGGGTGTCCCGTCCTCCGCATACATTCCTGAGGATGAACGTCCAAAGCCCGCCAACTCCCGGGCTGCTCAGGCTGCTGCTGCGGCGCGTGAGGCAGAAGCTGCGAGAGAGCGTGCTCGTGAGAGGGAGGAGGCTATGCGAAAGCAGACTGAGACCGGAACTATCTCCACCGACGTCGTGGATGCCCTGTTCGACGATGATGACGATGACGTCTCCGAGGTCACTGAGATGGCTGCAGGCGTTTCATTGAACTCATCTGCTGATCGCTCGACCCAGAGCATGCCGCCTTCCCCAACTCGCAATGGCCATCTTCAGCAGCCACCCCACAGAACCCGTTCTGATCCGAAGATTGCAACGCTCAGTGGCGATGCTCCTGAGGCGAAATTGACCAACAAGGAGAAGTACCTACAGCTCTTCAAGCTCAGGGAAGAGGACGGCGAGTATATCCAAGATGTCACTGAGATGACCCGGGTCCCCATCATCCTGAAGACCGATTTATCCAAGAGCCCTCCGTACGTGCTTCCTAGTTTGTCTCTGGTGTATGCATTTACTAACATAGGTCTTAGTTGCCTCACTATTCGTTCTGTGAACCCCTACGCTCTGTAGAAGCGCAAGACTCCACTCCGCGCCGTCACACACGTGTCCGCATGTTTACGAAAGCTGATCTTGGCCTGGTTGGCAGACCTATCACAACGGTCGTATATTGATACACATTGGCTGTTATACAGTACCATCGTATTTGCTACCGCCAGATGTCAAACGGTGGACTGTTGTGGATCCCTCCTCTTTCTTCTGGTAATATTGCTTTAATTCGTCTAGCGTGTTAGTTTGTTATCTCCATTATAATGGCTATGAGCCTCCCAAACTTGCAGGAAATGTTTCACTGCACCGGTTGTTGTGTGTCGTTTATATCAGTCACAACATTACTCCTTGGGGAAGTATACTATTCCTCGCGCGAGGAACCATTTCAAGAGCCAAAGACTCCCGATAGTCGGGATCAAGGGGTCGGATATTACGAGATAGGGGTCTCCATTATTATTAGTATGGATCGAATCATCGATCGTGAGGAGCCGAAAGGAAAATTTGACTATTCGTTTTAGATGTTTGTATAACTTATTGCTACACAAGCGGCATCGCATTTTAGTCTCTTCACTTCTCAATTGTCAGTTGAGGCGGAGAAAGTACTAAGTAGTAGTCATAGTAGCGTCCATAGCCAATAGCGCTCCTCACAACAGTTGTCTATTAAATATATCAATAGTGACGCCAGTACTGTAACCTCACGGCCGTAGTTATTATGTATCATGAACAACCCAAGGATTCCGGAACAGGTTCTCCAACGAATATGCAATATTCTAGAAAGACAGATGCAGCCAACAACGCTGACCCTTAAACCCAAACGCCAGGTCCAATCGTTTGCCTCACTGCGCCAAAAATCCAAACAAGTATGCCAAGAAAAAAAGGTACGACGTTCAGCGATGAATCCAAATCATAACCTGCGAATGCCTATACGTGGTTTCGTCTTTTTCATATTGGACCCTGATACTTTTCGCGTACCAGAGACTGCCTTTGGAGCTTTTGAACTAGACGGGGCGGAGGTAGAGAGCAGAGCGAGTGAAGTCGGAGGGCAAGTGGAAGGCGCCTTTCTGGAAGCAAGACCAAGCCCTTTGGGACTGGCCAGGGAGCCATGGTTCTCTTTGCCGTCCCCGCTATGACAGCGGTCCAATTCAAGCGGCTCTGGCACGTCCTCGAATATCTTGACTTCTTCCCGTATGCGTCCAGATGAGTTGACCCCTTTACTGCGGACGGACAGCTTCGGTGATTTTCTCTGTGGAGAAGGATCGCGTTCCGGGCTGCCACCATAATTGTTTGCTGCGATGTTCTTCTCAGATGCTGTCATGCCCTCCAGGTCACTATCGTCTGGATCCATCGCAAAGGGGTCTGTATCCAGAGGCAGCGTTAGGACGGATAAGGGACGTTTGCCAAGGGCATTTTTCCTGGGGCTCGGTGGAGCAAATTTGACCGGGGACGGCGATAGTGTTGGATCATTCTCTTTGCTGGCATTGGAGAGGTTTTCAGATTCGTCGTCTGAGATGATTGAATCGGCTTCATAGGGAATCTCTGATTGTTGCTCTTCGGCTCGGTTCTCTGTCTCCGGACTATTGGATTGCCGCTGTGATCGCGATGACGCCCGCTCTCCGTTCTTCCGGGTATTCTTCTTCTTCATCGTCACAGATTGAACTCTAGTGCCCTTCCTTGAGCGCAACAAGCGAGGTTCTTCTTGCTCCGGGATCGTCGTTCCGGCATCTTCTCCCTTGGTCTTCGCCTCCGCTGCTGCACTTTTCAAGTCCGTTGGCACCGGCGCATGAATGGATGTCATTAGTTTAGCCTGTCGCGCAAAAGCCTCGTAGTTCTCCTGAAGTAAAGCGCCGGCCGCAGAATTCAACGCAGAGTCCGGGTTCGGGTAAATAAGCAGGCATGAGATTGTCTGTACGCGCGCCGCAATTTATTAGCCCCTCTGTCCAATTATACCCCCTCACAGCGATGGTGCACACTCACAACTAGAACATCCTTCAATGTCAGAGTCGCCTTCCAATCCCGCTTCAATGTATCGACGCACACGGCGCCCGTCAACTCCTCCACATTGGGATGCCATATACGGGTTTTGAAAGTCGCCTTCGGCGGACTTTTAGGATAATCATCCGGCATCTTCAAGTGCACGCGCCACAAGCCTTGTGAATATGGTGTCCCCTGCGGGCCCGCCAGCAAGGTCGTAAGTTGAGTGAGGTCGTCGCTCGACGAGTCCTCCGAGGGGAAGAGATAGTTCGGGGGCAGGTCATCATGCAATGCGGCATGGTCCGCAGCGAGACGTTTCAAACTTGAAACCTGGTTGTTTTATGCATGATTAGATCCGAGGTGTTCTGCAGACAGACGAACTGTTTGGGATTGACACTAGTAACCCACCATTCTTTTTTTTTTTTTTTTTCTTCTTCTTCTTCTTTCTTTTATCCCTGAGTTCACAGACTCAAATTCCGCTGCAGTGTTTTGAGAACAGCTATCGTAACCAATTATACTCCCCCAATCAAATATAGACCAATGAAGGGATACCCTTGTATATAGGAAAAGGCTACCGGAGTAACCACACTTCCCCCCACGAAAAGAAAAAGAATGCTGAACTTGTTTAACAAATCGCGGCTATGGACCCAAACTTCGGTTGCCCCCAACAGCCCTTCTTTTGTTTTGATGATGTGAAGCTGATGGCACTAGACCCGATACGGGTCATTCCATGGCTCACAACCAAACGCGAATATCATGTGACTGACGCGTCGCTTGCGCGTTTTAGGAAGTGTTATTAGGTGCCTACTAAGTAGGCTCGCTTGGTTTCCTGATTTGGTTAGGGTGGTGGTGTGCACCTCTTCTATCTACTAGTATTATCGTCCCCTGGTCGTCTTTTGTTTGTACTGTATACTGACCTTGTACATGGAATGGGTACGAGTGGTTCGACTTGATGGACAAAGTGGGTTGACAAATTTCACTCTGTCATTGAGGTTTTTACTATCTGTATGGTCTTAATAGGGGGTTGGGAGCCCTGGCTGTTAAGAATGGGACCTGCGTCGGCACCTATCCGATGCAATGCTCGTTTGAAATCAAGTGATATTTCAAGTTGGCAGCTGTGATGTATGTATATATGTATGTATGTGGGGGTATGGGTGGGTGGGTGTCCATGTACATACATGCTTTATGATCTCTTGATTCCAGATACATCATGTTCAACACACGAACGTTGCGCTACAATTAGGGCTTTATTGGCATTTCTAATCAGGTAGGAATAACTAGCAGGTATAAATGGCATATGTCATAAGGTAAACACTGGTGATGTACTCCGTACATTGTGGGTTGCCCCTGAATAAAGGACGAGTGCCTTTGGGGGAAAAGATAAGGCAGTGTGAGAGTTGAGATCAAATGGCTTATTTAAGAGAATATTGCAAGTCGCTTCGTTGGAGTCGCTTTAGAGTCGGACACATCCTTGCCTCCTTTGACGAGATCGTCGTTCTAGAATAACATAGGTTAGTTATTAAGCTATCGACTCGGTGCGCTTCTTGTTAATCTGGTCCACTTGACGGGCCCACTTCCCCTTCCCAACATTGTTGTTTCTCCTATCTTGGGTGGTATCTTCGGCTTGGAGCGCTGACATACATCTACTATATATGTTTATTTTGATTGTCTTCTGGAAAGATGGCCGATTGTTGTTTAATTGAGATTATTAGATTGAATATCGCATCTGTGTCGGGACAGACTTATCAACAAAGTTTAGCACTACAGAGAGATCTACAGGTGACATGAAGCGTAGTACAGCAGAACCATTTGTCATAACGAATTTCCTCAGAACATGGAATTCCTATTTACCTGTAGCATAGCGTCATTATGGTATTATGATTAAACCTCGAAGAAAGACAAGTTTGATATGTGCGCGGCGAAAATTAAGCGTGTCTTGTGTAACAGCGGCGACTTAAAGTTAGACGAGAAAAGAAAGGAAATTGGAATAAAAGCCCTTCCCGGCAATGATACATATGGAGTATAGAAATGAACCTCAGTATCCGTATGCCTCATCTCTTATCGTTCCACCATCCTCGGTAGCTGGGACGGTTGGAGGGGGGAGGTCCATGGAGCACAAGTCCGCTTGTGGAGCACACTGATGCTTGAGAACGGAAGCGATATTGTCAATGGCCAAGCGTTGATTCGATCACGAGCTCTCCAGTTACAGGAGAGCAGCAATGGCAGCACCGGCAATGAGACCGAGAGGACCAGCAGTGGCCATGGGGACGGCAGCACCCTCAGAAGTGCTGGAGGCAGCGGAGGTAGACTTGGAGGAAGAGCCCTTGGTGCTGGTAGACTCATCGGTCGACTTGGTCTTGGTGGAGGTCTCGGTGGCAGTGGCAGTGGAGCTCTTTGCAGCGCTGCTCGACTTGGTAACGAGGGTAGAGGAACCAGCAGAGCTGGAGCCGCTCACAGCGCCGGAGGACTCAGCACCGCTGGCAGTGGGGGTCGTGGGGGCTTCGGTAGCCGTTCCAGAGGGAATCACGGGCTGAGAGGTGACGGTGGGAATGACAGTAGAGCCGGTCTCGGCGCCGCCAGTGGTAGTGGCAGTCGCACTGACACTGCCAGTCTCAGTAGCGCCGGTGGTCTCGACACCAGAGACATCCTCAGGCTAGAGCGAAATTCAAGTCAGCAAAGTGGAATGCTAAACAGCTGTGATGAGACAAATCAGGGTCTTACGGTAGCAGCGGAAGAAGACTGGGCAGCAGCCATAGCGGCGAAGGCAGCGAGGATGAAAGTAGCACGCATCTTGATGTTTGGAGTAGATCTGTTGATCAATTCGTTGGTAGTGAACCGGGTGGTGGAGATGATCAGACGATGGCAAGCGAGTGTAATTGTTGGAAGGAATAGGAAACGAGTGTATGGGTTCCTTTATATTACTCCGGGAAAGAAAAGGGTCAAACAAAGAGTGACAGGGCGCAGGGGGGTCTTTAAATAGACAAGAAGGACGGGGTAATAAATAATAGGAAGGATAATAATTATAATCCAAATTAAGAAAGAAGGAAGGAAGAAAACGGACTATCCATGAACACTAATAATAGGTAAGTCAATCGGATGGGTTTTTTTAAATAAAAAAAAAAAATGGAAAAGAAAAGAAAAAGCATAAAAAGAAAAAAGAAATAATAATAATACTGGACAGTCACCACATGTGAATACTTGACTCCAAACTAAGGATCTATTAGGTGTCAAATCGCCCTCCCCGTCAGCCCTGTCTGCATTTTTTAGTGGCAATCGTATCTGTATCTCGGGATCCACTTGTTCGAAAGAAGGGTAGGCCGAAAAGGTACAGTGCTGAGCCCAGAGAAAGTCTCAATTCAAGCATCATTCCCGAGCAGTCTCCTAGTTGAGAGTCCAGACACTGAGTCTCCGGCAGCCTTGGCCTAAGCCCTGTCAATAGGATTAAAATAATCGGGTAATGGGAATCCAATGAGGACCCTTGTTATTGGTGAGGATTCCTCCGCATACATATTACACAGTCAGTACACATCTCGAAGGTTTGTGAGGTTGCGTATGCTTCATACTATTTTTGGTGGCCACCGCGACACATCGTCAGCTGCGGGATCCACTGCCTTGCCGGCCCGTGACCAATAAGATCGAGCGGCTATACAATTCTAACAGTCCCCATCAAAGAAGGTAGAATCAGGCGAAGCTCTGGTTTCTTTTTGGATTGATTTTTAATTTTTAATTTTAATCTCTTTTTTTTTTTTTTGTTTTTTTGTTTCTACTTCCTTGTCTCATGATTTCCCTTTTTTTTCTTTTCCTTTTTTTTAAACTTTCATCACTTCTCTTTATTGACTTTTTAACTACCAAGCTGGAGAAGTGAAAAGATGTACCCGGAGTACGGAGTACATTGGTATTCAAATCCGTCCACGAGAATAATACCTATCCACGTAGGTACCAATAGATTCCTCTCTAGACGAATAGTCGGATCCTTCACTCGTCATCAACAGCACACGTAATGAGTCAATTCTTCTATTTTAGCCCTGGACCAAAGCCAGCGACCGTAACCAAAATTACGAGGAGGATATCCGCAGGTGAGAGACTGTTGGACGACTTCTTCCCCTAGTGACAAACAAGACTTCTCCCCAAGACGACCGGCCGATGCACCATGTCCCATGTCTGATCCGCATGGACCAAGAAACGGGACAGCCGATAATCTAAGTCATGCCTAAACCAGTTTAGTCACCGGGGGCATGGTCTCAGCCTCCCGTGTCGACTCCTTCAATCTGAGTCAAGCCACCACCACTGTCTCTCGTCAGGAATGGGGAATTGGATGGTGCAATGGGAAACTTGGTACCGTACGTGTACAGGTTCCAGTACGTTCGAGGCTCAAGCCTCAATCTTTGCCCAGGACCGCCACCGATTCAAACCTTACTGCTGTAACACACCCTTTGCTGTTGTGACCGTCCACACGTTCATTCAATGGGATCAGGTTGTCATGGTTTCACTCCCGCAACATTCGCCATCGTTTCGTCCATTGCCGAAGCATGCACAGGGTTCCTTGACTTTTAACGACCAAGTCAGGCATACCAAGGGAAGTGCCTGTACAATTCAAATTAGTCTACCGGGCTACGTATGCAGCGACCATTTGACACTGACAGTGCCGATCGACACATTCCATCCAAGACATGGGTTGGATTGCGACCAGGGCCAGAACCAAAGTTCTTTTCCCTCCCGTAAGGTACCAAGCGGTACGGACACATAGGGCGTTGTAATACAAACAACCTTTGGACCAATAAGTCAGAACCAGAGAGCCCCCTGTGGGAAAAAAAAGAAAAATAAATAAATGGTGCCAAGTAAATGGCCAGACTCTCCATGAGCCCAACGGCAAATGCAAGGGTAAAGAATGTCACAATGAATCTCGGTTAATGAGGAGAAAAGGGTCATTATATCCACCGATATCCCAAACAAGACCAAATAATGAAAGGTTTGCTATTTTCTTTTTTTTTTTTTTTCCTTTGAGATTTTGGAACCCCCCTCTTTCATCGATTCTGGAACCAGATGGTGGTCTTGTCAGGTTTCCGTCCACCTTCCATGTCGTCTCCATCAATCTGCCGCATGGGTGGAGTCTGGCAATTTATGTGATAATATTATTATGGGGACGACTTCTTGTATTCTTTCTCTGGGTAAGAGAAGTATGTGGAATACGTAGTCACCCGTCTTTCTATCTTTGTTCCTCAGCTCGCGCGTCTTGGAGTGGCTCCTGTGACCCTGGGTTCCACATGATGGGCTTGAGTTCGTGTTTTGTTTCTCAGTGCCAGTGTCTGTCATTGCAACGTTTATATCACAACGGCCTTAATACACCTGAGTTAGAACTGGTAGGGTAGAAGGATGGACAGCGATACCCTTGTATACGTTGCTTCCTTCCATTGTAGATCTATAGGGCCTTGGGGCTTATCCCCATCCTCCAATGCCGTCCTTGCTCCTTCCATCCCCATTGGCCTGTCGTCTACTGGGCGTTATTCCCTATGCTTACTTTATGTTAACAATTCTACCCATCAGCATCGGTACTCCATCTCGACATCAACTGAACACGTTTATGTCCCCACAGTTCGGAGCACGAGCGAGAAACCATCGCAGATCGCAACGTAGAGAATAGACGCAGCCACGCTGAGCCACCATTCTCGCAGCAGCTCACTCAGCTTTGATCAAATAGACAGACACCAAGAATCTCCTCGGCACAGCACACAAGCACACACACACACACACAGAGAGAGAGAGAGAGCATCCCTCGTCACTTAAACAAGCCCCGAAGGTCCATGAGAAGCCCCCGATATCCCAACCCTCGCAGCTTCACCCACAGGTACACCACAGGAAAGCCCATACCTTGAACCTCGCATCCAACGGACGGCGGAGACAACAGCCCAGGTGAAACCGACCCTGCTAATCACAAGATATAGCGTCCTCGTAGAATATCAATAGTCTCTCACTAGACCCAGGTTGTTGACGGTGAGTGCAACACAAGACCAGCTCGTGTGCCATGGGAGAAGATGATATGCCCAATTGACTTCTCTATGGAGCATCGGGGGAGCTCGCTCGGCCTTCTATTCTTGTAGTGCTGGTAATGTGGGCTGGGGGATTTGAGACATGCTCCATTTCCTTTCGGTTTGTGCCGCCATTTGGGTGGGGGGGGGGGGGGGCGGAGTTGGTATTTACTGGGTTTTGAGGAGAGGTTTGGATATATCCTGTGTGGATGGGGTGTTCAAGTAGGGGTTTTGTCTGACATGGAGGTCTTATTGTGTTTGGGGTGGTGGTTTGGATGATAGATGACGGCCAGTTGGGAGTGTGGTGTTTGGGGGATGGTCAGGGCATTGTTGGGGCTAATGTATGATTCTATGTTTTCAGGAGTTATCAATAAGGACTGATAATTTAGCTGTTGGATGCATTAAAGGAGTCATGGAGAACCAAAGACGCAATGCTGGTTTTCTGGCGCTTGAACAGATCAGAGATTCTGGCATACCTGAAGCGAACTCAGGTAGTGTGCAATGAAACAGTCAATCGGCTATTCATGTTGTCCTCAGAGTATCTCTTAGGTAGGGCCAGGACATCGTTCCAAAAGATAAATAGCAGACGACACATACAGTGAAGCGCCCCCCGAGTCTACGACACCAGACACCCTGTAATTGCATCTCGCTCATTGTGTACTCTACACAGAGTCAGCTGGCAACCAGCGTCCGAACTATTAGATCCGAAGCAATGCAATAGGAATAGCAACGCAGACCGAGGAGCAACCACTCATTAATTGCTTTTGACTGATATAACTATACATCAAGGTATCATCCCAGACAACTTTCTATATCAAAAACACCCGTCACTCCTTGAGAGGATTCTCGCCCTTGATCCAATCCGCAAATTCTTTCCGTTTGCTCTGGTGCTATCAGAATATATCCTTAAAGGCCAGACTCCATCGGAAAGGGAATATAGCACCTACCCGCACGTCCCAGAAGTTATATCTCTCCTCCAGCCTCCGGTAGGGGTTTCTGCCACCACCCTCCTTCTCGATCTCCCCAGCCCACTGGCTCCAGCTAATCGGCTTCAATTTAGGCGCGCCCAACACTAGGCCCACGGAAACGAGAACGAGGGATACTAGAGCTTCGATGACGATATCCTGCGGAAGAGCGGTAGACGCGGAGAGGCGGGCATTGCTGTACAAGACCGTATGTTCATGTGCGGAATAACCCCTGGTTTCCCCGAGAACTTTGGTAAGCGATCCTGATGCGAAAATAACAAGGTGAATGTATTTTGTTAGAGAAATCGCGGCGGTACTCACGCATGGGCAAGGAGGACGAGTCCGAAGAACGTCACCAAACGTGAGATAAACCCCATGGTCACCCAGTGTAACCTGATCAGTTGACAGATGATGAGCTATTAGGACTCGGAAAATTTCTGTCCGCTTCTGCCACAGAAATGCACGAATCCCCAGATGGTTCTGATGTGACTGAGCGTCGGTATCAGCAAAGCTTAGTAACGATGTTTCTTTCAGAGAGCAGTCTAGCTTCTACGGTGGTCTAAAGAAACCACTTGTGCAAATACGCTTAGTCCTTCCCACAACCCCACGTTCACCAAAAGCCAGAAAAGTTGGGCACCAATGCAAGCTCACCACTGAACATTGAGTTCGTTCAAGCATCATGTGTGACGAGCTCAACAGCATATCCTAGAGGAATGGGTTTACTGGGATGGAATACCGATGTATTAATATTGGGGTATTTTTTCATTTTTTCATCAGAACAATCAGACAATGCCGATCGAGCTCTAGCTAGTTGTTTTTTAAATTCATGAATTTGGTTTCCGTCGATAACATGAAAAATCCTTCATCACACCATTTATCTTCATAAACGTTTCATTTACAGCTTCTGCATAGCAGCGATATCGGTGGACTGGACGTGATCCTCGTCCTCCTCGATCTCCTGCTGGAGCTCGTCAAGGGAGACCTTCTCGTCCTCAACAACCAGGTTGATCTGAAGCTTCTTGATACCGTAGCCAATAGGAACCCACTTAGAGGCGGACCAGACAAGGCCATCCTTCTCGATAGCACGGACGTTGGCCTCCATCTCCTCAAGGTTGGTCTCGTCATCTGCAGAATTGTTAGCGTGTATTTTCCAGGGGGAGCAGTAAGCGCAGGCTACATACCCCAAGGCTTGACCTCAAGGGTGACAATGGACTTCGCAGCGGGCTTAGGGCCCTTAGCCGCCTTCTTGGCGTGGTACGCAGCAAGGTTTTCTTCGCGCTTCTTGACGAGCTCAGGGTCCTCCTCCTCGTCGTCACTGCCGAAGAGGTCCATGTCATCGTCATCATCGGCGGGCTTGTCCTTAGGGTTGGTGGGGAGCTCGGTGGACTCAGGGCCGTAGGTGGTGTGGGACTTGGAGGCATCGCCAGGGAGAGAGGCGAACTCAGCCTCATAAGAAGCAATGTGCTTGTACCAGCGGGCAACGTGAGGGTACTTCTCGGCGTCAGGAGCAGCAGAGAAGGCCTTGAAGGTCACGACATCGGCCTGAGAAGGAGCATCGCTAGTTGCCAGTTAGTCATAGGGAATGCATAAAGCCATCTATTGTAGTGGCCTTCAAGCAAAAACAGGCAACGAATTGCAGATAGTGGGGGAAAAAATTTTCCTGGAGATCAGAAACGCGATTGCTCGCAAAGTTGTGTAGTCTTACAGCGGGGTCTTAAGCCGCCTCATAAACACGGACCAATTTGTTTTCATCATATAAAACAGGAAACATAGAGCTTAATGGGGTTCAAAGAAAGAGACGATGCAAAACAAAAAAACCACTTACCCAACAACGTAGCTCCTGGTGGTGAACCAGTTGTTAGCAACTGAGGGGCAACATTAGCTTTCAGGACCATTCAAGCAATGAAGAGAGAAGGGCTCAAGGAAATGAAAGGAAAAGAAGAAACGTACGAGTGAGGCCAGCGTCAGAAACGAAATCGGTGAAACCCATTGTGACGAGTGATTTATGTGTGAAAAATATACGGTTGGATTGGGAAGTAAGGGGGAGGGAGAGGAGTAATATATAGGAGAGCAAGAGGGGGAAGGCGTTGGAAACCAATTTTTTTCGGCACCAGATCCACTCAAGGGGTGAAATTTTCGACGGCGGCCAAATTGCCCCTCGATGGGGCCGCACGTGATCCCCGACGGAGCTCGTCGGCCCTCGAGGAGAGCTTCCGCCACTCACCGTTGCCGCCGCGGTGGAGCTTTCGAGAAGCGTCACGATGCTTGGGGTTGCTACAGTACTCCGGAGTATATAGGCATGTCACAGTCTCTCGCATGGATGACCTCGATTAGCACTTTCAATCCAAAACCTCCCAATCTCGAACCCATTGCTAGCCATGGCTTCAAGGTTACATATCGCTCGAGGTCGACTGTTACGCTCCCCAGCGCTAGCATCGCCAAACCGTATATTCCACCCTACTCAACAATTACGTTTACCTTCGCACGCCCGGATTCTTCCTTCCCTCGCCGCTAAGACCTCCTTATTCCAGCCTATATCACCGGCTCGCAATTATGCCAGTGGACGGCCTCACCCTCCCGGTGGTACTCACCGCATGAATTTGGGAGGTGAGCCGGAGAAGTCAGCTTTAGAACAATATGGTGTTGATCTTACCGAAAAGGCGAAGGCCGGCAAGCTGGACCCCGTCATCGGGAGAGACGCTGAAATTCATCGAACTATTCAGGTTCTGTCAAGAAGAACGAAAAACAACCCAGTACTGATAGGAGCGGCTGGTACTGGAAAGACAGCGGTCTTGGAGGGTTTGGCTCAAAGGATTGTCCAGGGAGATGTCCCGGAGAGTATCAAGGACAAACGTGTCATCTCCCTAGATCTAGGCGCGCTTATAGCTGGTGCAAAATTCAGAGGTGATTTCGAAGAACGCTTGAAATCCGTTCTCAAAGAGGTCGAGGAGGCGCAGGGCGGGGTGATCCTATTCATTGACGAGCTCCACACTTTGCTTGGTCTAGGAAAGGCAGAGGGCAGCATCGATGCTAGCAACCTTTTGAAACCGGCCTTGTCTAGGGGCGAGCTTCAGTGCTGTGGCGCTACCACTTTGAACGAGTACAGATTGATTGAGAAGGATGTCGCCTTGGCGAGACGGTTCCAGCCGATCATGGTCGGAGAGCCGTCCGTGGCCGCCACTATATCGATCTTGCGTGGTATAAAGAACAAGTACGAAGTCCATCACGGTGTGCGGATCACAGACGGTTCTTTGGTGGCGGCAGCAACTTACAGTAACCGTTATATCACCGACCGTTTCCTTCCAGACAAGGCTATCGATCTAGTGGATGAGGCCGCCTCAGCCCTACGATTGCAGCAAGAATCAAAGCCAGATGTAATTCGTGAGTTGGATCGAGACATCACCACTATCCAGATCGAGCTCGAATCCCTGCGCAAGGAAACCGATGTCAGCAGTCGTGAGAGACGAGAAAAACTACAGGAAGACTTAAAAGCCAAACAGGAAGAAGCCGCCAAATTGACTGAGACTTGGGAGAAAGAGAAGGCTGAAATCGAGACACTCAAGCGCACCAAAGAGGAACTAGAGCGTGCTCGTTTCGAACTTGAGCAGGCTCAGAGAGAAGGAAATTTTGCAAAAGCCGGAGAGTTGAGATACTCCACCATTCCAAGTCTCGAGGCCAAGCTGCCGAAGGAAGGTGAAGAGCAGGTTGCAGGATCCCAGAGTCTAATCCATGACTCTGTTACAGCGGATGATATTGCGAACGTTGTTTCCCGGACCACCGGCATTCCTGTCAACAAGCTCATGGCCGGAGAAGTTGAAAAACTGATCCGGATGGAAGACACTCTGCGGCAGTCAGTTCGTGGCCAGGACGAGGCGCTTTCTGCAGTAGCCAACGCAGTCCGCATGCAGAGAGCAGGTCTGAGTGGAGAAAATCGGCCACTGGCCTCATTCATGTTTCTCGGCCCTACTGGTGTTGGAAAGACCGAACTCTGCAAGAAAATGGCCGAGTTTTTGTTTTCCACCGAGACAGCGGTTGTGAGATTTGACATGAGCGAATTCCAAGAGAAACACACGATCAGTCGCTTAATCGGTTCTCCTGCCGGCTACGTAGGCTACGATGATGCCGGCCAGCTGACAGAAGCCGTCAGACGGAAACCGTATGCTGTCCTTTTGTTCGATGAGTTTGAAAAAGCTCATCGGGATATATCTGCTTTGCTGCTTCAAGTTTTGGATGAGGGCTTCCTCACGGATGCTCAGGGACACAAGGTTGATTTCAGGAATACCCTTATTGTCCTTACCTCTAACCTGGGAGCTGATATCCTGGTGGGCTCGGACCCCTTGCATACTATCAAGCAGACAGATAAGGGTGAAGTTTCCCCTGATACCAAGAAGGCAGTCATGGATGTTGTGCAACATGCATATCCCCCGGAGTTCCTCAATCGGATCGATGAATTTATTATCTTCAAGAGGCTCTCTCGAGAAGCTCTTAGGGACATTGTTGATATCAGACTCAAAGAGCTCCAATCAAGGCTCGACGATAGGAGGATGACTCTGCAGGTGGACAGTGAGATCAAGGACTGGCTTTGCGAAAAAGGATACGACCCTAGATATGGTGCTCGTCCCCTCAACCGCCTGATCGCAAAGGAAATCGGTAACAGGTTGGCCGATAAAATCATTCGTGGTGAAGTTACCTCTGGGCAAACCGCCCATGTTTCATTCAACGCCGACAAAAGTGGGCTTGAAGTTACTGCAAAAGGAGCAAAGACTGAAGACGCAACAAACGCAACATACCCGACAGAGACCGAAAACCCATAAATATGTTGAGATGAACTTGTATTCTTTTTCTTTTCTTTGCGGGAGTTAGATAACCCAGGCAGGTTCTGTATGTAGGTTGGGAAATATGGTGTTGAGAATGTCTTTACTCTTAATGATGTCCATGTATATTAACGAGATCTCCGCTTTTGTGTGTACATTACTATAGTGTTGCTTAGTTACACATGTATATGACTTTTGACCAGAATGCTCGTTATTATCTTCTTGAACCCTACAATACTAAAAACAACCTGGTGGACTGATATTCGGAGCCTTAGGCCCGAAGTCCCTCGCTCTAGTATACTCGTAGCCTTTTGACTACATCTGCTTTCCATGGACAATAAATAGCCACTCGAGAAATATCATTGACCTAACACTATGAAAAGTCAAACAAAGAAAAGACGAACAACATACCACTCAAACACCACATCGCATTCTTCCCATTCTAGACTTAGCCATGACAGAGGTACACAGTCTAGTGCATCATACAACCCTCCTTCTAGCTCTCGAAGATCCCCCATATTGAGGCAACCACTGTTCAATGATTCCCGAGGCTATCTACCTGGTAGCCCGATCCAACAGCTCACTGATGACGATCTTGATCAAGTGATAGTAGCCGTTGATATGAGAGAATCCGGCACTGTGGGTTGTTCATATTATTCGGCACAGGAAGAGACACTTTATTTGTTAGGAGACATGCAATTGGCTGGCACCGAGATCCTTGATAGCCGTTCGTTAAATGATCCATTTCATCGCTTCAAAGATACTAATCAAGCCCTAGTGGTCCTTCAGACTAAGCCTACTGCACTCCTACTTTCACCGCGAGTCGACTATCTCTGTTCACAAGACACAAACGAGTGTGGGCAAGGAAACAGTAAGCTCCAGGAGTATCTAGCGGCTGAGAGTTGGAGGTTGATAGAACGATGAATAGGTAGTCAATCTTACCTTCCCTATCAGCTTGATGTTCGTCCATCCCAAGAATTTAGCTACCTCAATGCGAAGAACAAGCTAGTGGCATTGGAGATATCTTCGGAACACGAGCAACGCATCAGGTTCCTCGTACCCCACAATGGACTAATTGATACTGAGCAGATGGACACCGAGAGTCTGGATTTTACCTTACAGGATGGCAGGTTCTTACACATTCCCAGTTCGATCGACATGGAGAATCAAGTGACGATTGGCTGTGCAGGTGCCGTTCTCACTCACCTTCAAAGGCGAAGGGCAACGGTCATGCCTGCTTCCAGTGATGAGACTTCATCATACTTCCAGGTGCGCTCTGTCGAAATGCTCAGCTTACAAGGAACCATGTGTGTTTCCGTTTCTCAAAAACTACCAAACGAATTTATCTTACCTTAGACTAGGTTTCTGAGTGGAAGGACATTGTTAGAACTTCAAATAATGGAGTCGGAGTCCCATCCAAGTATGGTCAATCAGGGACCAGGAAAAAAGTCATCCTCCTCGAAGGAGGGCCTTTCGCTATACGGTTTATTCCAACGCTTTGCCTATAGCCCCCAGGGACGACACCGACTTAAGCAGATTTTCCTCCGCCCAAGTATTGACATAGATGTCATACGCGAACGCCATGCTTTTATTGGCGTATATCTACGGCCGGATAATTATAATCCGCTAAACAAACTTACGAAGAGTCTCAAACATATTAAAAACCTCCGTCCCGTGATGATCAACCTTCGAAAAGGAATAAGTACCGGAAGTGGGAAACTAACGGGCTTCAAGAGTACAGTATGGGCCACATTGCTAGCAGTAAGCCAACCATGGTAAGATTATATATAGCAAAATACTGAAAGTTTGTTAGTTTGCTTTCTACGGTATTGATATTCATGATGCCCTCAAGGAAACTGCCTCCGGGAACGAACTACCGTTGCTTCAGAAAGTAAGTGTAACAACACTCCGACTGCGATGTGTACACTGATGTTCCAGGCTCTTTGGGTTTTGGAAGAGGCTCAGCTATACAGAGTTGGACGGATGATCCAAGAGATAGTAAGGAACTTAAGCCTACTTATAGAGGTCTCGACTAACGACTAACAGGTCGATATTGATAGCACTGAGGAGCAGGGTAGGACGGTGGTAAAGCCGGGACTAGACAGGGAACTTGACAAGATGAAAGACAGCTATGATGGTTTAAGCAGTTTGTTGAAGCAAGTTGCAATAGATATTGCGAGTACCATCCCGGAAAGCCTTGACATTGATGTGAATGTGATATACTTCCCCCAGCTTGGCTTCAATATCGCAATACCGCTGAACGATAGGGGCGAGGCAACCTTCACTGGCTCCGATGATGAATGGGAACTCATTTTTGTCACAGAGAACCGGGCATACTTTAAAGACTTTAGGATGAGGGAGATGGACGAGAAATTGGGTGATATTTATGGGCTAATATGTGGTACGTATTAAGTTATACGGTCTGCGCATATTGTGCTGATTCTTTTTTTGTCTATAAGAAAAAGAGATTGAGATTGTCTATGAGCTAGCACAAAAAGTGCTTCAATATGAGAAAGTGCTTCTTGAGGCGTCAGATATATGTGGTCACATTGATAGGCAAGCACTCCCAACTTCCTCTTGACAGACATAGACTGATCTCTCGCAGCCTCCTTGCCATGTCACAGGCAGCAAGTTTCTATAGGCTGACCCGCCCCAAATTAGTGCGCGAAAATGTAATCAGCATCAAAGGAGGCCGGTAAATCTAAGCGAGGGAAAGACTGATCGGCGCTTGCTGACAATTCGGCAGTCATATTCTCCAAGAATTGACTGTCTCATCATATGTACCAAACGATACCCTTTTAGTTGGTGGGAAGCTGGGTGCATGTGCTCCATGTTCTTCATCAAAACCCCAAACAGCTCTCGAAACATGGGGGAGTCAAAGCATGTTGCTATTAACAGGCCCGAATTACTCCGGAAAGAGCATTTATATGAAGCAGGCAAGTACGATGCTTCCAACAAAGGGATTCGCTGTCTAATGAACGTCAGGTTGCTTTAATCATTTATTTGGCACAAGTGGGAAGGTATGTAGGGCAGTGAATCACCTGGTCATGCTATCTACATGTAACTGAATACAGTAGCTTCGTTCCAGCCGAAAGTGTCGAAATGGGGATAACAGATAAGATACTCGTCAAATCTAATAGCCAAGATAGTGTCTCCCAGGTGAGAGAAGCAATCAACATGTATCCACTGACGTATAAGGCTAATGCCGCTCCAGATCCAGAGCACATTTATGAACGATCTACAACAAATATCGTTTGACTTAAAGCAGATGACCGAACGCAGCCTGTTGATAATAGATGAGTTTGGCAAGGGTACCAGCGAGAGCGGTCGGTGTCATTCGCTTACACTATTTTCCATATCAGACACTGACATATTTGCTGTAGATGGTATCGGGTTAATCTGCGGGATTCTTAACCACTTACTTATAGCCGAGAATGCGCCGAAGGTTATTGCTGCAACACATTTCCATGAGATACTCGAGAATGAGTTTCTCAAGCCAGGACCCCGGCTGCTGCTCGGTCATATGGAGGTTCAGGTTTGCGAAGAATCCTGCAAAGCGGAAGATCAAATCACATATCTATATAAGTCCGTTCCAGATTGACCGAAGCTTCATTTGCATAATACGAAGTTGATCTGCTAACGAGATACTGGAATAGCTTCCACCTAGGCCGGAGCGATAAGAGCTATGGACCAATGTGCGTTTCAAGTATACGCAGTATGTCTTGGTCTTGTATCTAACTTGCATGGGTGAGATAGTTGTGCGGCACTGAACGGAATCAACGAGACGATCGTAGAACGGGCAAATGAGCTTGCATCTCTCGCTGTTCGTGGAGAAAACCTGACAGCCGCTTGTGCCATGTTGTCAGCGGAGGAAATACACGCTTTGGAAGAAGCGGTAGGGCATTACTATTGTCTTCTGGTGTTTGTGTGGCACGCAAGAGACTGACATTATGGAAGGACATGCTTGCGAGAAGATTTCTAGGTTTAGACCTGTCAACGGAAGGGAGCGACGAAGCTGTGAGTGATATGCTAAACATGCTTGTCGGAGAAACCAAAAATGGGGGGGTATAACTTGACGATATCAGCGAGGCAATTTGTGTTGCTAGTAGTATTAAGTAGAATGTGCCTGTTTTGACACCAGACTGGGGAGGAAAGGGACTCGAACAGAGGTTTTATCATATGAATTATATATGTACACACAAATCCTTTTTGATATCACGAGATCGAACGCCCGGACTATAAGTATCCACTCATACCGCAAAGAAACAACCAAGGGGACAATTCTATAGCTTGACACTTTTAACCAGGTTCTTCTTGATACCAGTAAGTTCACCAGCATAACCACCACGACCTTCGCCACCCTTGTATAACTGGCGGATACTACCCAGCTTCTTCTTCTTCTCTTCAAACTTCTTCCTCTTCTTGACACGGGGATTGCGGGAGTCCTTGCTCCGCTTGGCCGCAAGACCCTTGTTCTTCTCGATTTGGTATGTGATGGCTCGTTTGCCATCTGGTCCAACCTCCTCCTGGATTGCCACTTGACCACCTTCACGGGCAGCGGCGGCGTACGCTTCAGCACGCGCCTTCTTATCATCCTTGCGTTGCTTGGAACGTGCAGCAATCATATCATAATAATCGTCATCATCCGATCCGCCCTGGTCCCCTCTAAGCTCATTGGCAACCCGATGATCTTCGTCGTCACTGTCGCCGCCCAGTTGTTCGGATTCCTTAGGCTTCTGTCTACCACGCTTCTCAGCTTCAGCATTCAGGCGAGCCTGGCGATCCCTCAAACGTTCACGATAAGGTATATCCGCATCACCACCAGCATCGCGACCAGCAGCAGTGCGCTTGTTTGCCTTCTGCGCAAGTTGGGAAGTATAGAAACGGAGAGAACGCTTCTGCTTGGCTTTCTCCTCAGCCTCCTTAGCAGTAAGAGCATCTTCATCACCGAAGTCGGAGTCATCAGCAGCTTTAGAGGATTGTTTAGCTTTTTGGGCGGCTCTCTTCTTGCCAGGCTTGGTGACAAGATTCGAGAGATCCGCCAGATTGGCCTCTGTCTCCCGTAATCTCTGTGCCCTACGAGCTTCGGCCTCTGCCTGTGCTGCCTCGGCCATGCGCTGCGCTTTAGAGACCTTCTCCTTCTTTTTCTTGGGAATTTGCGCCTCCTTATTCAAGCTCTGCTGCTTGGCGACAGGGGCGACAGATACGTCTTCTTCGCTGTCCATATCTTCCTCGACATCCGACACTTCGGGAGCAGTAAGGTCTTTGACAGACTCCCAAAGCTTACGAAACTTCACTAGGGCGCCCATGACCGGGTGCGATCGAAGCTGAGCCGGAGACAAGGGAGCCGGATTCCCAGAGGCATCTCGAGACGACGTTAAAAGCACAAGATACATAGCAAAGGTACCGAGATAAGCCGACAGGGCACGGAATTTGATGACAGGGACTGGGGCAACTTCGGGGACCGCATCTTTAGTGGTCTTAGCAGCCTCGGCGGCTTCTGCAAGCGTGCGATGTGTTGTCTGAAGATCGATAAAATCCTTAGCCAATGGCTCGAACTCGGGGTATCTCGACCTCAAAATCTTCAGTTTCTCCTCTGTGCTCATATCGTCTGTGATTTCCAACTGTGGGAGAACCTCCGTTACTTCTCCAGCATCACCTTCCCCATCTTCTTGTCCTTTGCCAGATTCGGCCCATTCGGTTTCGTCAAAGCCAAAGTCTGCCTCATTCATCGCTTGCAAGTGCTTCTGTTGGAGTCTCTTAGCTTCTTCCTCTTCCTCAAGAGCATCCGCTTCCGTTTCTATTTGATCCGCATTGTAAAGGTCTTTCCTCGATGAACCCCAAGCAGCAATGCCGTCCTCGTCCTCGTCCTCGGAATCAGACCCCGCAGCACCACCGCGCTTTGTCTTGGGACGTAAGAGTTCTTCGTCGTCTATCTCATCCTCTTCACCGTAGTCATCCTCGTCCATGTCCTCGTCGTCATCCAAGTCGTCTTCGTCCACCGACTCGTAACCCATGATTTCCTCATCAGACGGCTGGAGCATTTCCTCTAAAAAAAAGTCGCCTCGTCAGAAAACAATTACAGCCACGAGGCTCTGCATAGACTAACCTTCCTGGATCACCTTCCGCCGTCTCTTTGCCTCCGGTGCTTCCTCCAGCAGGACTTGATCACGACCCGTCTGGAATTCATCTTCGGAGTCGTCAAACCTCTCCTCGATGTTGAATTTCGTACGTGCTGGGGCGGACTCTTTCCTGGCCGCAGGGCGACCACCCGCCTTTCTTTTGCCCATGACTGACTTCTTGGATGGACAAAAAGAGATTGATCTACTCTGTAGTCCAGACCAAATCTGCGGAATCGATAAACCTCCGCGATAAAATTTTGGGCGGGATGCTTACCGCCTTGAAGACACTAGTCTCCTGTGGGCAACGTTTGCAGTGTTTGACCGGCGATACAGATTGTTACAGGCGGAATGCCACCAAATCGGAAGGCCCCCACTGTATCCATTGCTTGATGTACGGAAGCTCCGACCTGAAGGCTTTCAAACCATCTTGATGATCGGCAACCGAACTTCGACTGAAGAGGAAGCAGCAGGCCCAATTGACCTTCCTTAACGGACTAACTTTGTTCTCTGGCCAAGTCGTTCACCTTATATCCGTGGAATCCTCATCCTCGTCTTCTTTTCCCCATGCATCAAGTACTCTCCTTCATCCCTAACGACCTATCTCCCACCCAATTGGGGGTTTCCGTCATTCTTTGCGGGTTCTTCCTATATACAGTTACCAAGATGCTTCCCAAGATGTTGGGTTTCGGATCTCAACAGAACGAGTTCGTCGTGGAGGGCAGGGTATGCAATATATGATCTCTCTCTTTCCCGTAAACAAACTATTAATCATGACCATCCTTCTTATAGACCGTGGTGATTACGGGTGGCTCCGAAGGTATGGGCAAGGCTGTAGCTTGTCAGCTTGCCGCAAAGGGTGCAAACGTTGTCCTCGTTTCGCGAACAGTCCAGAAACTTCAAGATGCGCTTGATGAGGTTAAGGTAAACCACCATGTCTGCATGCACTACGCTAGAAGATGCTTACCTTTCTTAGGCGTCGGCTGCGAATTTGAACAGGCAAAAGTTCCATTACATCAGTGCCGACCTTACGAACGCCGCGCAATGCGAGCAGATCATTGAAGAGGTCACTGAGTGGAATTATGGGCTTCCCCCTGACGTCGTGTGGTGCTGCGCAGGCTACTGTAACCCTGGGTTCTTTGTCGACACTCCAGTCCAAACGCTCAGAGATCAGATGGATACGGTCTATTGGACTGCGGCGAACACCGCCCATGCGACACTCAGAAAGTGGCTTGTACCTGTCCCCCCAAGCGAACAGACGACAAACCCACGAAGACATCTTATTTTTACATGTTCCACACTGGCTTTTGTACCGATCGCCGGGTACGGGCCTTATTCTCCTGCCAAGGCGGCGATTCGTTCTTTATCCGACACCCTCAATCAGGAGATTGAAATGTATAACGGTACTCGCCAATCAAAATCGCAGATCAATGCTACTTCTGCCGACGTCAAGGTTCACACGGTTTTCCCGATGGGAATTCTGAGCCCCGGTTTCGACAACGAACAGAAGCTCAAGCCTGAGTTGACAAAACAATTGGAGGCGGCTGACAAGCCACAAACTCCTGGCGAAGTCGCGAGAATCGCGATTGCAGCACTGGAAAGAGGTGAATACCTTATTACTACCATGTTTGTTGGGCATGTAATGAAGGGAAGCGCCATGGGAGGCAGCCCAAGGAACTCTACTGTCCGCGACACATTGACCAGCTGGCTCAGCAGCTTGGCATTCTTGCAGGTGATTCCTGATCTCCGAAAGCAGGCCTGGAACTGGGGTATGAAGAACGGTATCCCGTCGTCCCGAACGTCAGAGTAAGGCGCGGTATTGGGAGAGGAGATGACATGTTATGTTGTGCGGTGTATGATTAGATACCCATGAGCATCCTTACGCAGCCTGATTCGCTTATCCTTAGATCCGTACCTGCTATTGGTGTTCCTGTCTATGAGTTGTCGTATTCTGTGTTATTAAGCCGTACCTACATTAGGTCCACGCTAAACACGTGCCATTCGACTGTTTGAAGTCTTGTCCCTGGAATGAAAACTTTGTCGTCTGACATGGTGCCCGGCAGGTTGGGTGAAAATCGGGATTTGTACAAGTGTATAAATATATATATATATATATATAATAGTTTTTTTTTTTTTTCTTCTTCTCTCTGTCTCTATGAAAACATAAGCTGGCACGTGGTAAGAAGTTACCGTCGATCTCCATGACAGATCAATACATGATGAACTGTCTGGGTTAGTTATAGAAATTCCAGGAAAATACGATGGAATAAAGTTAAGTGGTAGCACTACCTTAGGCAACATCGGGCAAGATTAATTTCAGTTGGCATGTGGATCGTGAGTGTGACGTCGTGTCGCTCAGCCACTAAGGTTGCAAACGGATTTCCATTTTGATTGCCCAAAGCCACCTCCATATATGCTCATGACCCTCCATGGCGACGATGACATAGACCTGGATGGAATTGTTCCTTCTCACAGAATACCCCGTTGGTTTTTTATCCTGTTACTTTCTTTGCGTACCTACAATGCATCCTAAGCCGAACATATAAATCAGAAACATAAAAAAGATAACCACCTACAATCAAAAGTGCGGTCAACATCGCAACGCGCAGCACACACACACACAATGGACGCGCTCCTCTCATTACCAGTGCTCTCCCTCCTCCTGGTTCCCACGATTTCCTCCTACAGTACGAGTCTCAATATAATCTTCTTTTACATGACATGGACGACCCTCGTGTTGTCGCATCCTCCACTCCGAGTCGAGCTATTCGGCACCGCAGCTGTGCGACTCTTGTTCTTTCTACTCCCGTCGCTTCTGTTTTTCCTCTTCGATATCCTGACCCCCTCCGCTGCCGTTGTGGTAAAAGCGCAGGGTGAAGCTGGTCTCCCGGCAGGAAGTAAACGGGGAAAAGTCCGAATGAAGGATCTCAAGGTTGCGGGATGGGCTATTCTCAATATTGGGTTGAGCTTCGCCGCACAAGCAGCGATTGAGGAAGTTCGGACAGAGCTATTCGGAATGCGGAGTGCACTAAGGGTCTCGATGAAGTTACCAATGCCCTGGGAGATGGTGAAAGATCTACTGCGGGGATTGCTAGCAAGAGAGGTGAGTTGGTCTAATCCATTCCAATCCAGCCCAATCCATACATTAGAAACATAAACACATCGAAGAGAACCAAAATGAACCCCCCCCCTCACCCACAACACCCCAGAAACGAATGCCAGAGTAAACTAACATCTTATTGTTGGGATGATAAAATAGATCCTAACCTACAACGTCCACCGTTTCATCCTCCACTCCCCGGACTACCAAGTCTCCAAATACCACCGAAAATGGTACCATTCTCTACGAGCTCCCTTCCCCCTCACAGCACACTATGACCACCCACTCGCCTACCTGCTCTCCAATTTCACCCCCACCTATCTGCCCGCCATGTTCTTCCGCTTCCACATGCTCACGTACCTCCTCTACCTCACCGTGATATCCATCGAGGAGACATTCGCCTTCTCTGGGTACTCTGTTATGCCGACGAGCTTCTTCCTGGGCGGGATCGCACGCAGAATGGATATGCATGTACTCAGTGGGGCGGAAGGGAATTTCGGCCCGTGGGGGATCCTCGATTGGATTTGTGGGACTACTGTGGGAGGAGACGAGGATGAGGAGGAGTTGGAGGAGGCTTTGAGTGAGAAGGAGATGATTGATGAGCAAATTAGACGGGCGATTGAAGAGTCTACGAGGAAGAGGAGGGATGAACGGTATAAGTTGAGGAGGCGGAGGAATGATTATTAGGGTTTCTGATGCGATATGAATGTATATGGGTCATGTTCTAGAAGGTTGGGGTATGTGCCCTAACCGATGATGAGTGATGTCGTCTGGGTATAAATTTTTGGTTTGTGTATGGCGCGGGGAGAATTGGATTTTTAGATACTAAATCATTTATGAAGCCTTGATCATGGGGAGACCGCGGGTTGTACATTTTGTATTGGATATATCGTATCGGAGTCACAGAGAGAGCTGGAGAGTCCACGGGCACAAGATCATTACAGTTCAGAGCAGCATCTGGAATGCTGATATAGTGAATCTTAACAGAAACTTGAATTCCCAATTTTAGATTGTCACCCGAACCTGGAAATCGATGGATGATGTATCATACTAGACATGACAAACTCCCAGCCGCACGTTAAAGGGGGATCATATAACAGCTGGAAAAGGTATTATTCTTTTTTTTTTCTTTTCATTTCGGCTCATTTATAGGTCCTGCGAATTGGCGACGCAGGAGAGACTGATCGTGAAACAGAAATAACAACCGGTTTTCCGAATTGACCGTAATCCTAAGGAGCAAAGACGGAGCCCGACTCGAGTTACATATTTCATGAGCTGTTCCTCCTGCGCTGCAAGCGCTTCCCACATTGGGAATGCCAATCCGCATTCAAGCCGCCCCTCACATGAATTCCTCCACAATAACTACCGAACCCGCGGCCGCCGCGTCGCACGTTTACCACTTCATCTCGTGGGGCTTGTCACCGTTGCGGAGGCTGAAAGTGCTGGCGAGGTAGCTGCCAAGGAAGTTCTCCTTCTTGACGGAGGCCAGGATGGACTGGTCAATGGCCTTCTGGTCGCTGGCGCGGGCGCTGGCAACCTTCTTCTTCTGTTGTTGATTCTCGAGTTAGCATACCACAAAACCATCTTACCGAGCGGTCATCGGCCCAGATCTATCATATATATCCAGGTCAAATGACGCGGCACACGTACCTCGGGCTTCTCTCCCTGCTTGAAGAAAGCCTCCTCGGTCTTCTTCTCGGCCTTCTTCTCCTTGGTGAAGTAGTCGGGAGTGGAGACCTTCTCGACGGTCTGAGCGTCGACGCCGCTGATGTCGATGCGGGTGCTGGTGGCGATCACATAGCGGGCGTTGACACGGCGGAGAGGAACACCGTTGATCTTGAAGGGACCGGTGACGAGGAGAACACCCTGTTCAAGGTGCTTGAGGAGGACAACACGCTTGCCACGGAAGCGACCGGCGAGGAGGATCAGGATAGTACCGGGCTGAAGGCTCTCCCGGAGCTTGGTGGGACGAACAGCCTTGCGGACCTGTTTGGATAGAAGAATAACCATGTCAGAACGCTCGTTCCTATATCTACAAACATGCAATTTCCGAGATGTTGTAGATCGTGCCGAAGATGCGATTTCCTTATCAACAAAAGTTCCGTATTCACTGGTCTTGTTCCAACCACGAAATGGCTCATTGACCGGCGCAATCGTCGCACTCGTTCATAAGAAACCGCATCTCCATCACTAATCCTTTTTTGTATTTTTTTGCACAAGGGTGTACTGACTTTCTTGGGCTGCGACTCGTCATCAACGGGGTACCATTTCTGGGCCTTCTGAGCCGGCACGGTCCTCTGGCCCTTTCCAAACTGCTTCGTCTCCGACATATTGGCTGCTGGGACGAAGGAGACTGAAAAGAATGAAGGGAGGGGGTGGTGGTGGTTGTCGACGGCGGGTGGTTGTTGGAGTTGATGAGACTACTCGCGGCCTAGGCGGGAAAGTGCGAAGGGAGAGTGTGTGCGTTAGGGCTCGAGCCGAAAGCCACTAGTGCCGAATTGGGCTGAGTCCGCTTCTCCGACTTGGCCACCGCCTTTCTGCCTGAGGTGTTCAACGTCTTAGTAGCCTTCATCCTGCGGCGTCGCAGAAAGACCCAAGGTGTAATGGAGCTTACCTACCTGAGTATTACTAGCACTAGTTGGCTTACCGCCCGAGCACTCAACACCTCCAGTGGTAACTGACGTATCTTGCTTCGATCTGACTTCGTCCGCATTCCACGTTACTCCGTTGAGATTCTCCATCTCACGACGAAAACCAAACCCATTTGTCTTCTCCAAACACGTCGTCTATTTATCTTGACCTGGTTTTCAATCATGTCTATAACTCCGATCATTACGTTTAAAGCAGGTATCTGTGACTTGGATGTGAGTTTCCTCGGAGCTTCAACTGTTGGCATCGCTCCAACACCTCCCCACTCCCTCACATTTTTTCTTCCCTGTTACTTACTGGACGTGGCTTGGTAGACATCCAGTGATAGCTCCACAGCTAAGCCAAAGCCTACCCCCGGTTACATTTATCTCTATTCGGAAGATGAGCTTGTACACTTCTGTTGGCGCCCTCGCTCTGCTCCTCACACGGAGCCTGAATTGGACTTGGTGATGGTTCCATCGGATGGAACCTTTACTCCCTATAAGCCAGCTGGGAATGCGAATCCTACAAACGGTCGGATCTACGTATTGAAATTCTCATCCAGCTCTCAACGGTATCTCTTCTGGCTACAGTCCAAGTCTCAACATGAAGGGGAAGACCCCAGCTGGTTCAGCCCCAGGGATCTCAAGCTTGGAGACATTGTCAACACGCTACTGCAAGGCGAGGATGTTGATGTGGAACACGAAATTGCCAATCTCCCTAGAGGTCCTGATGGTGATGATGAGACTATGGAGGATGTCGAGGGCGTGGACCATAACCCCAGCCATAACCACGGTGGCAACAGTGGAGGTGCCGGCCCGGATGCAACTGGGGGAGACATTAGAGAAGAAGGCGAGGAATCGCGGGAGGGTGGTGCTGACGGTGGAAGAGCGTAGGTACATATTTCTGCGTTTACATTTTCTGAGCGTAATGCCCGTTGGTTTAACCTGTCCCCTGGGATATAATCTACCCTTTCATTGAAATGCGCTCGCTTTTCTCTATCTTTCTCTTTATTTATTCTAGCTTCCCCTTGAACGTTTGAATCTTGAATGTCGGCTGACTCGCTGGTGATCTTACAGGGCGGCTGCTGATTCAGATCCCTCCTCTGTCGTGCAGAGCTTTTTGCAGTCTTTACAAAGGAATTCGACCCAGTCTCAGGACCCCGACAGACCGTTTACCACCTTGCAAGATCTACTACCACCTGCCGCTACGCTACCTTTCCTAGAGTCTGCAGATGATAAAACTGTTGATAATCTCTTAAGCTTCTTACCGCCTGCATTGCTCCTCTTGGCGCAAGATGTTGAGGATGTGTCTTCTGTTGATGACCCTGAACTGACCGAAGCCGTCATGGCATCTCTTGACCTTTCACAAAAGAAGAATATCCTGAGAAAAGTTCTGCACTCGCCCCAATTCAGCCAAAGCCTTGCCAGTTTGACGGTAGCTATCAGAGATGGTGGATTACCGAGCATTAGTGAAGCCCTCAAGATCCCGGTTGAAAATGGAGGATTTATGCGTAGAGGCGGAGTCCCGTTGGGTGGTGGTGATGCTGTTGAGGCTTTTCTCCAAGGCGTTCGGAATCATGTTAAAGACTCGGATCAGGGAAACCAGATGGAAACCGATTGAAATGAAATGAATTGCATTGAATAGATGTTGAAGCATGTCCGGGGGAGTTTCCCCACTGGATTTTTTTTTTTTCTCTATTTATTTCTTTGAAGTAAATACCTACCTAGTACTGAGTATTCTGGAGAGTGAAGGAGAATGATGATCATCCCATAGTTAATGCCGTGACCGAAGATTAATAATAGAAGTTATCTTGCATTAGAGTTATTTTTGGACATGGCGGGACCACTCGGTGCTCACTTCAACTAGGCAACGTAATTTTGGTTCCCCCCCTCCAGGTCGGTATTCGTCAGGTACGGTATTTATGGCCTAGAGAGAGAGAGAGAGAGAGAGAGATGAGAAAAGGGTACTACTAGGTACCGAGGTACGGTAGTTGAAAGTGAAGGAAAGATTATAGAAGAATCATAACAATGAACACAGCAATTTAAAATATTAAAGAACGAAAAGAGTTCCAACTCCATATGCCTAAATTTTGACGAAGTTCGGTTCTGCGAATAGAAAGTGTGGCTGGGGGGACATGTTCCGAGGACTTTTCCATCCATAAGGCTCGGATGTTTAAATGCAGTGCGCAGTTTGTGGTTCCCACTGGGTGCTGAAGGGGCAAGCTAGCCAATCATCACGGGCACCCACCCGCCCCAGTTTGGCCGCCTGGGCACAACGAGTCAAGCCGAAGCTCCGCTGCGCATGCTGTGCAATTGGAATCTGGAGTCGACCACTTGTCCAGTACCTTACTAGTCTGACTTCTTTGTTCCCGTTACGTCCGTTACGCTGATGAGGACTTGTGATTGATTGGGTTTTAGTATTGACGTTTCATCCGGGAGCCCCTGCAGCCTGTACCTTCTTTTTCGCATAATAAATTTAAGGAAAAGTCCCGTCAGCGCTCTTATAAACAGTCCCACCAGGTGCAGGTCTCCAGCGCGATTTCACGCACCGGGAGACACGACGTATCAGACACTTCTCACCACTTCTGTACGGGCGGTCTGCGATGTCTGCCTTCGGTTAGCGGACCGATCCTGCCTACGATGGCTTCGAATAGCCATGACCGCGGCACCAATGATGACAGTCATCCTACCGAACACTCAATACCCTTACAAGACCTGTCCGGATCGTTGTCGCATGGCACAACAGCCACGGTTGGAAGCAGCTTCCGTCCGGGACGGTCGCTGACCAGGCGCGGTAGCAACTATGAGAGGGTAGCCGAGGATTCCCCCATTGATGGCCCGATTGCGACACAAAATGCACGCCCGCGGCGAGGGTCTGACGCCGCGCCGGTGGACAATCCAGAGGCATTCGCCCTGGCAATGTCTTCCGTCGGACTCAGTTTCGATGGCCCGGCAAGCCCAAGGACTTCAGCAAGGTATAGCCGTGATGAGACCGGTTCCGACTTCGACATCGTACACTTGGATAGTTTTGGGCAGCAAGAAGCAGCACATTACCTATCCCCGAGCACAGTCGCCGATACCACGCCGTTAACGGATGCCCGAAACATCCAGCCTATAAGCGGGGCGGCGTCCAGCTCTCTCAGTCTTACGCTAGATGACCGAAGTAGCGCGCGAACCGTCCACTTTCCTACAAGCAACGCGGGGTCACACCTGGGTGATGATTTAGAGGGCGGTTTCAGTGGGAGGCGCCGCGGCGGCAGCAGTGCCACCGACAGGGCTCGCTCGCTGTCCCCATCATCGTCTGGCTCTGCTTTGCAACGCGCTAGTTCGATGATGAAATCCATGTCTCAGCGTGTCGTCAATCTGAGTAACGAACCCGAAGTGGTTGAGCAGTCGATCCTCCGAGAAGAGTCACAAAGGAGCGCGCGACTAGATGCACCCCCGGCTCTCCCTTCGCTGCCAGGATATGCACACGATGAGCCATCTACTCCGTCGCTGGAGAGTCAAGCAAAATGGAAAGATCATAACAACCCGTTGAGGGGCAAGGCACTCGGAATTCTGGGTCCTAGCAACCCTATTCGGGTGAGGCTGTGTGATCTGCTTGTCCAGCCATTTACAGAACTATTTATCTTGGTGGTAATTTTCATCCAAATGATCTTACTGACTATCGAGACGGCACGTCCAGAGTTTACAAGGTCAGAGCGGTGGGGAGGAAATCCTATGGACTATCCTTATTTTGTCATCTTCATAATTTACACTCTTGAACTCATCGCCAAAATCTTGGTGTCCGGGCTTATTCTCAACCCGGCCGAATATAGTACCATCGATCGATCCCTGGGGTTTAGGAAAGCATTTATGGAGAAAGGAAAGAACCTCATTACTCCACAACGCCAGTTCTCTACGAGAAGGCCGTCGGCTATTCCGGACCAGCCGCAAGCATCAATTATACGAACATTTACTGGCGGCTTGAACCAACTAGATCGGCAAATAGCCGAGGACCCTGTCCAGAAACGTCGTGTGCGCCTCGCTCACCGAGCTTTTCTCCGACATTCTTTCAATCGGCTCGACTTTGTGGCCGTAGTCGCCTATTGGATAGCTTTCTTTCTTGCTATAGAAGGGGTTGAGAGTCGCCAGCAGCTCTATGTCTTTCGCATGCTGAGCTGTCTTCGGCTTTTACGTCTTCTTGCCCTGACCAATGGCACCTCTGTCAGTCGTAATCATCTTTTTCCTTTGCAAACATCCGCTGATAAACTGATAGGTGATTCTTCGCAGTCTCAAGAAGGCAGCTCCACTGCTGGCCCATGTTGCCTTTCTCATTGGGTTTTTCTGGCTCCTCTTTGCTATCGTGGGCATCCAAAGTTTTAAATCAAGCTTCCGAAGAACTTGTCAATGGATTGGTAAAGATGGCCAGGAAAACTTTACTCTAAATGATCCTGATGGGAGCCTTCAGTTTTGCGGGGGTTATATCAATGAAACCACTGGCAAGGCACATCCTTGGATCCCAAAATCTGATAACTCACAATCCCCACCTTCGGCTAAGGGTTACCTATGTCCTGCCGGATCTATATGCATCGAAAATGACATGCCTTACAAAGGGACTATGAACTTCGATAACATTCTGAATTCGCTGGAGCTGGTATTCGTCATCATGAGCTCAAACACGTTCACAGATCTTCTTTACTATACCACTGACACTGATTATCTTGCAGCTGCTCTTTTCTTCGTATGCGGTTTCATCATCCTGAGCCTGTGGTTAGTGAACTTGTTAGTTGCTGTTATCACACATACTTTCCAAGTGATCAGAGAAGAGAGTAAACGGAGCGCTTTCGCAGTTCAGAAGCTGGACAATGTCGAAAAAGAGAATCTTGACTCCCGCAAAAGAAGCACTGTCAAGCGCTTCTATGATAAGACTGAGTGGCTCTGGGTTTGTATCATCACTTTCGATCTAGTTGTCCAAGCGCTAAGAACCTCTTCCATGACCCCTGGTCGAAGAAATTTCATCGACAACACGGAAACCATTGTGACGCTTATTCTTCTAGCCGAAATTATCTTGCGTTTTGCCTCTGATTGGCGCAAATTCCACAAGAAGCGTCGTAACTGGGTCGATCTGGGGCTCGCGATCATCACCTGTATCATTCAGCTTCCGCCTATTCGGGACTCGGGACGAACATATACTGTTCTCACCATGTTTCAGATTCTTCGGGTATATCGCGTGGTGCTGGCGATTCCTATCACCAGGGACCTCATTACGGTTGTCTTCCGGAACACTGTTGGTTTACTAAACCTGATCGGTTTCTTGTTCATGATCACATTCATTGCCTCTATCTTCGCAACCCAGCTTTTTCGAGGCGCAATACCTGAAGATGAAGGTGCTGCTATCAATTTCAACAACATATATAATTCTTTTCTTGGGATGTATCAAATATTGTCCAGCGAGAATTGGACGGAGATTTTGTACAACCTAACTACATCCACTTATCCCTACAATACAGCCTGGATATCTGCGACCTTCTTGATCTTGTGGTTTATTGTGGCAAATTTCATCGTCTTGAACATGTTCATTGCCGTCATCCAGGAGAGCTTTGATGTGTCAGAAGATGAGAAACGACTCCAGCAAGTCCGGGCATTCTTGAAGCAAAAGCACCTCAATGGATCTTCACAAGGAAACCTATCCCTTTCCAAAATCTTTCGGTTCGGCCGGAGTTCAGACCGTTACAAGGAGCCTTTGGACTATGGTCCGGCAGCACTAGAAATGTTGTTAAAGGACGCTGTTGTGCAGGAGTTCCTCGACGAGCAGCAAACGCCCGCCGAACATCAACGGAGAGAAAGTGGACCTGCGGAAACAACAACAACAACAGAGGATACGGGTCAGCCTGGTACATTCTCGCGCATGTGGACTACCATCTCAACGTCCATCATGCGTCGAGAGCCGAATCCATTTTATACCAACTTGAATAAATTCTCTCGGGCAAATGAAGAGTTAGACCCGAGGGAAATGGCTAAGGAGGTCGTATCGGCCACTGAACAAAGGAAGCGAGCACAGAGGGAGTATCTCATGAGGCACCCGAACTATAACAAATCCCTGTTCATCTTTGCACCGGATAACCCTATCCGAAGGTTATGCCAACGCATTGTGGGACCTGGGCGTGGTCACCAGCGCATTGAAGGCGTAGACCCTTATAAACCTGTCTGGTATGCGTTCTCCGCGTTCGTCTATGCAGCCATCATCGCTATGGTTCTTATTGCTTGCATCACCACACCGATTTATCAACGTGAGAACTATCCGACAAGAAGACTATGGTTCGTTTACACCGATATGGGCTTTGCGATTTTGTTCACACTTGAAGCCCTGATCAAGGTCATCGCGGATGGGTTTTTCTGGACACCAAATGCCTACTTTCGCGGTTCTTGGGGGTTTATTGATGGGGTTGTACTTATCACCCTCTGGATCAACGTTGGGGGTGCAATGTATGAAGATTGGGCTGTCTCGCGATCTGTCGGCGCTGTCAAAGCGCTAAGGGCGCTGAGGCTGCTGAACGTCAGTGACAGTGCCAAAGACACATTCCATTCAGTTATTATTGTGGGCGGATGGAAGGTCATAGAGGCAGCTGCTGTTTCGATGAGTTTTTTGATACCATTTGCTATATACGGTGTCAATTTGTTTGCCGGTCAAATGGTTAAGTGCAATGATGACAACGTGACCGGGAGTTTGAACGAGTGTATCAATGAGTATTCTAGCTCCCCGTACAATTGGGACGTACTCGCACCTCGGGCCGCATCGAACCCGTTCTATGACTTTGACAATTTCTTTGACTCTCTCTTTATCCTCTTCCAGATTGTCTCTCAAGAAGGATGGACGGATGTGCAGTCAAGTGCAATGAGTATCACTGGGGTCGACATGCAGCCACAGGAATCAACAGCTCCAGAGAACGGGCTTTTCTTCGTTGTATTCAACCTGCTTGGTGCCGTTTTCGTGTTGACGCTCTTCGTATCTGTCTTCATGCGAAACTACACCGAGCAGACTGGTGTTGCGTATCTTACTGCCGAGCAGCGATCTTGGCTGGAGTTGCGGAAACTTCTCAAGCAGGTATCGCCTTCCAAGCGCTCGTTTGATAAAAAGAGCCATAAGTGGAAGATGTGGTGCTATCGGATCGCCGTTAAGAAACACGGGCGATGGGCACGATGTGTATCCACCATTCTACTACTTCATATTCTATTGCTAGTTTTGGAATACTACCCGGAGCCCTTTCTATTCGAGTTTTGCAGAGGTGAGTGGCTGGACGAGATATCCGAGGAAATCCTTTCATTACTGACACGGGAGTTTGTCTTCTAGAGGTGTTGTTTCTCATATTCAACTTTTTCTACGCTGCGAATCTCATTATCCGGCTGTTCGGACTGGGCTGGCATCGATTTAGTAGAAGCTCCTGGGACCTTTATTCGTTGCTTGTAGTCCCCGGTACCATCGTGATGACAATCCTAAATTTCGTGTCGAACCGGCAAGTCATCGTGGAGCTCAGCAAGCTCTTCCTTGTGGCCATTACCCTCTTGATCATTCCACGGAACAACCAACTTGATCAGCTTTTCAAGACAGCCGCAGCTAGTTTGACGGCAATAGGTAACCTCCTTGCAACCTGGTTGGTCCTTTTCCTTGTCTTCGCTATTGCGTTGAACCAAACCTTTGGTCTTACCAAATTCGGTGGAGAGGGAAACAGCAATATCAACTTTCGAGACATCCCCAGGTCACTCATCCTGCTCTTCCGAATGAGCTGCGGTGAAGGATGGAATCAAGTAATGGAAGACTTCGCCACAATGGTACCTCCGATCTGTACGTCTGATGACGATTTCTTGAACGACGACTGTGGCAGTGCGGCATGGGCTCGAACACTTTTCATTGCGTGGAACATTATTAGCATGTATATTTTCGTCTCGTTGTTCGTATCTCTGATATTCGAGAGCTTCTCGTATGTGTATCAGAGAAGCAGCGGGCTCTATGCAATCAGTCGTGAGGAAATTCGTCGCTTCAAGCAAGCCTGGGCGACGTATGACCCTGATGGGACCGGATATATCTCTAAAGAGCAATTCCCACGACTACTGGGGGTAAGTTATATATCTTTTGGCCCCGATGCTTCTCCATGTCTCGTTTTATGCCTCACCCAAATCACTAAATGGTATGCAGGAGCTCTCGGGTGTTTTTTCGATGCGCATATATGACGATGAATTCACGATCGGACGCATCTTGGAGGAATGTAGAGTTGATAGGAGAGACTCGCTAATTGGGCATCGAAGGGTGGTCGACGGGGTAGACCTTGAGAAGATGGCTAAGATTCTGCGACGTATCCCAGTTGACGATGTCCGTGAGCGACGGCAACGACTCAACACTTTCTATGAGGAAGTCAAGGTTTCCGCAGACCCAGTGCGCGGCATCTCATTCCACTCATGCCTTATGATCCTCGCACATTACAATGTGATCAACGACAGCAAGAGCTTGAAGCTTGAAGAGTTCTTACGTCGACGAGCGAGGCTCCAACGCGTCGAGGAAGCCGTTCGTCGACAGACGGTCATTGGGTTCTTCGACACCCTCTACTGGTCTCGGCAATTCCGCCGACAAGTCGAGCGTAGTCGATCTGCTCGGATGACCGCAGTGCCGAACTTCACGGTGCCGGAGATCTTTGTGGACGATGGAACCCAGGACGACCATCCCGAAGAAGAGGTGAGGGCGACGGCGCCAGAAACCGGTGATGATCATGGGGAATCGTCGTCGCAGCCCATGCTGTCACCCCTCTCGCCCACACGAGGGGAAGGTGGCTCGTCATCGCAGGCCGGTCACCTCCCACGGATTGACACGACTTTAGCTGGGCGGATGTCGGCGACGCATTCCCCTACCGAGTGGTCTAGCATCAGCCCGTCGCTCTCGCCGAACCGTCCTCGAGCGAATACGACGTCATCATATGGAGATGGGCCGGATCTGCATGACGAGTCGTCTTTGGCACCCGGGCGATCACGACAGAACAGTGTTATGAGTGCACAAGACGTGATGCAAACGTTGGATGACTCGGTTTGGGGTGAAAGTATCCGTCGGAGCTTTACCCAGCGTCGACGACGGGATAGCTGAAAGGCCGGATTTGGTGAGGGGGAAGAGGGGGGGGGGGGGGGGGGGGGGGGGTGTATGAGCCATGCTGTGATGAAGTTTTGAGACTAACGTTGACTATGTATGTATAACGAAGGCTTTGTTTCTTTTTTGTTTTTGTTTTTCTTTTGTTTTTCCTTTGTAAGGTTTGTGATGTTGGTTATGTAAGATTTGTACAGATATCATGTTTGATCCGCTAGACTTGGGTAATTGCATAGCGGTGGCGCGAGGGAGAATTGAGTGATTATGTTCCATTGTTCTGGAGATTCGGCTGTGGATAGATTCCAGGCATAGAGATGAGGGAAATGAAAAGAGACTTTGCCCATGAACGAGAGGAGAGGAGAGAAGAGAAGAGAAGCGAAGAGGAATGCGATGAGAGAATAGTAGAACCTACCTAGAAGCCCTGATTACCGGATTGGGAGGGATGGCAGTCACTAAGAAACAATAGTTTTGCCCTTCACGAACCCCTTCGCCACGGAAGAAGCTTTCTGGCGCAAGAATCAGCAAGAGTAAAGGAAGCTGGACAAGACGGAAACGGGCAGCGCTCGACGTTTGCAGCGTGATCTGTGAGTCCGTGACTTTTCTTTTTTCCCGGAAGCTGCCATTCAATCCACCCATGGAAATCTTTCGATCTGTCAACAATCCCATTTGCGCTGCGTTCGTCGGGCACAATCCATCCAGAAACTCAATAAAATTGAATAATAACCGATTGATGACCTGCGCGCAGGAGTTGACTTTGGATTAACCCGTTCACGAGCTCATCCTTGCAGACCATTTCCGATCGATGAATATCCTGGAGATGGAAATCCTCCGATCCTTATAAAGCATCCTGTTATTCCTGCTCTCTCTGACACTATCCCTCTCTCTTTTCTTTTCTTTTCTTCTTCTCCTCCTTCTTTCTCTCTGTCGATCGGTCGGTCCTTCTCTCGCTCAAGATCTATTGACTCTATTCTTTAATTTTCTTATTTACCACGGAACTCACTCTCTCTCTCTCTCTCTCCGTCTGGTGGTTTTTGTTTGTTTCATCCGCCCATCAATCTCTCACGTTGCTTCGTCCCTGTTCATTTGCTACCGTCCCGTGTGGGTGAGCTGTCGATCGTATTATTATTTTAATCTCACTTTACATCGGGACTTGTCCTTGGTTTTCTCACCCGGCCTGAAATGACTCGCTGGTGATCCCTAATCCATTCGTTTGGTCATTACTTTGCGATCTATACCAGCCATCCATCCGTCAACGACCGGGCATTCCATCGCCCATTCATTCTACGTGTCACAACCCACCGACGAAGGCTCGTTGAACCACCACCTGGTTAGGACGACTTCGCCCTTCATTTGAAAATCTCATCGAAACCTAAACTCAATATCGCCTCCCCCGCTCAGGACGAGGCCAAACGATCCCGGAGCCCATCAACCTTAAAAGAGTCGACACGGCACCCGTCGATTTTCTACAGCTCACATTTGACCGTACCCATTCATCTAAAAACTTAAATCACCCTCCCACCAGAAAAAAAAATGCGTCCCAACCTCACCTCGACTCCCGGCCTATCCCTGCACACTTCGTTCCAACCTCCTCAAGACCGCGTGTGCAGCGATGGCTATTCCACGGCCAGCCCTCTCAGCTCCACTACCAACAGTCCCACTTCGTCGCCCACATCCCCATTCCGCCGCTTCAACCGTGGTTACCGCCCGACCTCCGGCTCCCGTTCCGAGACCAGCGACGCCGGCAGTCGCAGCCAGAGCCCCTTCCGCCTGTCATCCGTTTTCCGTCGGCCCTCGCTTGTCTTCCTCCGCCATCGTCCGTCCAAGGTCGATCTAGCCCTCAGCGAGGAACGTACCCGGTGTGACGAGGATGCCATCGAGCGACAAGGTCTCGACCTCATGGAGCCCCGCCCCGTCGACCCGGTCGGGATCCCGATGGACCTGAATGCCAATATTTTCTCTTCTGTCGCGGGCGATCGGTCCTCCGGCCAGAGTCAGGCTTCGCAAGTGTCCCAGCCGCGGTTCGTCATGGGCGGTATATTCGAGGTCATGGAGGGGCGTGCTTAAAGTTATTCGCTCTCTTTTGCTCACTTTCTTCCTCTTTGTTTCTTTCTTTCCTTTTTTTTTCTCTTTCTTATCTTGCCTTCTTACTCTCGTTCTTGACTCTACGTTTGCTATCATCGCTACCCCTCAAGCGATTTGGTATATTAATTAGCGATAAAGGGTGGCTGGCTATCTGCTGCATATACGGACAAGGTGTTATCAACTGGGCTGATTGGTTGATTTGGAGTTTGGGTCAACGGTCAACGGCGTCAACCGATTCGATATAGAAAGGACAGATGTGATTCGGTGGTCTTTTTTAGATGAGTGTCCATGATGGAATATACTACGTATCTTTCACTTCCCATCACTGCAGTTGATCATGAATATCGTAGTCAATTTGAATAAAGGAGCAGCAACTGTAATGATCATTATTGCGTTCAGGTATCTAGCCTCTGTCTAGTCGAGGACGCTGCGCTGTGCCGGTACAGGGGTATCCTTCAATCGGGCTATCAACAAAGAAAAGCAGCACCCAACTCCAATAATAAAAACAGCATACCAGTCAATCAAGATACAGGTAAAATTGGATGAGTAATCCCCAGGAATGTGCCAAAGAAATTCGTAAAGGAGAAAAAGAGAAACGAAGCAGGAAATTGCCGATCGCATGAAAGATGCCCTTTACCAACGTAGCTGAACTGAAGGAGGGAGTTCAACAGCTCAGCTATCTCAACAAAAGGATAGGACAAGAAGAACGCGTCTGTTCCTTCCACGGATACAGATCAATGAAACATGTACATGTATCGTAATGGGCGATGAACAGTTGTCCATACCGAATGCAATGATACGCCGTGGGAATAGCCGATTATGCCGGGGAGAAGGCCAGCCTCATCCTGTAGAATATGCACTTTTGAGAGAAAAAAAAATCAAAAAAAGAGGTATGATCGCTCCTCCATGCTAGAAACGCCGGGTGTGGTTGTGCAAACGCTCCCAATGCAACGCTGACGCTGAATAAAGTGCGTGTGGTACATACAAAAGAAGTTTGAGATGGTAGTGGAAAAAGGGTCCAGAGATGAATATGCGAGGCGAGGGGACAGACGAATAGATAGGTTGCTGATGCGAGGGGTATCATGCAGTTTATTTGGTGCCCTTGCGTTTGCTCGGCCAGAGTTGACCTCGACAGTTATCCTCTCCACAAAGGCAAGCGACGACACTAGAGTCAACCTGTGTGCTTTTCTCTGTGCCGGGGTTGTAATCAAAGGTCAATTCGGTCATCGGTGGGATGTCATTCAAGGCGAAGAAAGCCAAATTGTAAAGCCGCTCATCCCCGATTGTGTTAGTGACGGTGAACATCCGGCAATTCGGTCTGCAGGAGTGGTTCATGAAGCGAGTTGCACAGCCGAACCTCTGTCCATCCACGACATAGATGTCTGCTTCATCAACTTCGGGGGAGAAGTCAAGTCCAAAGAGATAGGAATGGCCATTTTTCAGGGCGATGTCTTCGCGAATATCTGCGTGTTTTTTGGTAATAACTTCTCCTAGATAACAGTCGATAAACTGGCCCGCTCTGATATAGCTGGGAGACCGGAGGCCTATTTTTTTGGATGTTAGTAGAGTTTCTTTTCTAATTATTTTTTTTTTTAAAAAAAAAGGGAGAGAAGATGAGCCTACCAAAGCCACGATTGCCAGTGTGGAAAATTTCTAGTTCCACAGTCCTGCCACGCTGCACGACCCTATTCCAGCAGCCCTTATCGCAGGCGCACTTGGCGCCACATTCGAAGATCATTGTCGAGCGCTTTAGGAATTCTGGAGTCAGGACTAAAAGGTCTGGGCGGTCTCTGGCTCTTTGGTACGGAATGATATTTTCAGTTGAATCATCCTCCTTTTCAGAGCATGGGCACCTGTCAGGGTCACAGTATTTACCACAGCTACAGCCACCAATGAATTCAGCTGGAGCAGGGGAAACCCCCTTGTGAAGCTTATAGCTATTAATGAACTCAAAGTTGGCGGTAACCTTTGCGAGCTTTAGTCCATCATCTGGCGCACATGTGACTTTAGGTCCCTTGATCATAGAAAGCTTGCGCTGTAGAGTGCGGTATTGCTGATCAAGGGCCTCCGGTCTCTTCTTTAAGATTGGCCCGGGCGTGCCAATGGGCAGAGGGATCGCAGCACGGTTGACTTTCCTCGCCGCTGGATAAGCACCCTTAAGACCGCGCTCTACATGTGCGTTAGTTGGGTAGAATTTCTCCAAAACTCCCTTCAGCTCAGGGGTACAACTTCGAGCGCTTGGTGCCCACTTGGCAGACTCAATCTCCTTCTTCAGCTGTCGAGAAGGAGAAGGAACCACAACACTGATGACCTGTGCCGGCAGACTCTGCTCCGTGATGGCTGGACTTGGGCTCGGGGTGCTAGGTTGGAGCGCAGGAGCTATGGAACAACCATTCGGCTTATTGTTCTGATGGGGGGCAGAGCTTGAAGCTGCAGAGGATCCCACTGAGGGTGCTAAAGGCTTTTTTCTGAAATTGAAAAAGGCATCATATAGTTCTGACTCGGGACTCTTCTCCGACTTTCTCTTCAGAGGCACTGATGGTAACGGTGTCCGATGTGCTAAGTGGGTGAAAAAATTCGGTGTAGCCGATTTAATGTTTGAGTGTAGCTAATTATGACATTAGTTGAGAGACATCGTATAGGATGCGTGGTGAAGGTCAATAAAAAGTGAAGGAAAACTGAGAAGATTCGGACAGTAATATAACATAGCCATTGCCGTTGTGGTACAGTAGGATATGAAAATTATAAGATTAAAAAACAAAAGAAAGGAGAACGATAAATAAGATAAAGACCACTCGGGGAAATCCAGACAAAGTCAAGGAACATCACGATTCATGATGGCAATATATCAAGGATGTTTGTTGTATAGGATCGTGGCCATACTAGCTGGCCGTTGTGGCTATTTAAACACTGAATTTGTTGACAATAACACGTCCGGGTCTACCAGCCATGGTCTCAGAACCAGTGAACCACTTAAAAGAAAAACTGACCTGCGAACGAATCTGGTCCTCAGAATCAGAATCTCCTGTCAAATCGATGACCATCTTGACAGGCACGATGAGACAGGGCTGAAAATAGGAAGTTCAAGAAGAACTAGGCCGAGAAAAAGGCCTCTTGGAGGGTGGCGAAAAAGAAGTTCAGGAAGACATGGACATGGGGATGAAGATCAGGAGAGTTAGAATTGGATCTCATGACGCTAGCACTGGCGCTAGTCCATGGGGCTAAGCCGATTCGGGGTGTTTTTATTGCTTAGTCATGGGGCTTGATATCAAAAATCCTCAGATTCGAACTCGTGCTTTCAGGTCTTTTCTAGAAGAGATTTCAAGGGGAAACTTGAAAAGAAAACAAAAGATGAGAGAGCCTGGAGGCTTTTCTATATGATCTTGGGAAATTCGCACCCACTTGCTGCACCTCTATATTCTAGTCAGAGGGCAGGTCATGGCTGGCGGGGGATTAGAAACCATTATGATATGGTATCACGAACACAACAAAGAAAAAGATCCTAAAACCAGACGGTTTACGGGGCCGTTTGGTGTCAAGTTTCGCCCGTTGGCGCCGTGTCTTGAATGCCGCCAGCCAAAATGGGCCAAAACTGACCAATCACCACGGGCTTTTACCAACTCGAGAGATATAAGATGCAAACTACTAGAACATATAAAGTAGAATTTCCTAGATGCAAAACTACTTTTAAAATTAAAATAAACGCATTGGTGGAGGTAATAGAGCTGCTGAAAGATGTCTAGACTCTCGTCGTTATTTCTGCGACGGGCCACGGCTTGCCGCTTGGCATTGATATTGAATGCCCAATCAGTGATCTCGATCATTCTCGAAATAAACCTCGAAATTCGGCATAACTTGTGTTTCTGGAATAGTTGTAGATTTATTACGGAGCGCAAGGTATATATATAGTATATAAATTTTATTAGGGACAATGCAGCCAGAAGTCTGTCGCATGCAGTTGTGTTGCTTGCGAGTTGCGACCGGGACACCAAAAGTTCTCTGGCAGTTGCCTGGCCACCCAACCGTTGTGACCCGGATCTGATATCAAGAGATTGAAGAGAATCAAATCTAAGGGCAGCCAAATACTGAGATACACTAGGTAACTAAGATAATACTGCCCAGGTGTACTTAAAGATTAATTTTTTTTTTTTTTTTCGATATGTTATACCTTTGTTCTTGAAGATAATTTTCACTAGATAAGCACAAATGGACTGCGAATCCATTGGAATGATCTGCCAACTGGTTTTGTACGACGCCCGAGGCCCGGGTCACCGAGCGAACCAGAGAACCGCCAACTGGTCAGAATCCGGTATACTTATCACGCACTCGCCACCATTCAGCTGTAATTTGGAAGGCTCAACTCAGAGACTTTAGTCCATGCCGTCTACTACTTTCAATAGAAACAGGGAACTTCGAGGAGTCAGGGAAGTCAGAATAATTTTTTTTTCTCTTATACTTGTGCTACTGTATAGCTACTAATCATATTAAAATTTCGAAATCATAAATAGGCTTTTATGAACAGCCTCTTAGAAGCTCGAGGCTAGGGGGCCCATTCCCCTAGGAGGGCTGGGCAGCCGCTAAGTCCAGGGCGCTGCGACCGCTAAGAGCCGGCACCGTGGTCGTGGCACCCGGCGACCTATGGGTACAACAAAGCCCGGGTTACGCCGTGGCGGGCCCTAAACCCTAGGGGCAGTCCTAATTCCTTGGCTTGAGGTGGCTAACTAGCAATGGCCACAGTTTACACCCAGCAGACCGTATCCCGGCAGCCAGCGATGCCGGCACGATATCGGTAGCTAGGCCCGCCGTTGGGAAAGGTAATTCCTATGGAATGAACGGCCCATGGGCAGCGGAAATCCGAAAGAGGTTAATACACAAGCCAAACTATAGGACTCTCATTGTCTACTTAACTACCATAACTTGATGTGAATGGAGAGTGAGGAAGTCCAGGACCAAATTTCTTAGTATATAATTTATGGGCTGCAATCCGGGCCAGGGTCCTGGTCCTGGACTCCCGGAGTATGCTTAAGACCTGGTCAGGTTGGTGCCGGATAGTTCAAAGACATATCAGGACAAGCCCTAACCACTGAGCATACTCCGGACTCTAACATATTGCTGGAAGAAAGGGACGATCTGTCAGAAGGACGTGTTAACTTGTAAAGCACAAGCTGACTGTTAAACCCACGCTCTAGGGTACGCTATTCCACGAGGTAAAAAGGCCACTACAATTGATTCCAAGCGGAAGTAATCATTCCTAGAATGCTAGATTTATATATATATAGTGTAAATACTGATCTACTACCTAGGAGGCTAAATTGATGTATTGAACTTCACCTTTTTAACCATATTCACGTGTCATTATCCATATCTTCTAGATAGGATGACTGTATCTGATACTAAAACTCTGAACTTTCTCTGCTGATGCTCCTGTCTCATCCTAGATCCTCGGTCCACAAGATGTAAATTGTAATCATGTTTCCCGTATAATCAGGTAATTCATATAATTCAAAACTGGATTCTCATTCACAGGCCAGTCCGGCAGCTAAACGAGACACACATATTCTGAACCCTTCCCGCGGCCAGTTGAGTTCTTTAACCGTAAATATACATATATCCTTGAGCTCTATGATCAAGCAACACCTTCGCACATTTCCCCAGTATGATATATATTTAATAAATGATTTTATTTCGAAATTAATTTTGCCCTTACATAACCCCAACCACTTTGTATGTACAATTTGTATATATAACAATAGCATCCCAGCTACGGCCCTTCAATGTAGCATGTCTGCCAGTGGCTCAACAACTGACGCCAGGCTCTTTCAGCATTATTGTAGAAGGCAATTCGATCAGCACACCGGTGACTACTTAAGCAAACTCATATTATTGTGGAAGTCGCGTTGGTCATGAAACGTTTGATACTTAGTAGATTATATGCTACGTGCACGAGGTCTAGCTCTAGACCTACATGACATGAGGAATTACATTATAAGGTGCCATGCAACAACTTGGGGACAAATATACAAAACAACGCCAATAGCCACATGGAACAAAGGGCAAATCGACTGTAATCCATGATGCATCATCCTTGCTCGGCTCTAATATACACCAAGACAGACCAGTAACAGCGGCTTGTGAACTGAGCCAGCTCAATATAATGCAAACCAGAAGCTGACGGTAATTCATGTAGAGGCAAGATGGGACGAAAAGAAAACCACATAGGAAAAATACGACAAAAAAACATGACGCTCATGCAAATGCTTCATGATACCGACCATTCACATCAACCATAATTCTTATGACTGATAGTAGTGTCTCATGCTATCGTATGAAGATTAAAAATGCATCTTAGAGTTTCAGGGCGTCCAGAATTTTCTTGGCCATCTCTCGGTATTGCCACATGCCGCCGGACACCTTTTTAAATTGGATGCCATGCAAAGAGAACAGCGGCACTTTGACAATAAGGATTTCAAATCGGAGAACCAAGTTCTCTCCGGTGTCGCTTTGGACTCGCGTGGTAGTCTCACCCATGACGCGTTCTCCGACGACCACATTGTTGTCACGCGCAGAAAGATATTCTTCGGATGCCTCTGAATTGGTGACGAAGCTATGATCCGGCGCACGGGTTCGACGTTGGGACCTGGGAGTGTGTCGAACCTCCTCCCTGCCATCATCATGGCCCAGGAACCCTCCGAAACTGATGCGTCGACGGTGATTAGACATGTGGCCCTGCCTATCGGGGCTTGGAGGCCCGACATCAACCACTTTATCTATCTCAATGCTCGGTGTGTGGCAGCAGCTAAAGCCTCCCTTGATTTCAACGTAGTCCACGGAGAGCTGTCTAAGGACGCGGATAATATCGGCTCGAATGACGGGGAGTGGCTTGCTACTAGTGGTGGAAACACTGAAAAGACCCTTGAGGTATACTGGTTTCGATAGATCTTCCCCTTCATTTGCACTTTCCAGGGCAGTTCCTGCGCCAGAGATATCTGCATCAGTCTCCTCGGGAACATTTGCTTCTCTAGCAGCATCTCGTCTGGCCCTACGAGCCTGTATACTCTCACGGCGAGCATGGCCGAGTGACATCGTTCTTGAGGTAGGCGTGCGACCCGTCCTGGTCTCCTTCTGAGGTGTCTGGTCTTTATGTGCACTCGCGCCAGAATAATCAGACCCACTGGTTGGAGGTGGCGGGCCTGCCCCATCTTGATCGTTCCTGCGTGCTGCCCGCCGAGCTCGGTAATCAGCTGAGTTGACACTAGTCGATCTTCCTAGGGATTTGTTGGATCGTGAGGCCGGCTCTTCTGATCCAGGGGCTTTGAGAAGATCTTGGTGCTGCGGCTGGCTTCCCACAGAAGGAATATTTGCAGGAGTTGGCTCGGCACGTCTGGCCCTTCTCATACTAAATCCTCTGGACAGTGGAGAGGCCGAGTCGGCAGGTGGCTGAACGTTTAATGATGGGGCATGGGGACTGGAAACCCTGCCACGGTCTGGATCGCGGCCGCGATCCTTTGTTCTGCGGGTGCTGAATCGCCTCAGGATACCCGCTGCAGTGCTTTCTTTCTTTATAGGGGTTTCTGGTTGTGACGCTGTGGGAGCAGGAGATCCCTGTCCAGGCGCCAGATGGAGCTTTTTAACTCCCTCGGCGAGGTCATCGTCACCATGCGTCCTGGCTCGAGGGCGAGCCCGCCTGGTATTGTCCTTCTCCCCTGGCACTTGATATTGATTGGTGTGTGCCGCTTCCGGAGCTGGGAGGTCGGGCATCTGGAGCATAGCATCTCCGGCTGAGTGTGGAACACCAAGAGCCCCAGGATTTTTCTCGGCCCGTTCTTTCTCGAGCTTCTCCTTAACAAGGTAATAAACGGACAACAGGGGACTGTATGCATTCAAAGGATCATTTCCCAGCTGAACAGCTTCTGCGGAAGGGGCGGAGAGGGTGTCTCGGCTCGTCGAATTTCGTCGCTTGTAGAAATCGAACATGCCACGCTTCTTCTCTCCATGATTCGGCGCCGGGTGCTCACGTATACTTGTTCTTACGGCATGCTGATAATCTTCGGATTCTAATATCTTGGTGAGCTGCGTGGTGATATATTCTGGCGAGCCGAAATCGAAGCCCGTCATTTTCTCGATAACTTCTGGGTCCAGCGGAAGCTGCAATGGTTCGCGGTGTGGAAGATAGTTTTCAGGAGGACTACTATATCCTTTATTCATCCACGGATGGTTCATGATTTCCGCCAAACTGGCGCGCTGTTTGGGATCCGTAACCAACATGCGCGAAATTATGCTGCGACATTCTGCCATTATACATAATTCAGTGACCGTTCAAACATTGGAGTGCAGTGAGCGTATAGTGTTACTAACCTGCAGACAGCCCCTGCGGGAACTCAAACACACCCTGCTTGATTTTCGCATGCAACTTTGGCATGCTTTGATCATCGAACGGTACCTTCCCGCAGACCAAGACGTATAGAACGATCCCAAAGCTCCAGACATCCACCTCCGGCCCGGTATATTGTCTCGCTTGCAATAGTTCCGGAGCGGCGAAGTAAAGACTTCCACAGAATGTTTTCAGAAGGCTCCTGGGGGAAAAGAGGTTACTCAGACCGAAGTCGATGATTTTGATGTCACCAGTTTTGCTGATCAAGATGTTTTCGATCTTCAAGTCACGATGCACAATGCTGTTGCGGTGACAGTAATCCAACGCACCGGCAATTTGCCGTGCGAATTTCCGTGCTTGCTTCTCCTTTAGTTTCCCATGGGATATGATATAATCCAGCATCTGACCACCATTGACCAGCTCGAAAAGCATGTACCAGTGATAATTGGTTCGCACCACGTCTCTCATACCACAAATATAAGGGTGGTTCACAAGGCTAACAATGGCGGCTTCTCGGGCCGTCCGAATTTCCTTCGAACGATCTGCGCGTTCAGCATCGCGTGAGCTCCGATGTTCCTCCGTCGACTGCCTGGGTACGATCTTAACGGCCACCTGAGATGAACAAGGTTAATTGGACGAATCCACCGATCCAAGATAAGATATGCTCACCTGTTCTCCAGTCTCGATGTTTTTCCCAACCTTGACCTTGCCCATACTCCCTGCTCCTAGGGTTTTCCCTAAAGCCCACTGACCTGACGGGGTGGTGATTGTCGTGCGACGCTTGGACGGCATGGTACCTGGATGCAGGCGCGAACCCGAAGCAACCTGCTGCGGGCCAGGGACGCCCTCGGCCATGACAGGCCCTGCGGCAGCCATATCGATGCTATCCCGCTGGTGACCCTGAACGGACAAGTTCCGGTGATGTTTATTCGAAGGAGGCTCAGCACGGTAAGCAGTAGACGGACGCTCCTGAGACCGCTCTCTTGAGTTGCTCCGGCGGGTAGTTACCGGTTGCTCAAAATCTCGACGAGCTATATTGTCAAATACCGCTTGGTTCGGAGGGGGCCGGCGATCATAAGATTGTGATTTGGAATGGGAATGCGAATGGTAATGTTGCGAGTGATGATAGTGGTGTTGTGGAGAGGATTGATGAGCTGTCGCGGGCCTAACGGCGACACTTCGGGTTCGGTGAGGATGATCGGACGAGACAACAGGGCGATAGGAAGGAGGTCGGGAGGTTGTGGAATGGCTGCGGACGACCGATGGCGACGCTGACGATGGGGCAGTTGTGGACATCACGATGCGAAATTAGAATAGCCCCAGTCAGTGATGGCCCAAGCTTTTCTTCACTCAACCCGAAATTTTTGGGTGATGGAGGGGTGGGTGGTTTGAAAGCGGATCGGTTTTGGGGCAAATAATGTCCAAGGGGAGACACAATACTAAGTACTACTATTGGTATGTCAGAACCGGTCGGGGGGAGCGGGGGGAAAGAATGGCGTTTTGCTGACAAGCGCTCAAGCCAGGCGTCGAAACGTCCAGCAGACGGTTCGATACGCCCCCATATACACGTTGAGTCAAATTGAGAGAAGGGAAGATGAACTAGAAAAACACAAAGAAAATGAAAAAGGGAGCACCGTGGAGACGGAACACAAGGAAAAGCAAGAACAAAAAGCAAGTGCAATGATGGTTGAGAAACAAGCAGTGGGTTAGTTTGACTTAACGATGGATGCGGCTGCGGAGAAAGAGACACGGGGCCAGGGGCCGCAAATCAGTCACAACGGTACCGTTCAGGTATGCTAGTAGTATCATCTGTACTATGTTTAGTACCACGGGTTTAAAGTGGACGTGGTAATGGTTATTGCGATAGTCTATTGTTTTGTCCCAATTAAGGCACCATGTGGAGGCAACCTATGACTTGCCCATTTTACTGCTTAAATGATCACGTACAACATTATCGCCTCGTTCTCAATTTTCTCCTAGCATAATTTCGATTATCCCTAGCAATGGTATTATGCAGGGGAAAATCAAAGGCTGGCCGAATGGCGGTTGCGTACAGTACAAAAAAAGAAAATCGATTAAATTCAAAAGCAAAGTTAAACTACCCGTGATAAGGTATCATGAGGAGGTTTTAATACGAGAATTTTGTATTGTCTGTATCGACCTTATGACATTTACCTGTGAGCAGCCAGATGATCCCATCAGCTCTTTATTAGATATATGACTGCTATAGCAAGAAATGACTTTATAGGCGTTTCGACTCAGATAAGCTACTTCAGGAATTTCAACTTACTGTATGATCCATTTTGAAAGACTCGTTGTGCATGCTCAACCACTCACGTTCGGGTATACTCCATGGTGCTTCGGGCACCGTGGCATCCAAGTGACAATAAAAATAAATTCTTAACAATCGGGCGGAATACAAAGAGTTGCTTGAGCCTGAAGTACTGTCCATACCAGCTTGACGTCACCACGGAGGCATTGTCGGTGATAAAAATAGGGTTTTCTATCTCACGCGAGGCTGGACTTACATACATTTATATATACATGTATACATCCGTCTATACCATGAATGTATGTACAATTATCAGTATACCCTGGAAGGACGAAGCCCAATTGAACACAGGGTCCAGAGTACGACTTAAACAGGTACCATGGTATAAGGTCCAGTGGACTGATAGAATTGGCTCAGAGCGCAAGGCACTAATGCAATCCATTATCACTCTTTCTCCCCCAACTCTAAAACAAATAGGAAAGAATGAGAATAGTACATACCACAACGTCATTCTTCAACGGACCCATTAAGGTTTCCTCTTCAGAGAAGCGAACTGTGCCGGGGTTCTTCCCTTGCCAACTTTGGAGCAAGGTAAGTACTCGCGGCTCTACTCTTGTTTAGGGGCACATGCCCCTTTTATATATTTATAAAGGATAACTGAATCATTGTCTTAGAATACGGTAATCTGGTATTTTCTGGTGACGGACTAAACATTAGAAATGTGCTGGTTCGGGACGGAGTTCTCCCTCGGAAAGAGCCTAGGTTGTATCCATTCCAGCCACGGGCAATTTTGTGTACCCTCATACCATACCACTAGTACTCGGCATACTGAGGACAGAGTCTAACACCTCCTCGTGACACGTGCTTCCGCCACATATATGTGGCGGTCTGTAGAGAGCACCGCCTCGTCACATGATACGGCCTGGACAAACCCATGATGCATCCCAGCGGATGTGCCATCGGCTTCAATACACCTCCGTCGTTGCAGCGACAACCAAAGTTACCACCGTTGCAGTGGGCCTGGGCTTGAATCTGGCATCACACTAACTGCATTGTTCTATTTAGGTATGCTTGGGCTCGTATGTGCGTGACTTCTCTTCTGGAATGGAATGACTGATATGTCATCACACTAGCCCGACAAAATGACCAGCGTTTAACGGCAAATTCTAGCGTCGCGTCACATGCAAATGTCTGGCAAAAGGGCTCGCGCAGCCTTTGAGGCTGATCTGCAGGCACAGGAGTCTCCTTATGCCTTCTACGGGACTCCTCTTCCACCGCTGGATGCCGGCGTCCGCGACGATGGATCTTACGTGCCGATCTGGAAACAGGAGGTGACAGATGACCGGGGAAGGAAACGCCTCCATGGTGCCTTCACCGGTGGATTTAGTGCCGGGTGAGCTCACGATTCATGGATAGTGTTGGACAGCACACTAAAAGTGGTCGCATGTTTCAGGTACTTCAACACCGTCGGATCGAAGGAAGGATGGACCCCCTCAACTTTTGTTTCCTCGCGGCAGAACCGAGCAAAGGATGCTCGACAACAACGGGTAGAAGACTTCATGGACGAAGAGGATGTCCGGGAGGCAGAAGAATCTCGAAATCTACACACTACCGATGAATTTTCTGGGTTTGGGTCTACAGATGTCGACCCCAACCGCCGGGGAGGGCTAATGGACGTTTTCAGAAGTGGCGGTGAGACAATGGGAATCAGACTGTTGAAAAGGATGGGGTGGAAAGAGGGCCAGGGCATTGGTCCTAAGGTTCGACGCAGTGCTCATCTTGGCGACGACACAGCCTCTGGTGGTGGAGGCACTGACAAGACGTACTTGTTCGCACCGGAGAATTCACGCATGGTGACTTTTATACATAAGACAGATCACAAAGGGCTTGGGTTTGAAGGCGAATCTCGTCTTGGCTCCCAAAAGGCTGGGGGCGACGAGTCTGATGAAGATGCCGATCCATTCTTTGGGCAGCGACTGACGGGTCAGGGCATTTCTAAGCGGTCAACTCCAAAGGAGCCGCGTCGCGGAGCATTTGGTGTCGGTGTGCTGAATGACACCGGCTCAGATGACGAGGACCCGTATTCCTTAGGGCCTCAGATCTCGTATAATCGAGTCATTGGGAAAGAAAAGAAGAAGAAAAAGAAGTTGCTGGAAGATGCGAAGCCAAAGATGGCATCCAACCCTCTATTGAGCAACAAACCGGTCTTTATATCCAAAAAGGCGCTTGCCTCTAGGAACTCTACAGGGTTCAGGAAATGCCATGATGGCCGGTTACCCTTAGATGGGTTTGTGCTAGCGGACGGCGTCTCTAGCCTAACGATTTCAGCACAGGAGAAGAAATATGCACCTCCCGAGGTTCCTAAAGATTGGAAATGCAGCAAGACTCCATCAGAAGAGAGGGATGCATCTAAATACGTTTCTACAGCCGAGGCAGCTAGAGCTTCTTCTTTGAACCCCACCTCACGAGCTGCGCTTTTGGGGGAAGCGCAACTTCCCGGGAAATCTATTTTTGATTGGATGACCCCTGAGTCCAGGGAGAGAATCATCAAACTAACAGGGAAGACCGACCTACCGCCAGCATTGGGTGAGAAAGCTCCAGAAGGATACGAGATGTCAGAGGCGCAAAAACGGAAGGATTTGTGGGATCTTGTTCCCAAATTGGATAAGCAAGTCGCAGTTCAGGCTTTGACCCGAGCGGCTAGTGGTTGGATGCCTTATTCCGAGGATCCAGATAAGCGATCCCGATATCGAACGTTCCTTCAAGTCCGGGCGGGACTCCGAGAAAGTCTTCCGGATCGGGTTTCGGGGTCGAGCACCGACGAATGGGTTGCTGAGCTCCACGAGTTCGCCCGCGCTGCAGAGGTCTTCAAACCCATGTCGGGGGCCATGGCGTCGCGATTCACGTCTGCCTCCAGCGGACCAAAAGGATCCTCAGATGAGGCTGAATCATCTGCGACGGATTCATTACTTCAGAACCCTGCCACGAAGCCCGAAGACCCTGCCGTAGCGGCCGCAAAGATCGGCATGTTTGGCCCGATGACTCGGAGCAACATATCGTTCTATCCGACGCGTTTGCTGTGCAAGCGGCTTAATGTGAAACCCCCGGGCCATGTACAATCAGACCCCAGTGATCCGGTCAAACCTTCAGACACTGCCTCTGGGGGACGGTTCCAGTCTGCAGGATATCAGACTCCTGGGCCTAAGGAATTAGTCTCGCAGGAAGTTATGGATCAACTTCTGCTTGAAGCAGGCGCGAGCAGTGGCGCTGTCGAAAAACCTAAACCGATCGTAGTGGAGCCTGAGCGCAACGAAGCCTTGGAGGCGGAGCGACCAGGCGAGGAAATTTTCAAGGCGATATTCGGAAGTGATGACGAGGACGATGAGAGCTGAGTAGCTCGAATAGTCTTCTCTTTTATTTTATTTTTTTCCTCTCTCACTACGGTTTGTTGCATATGATATCCGGTTTTCTTCTGGGAAGGGGGTGAAAAAAGGACCTGTAAAGCAATATAGGGTTAGAGGCAAAAAAAGAAAGGAAAAGGTTTCGAAGCATGGATGACGAACACCTCAAGCGCTGATCCGCGTGACAAGCGTAGTTAGTCGAAGACGGATCACAATTGGATCTCCACAATGGAAAAAATTAAGAATCCAACCCACAACGGCGTGGATGGTGGAGACCCCATTTAATTCGTATTCACCTTCAACCAAGCTCTGGCGAACGCAAGCGAACATTGGTCCGGATATACTAGTCTGAATTGGAGATTCTCAAAACCAGCGGTCAATTGGAACTCATACAGAGTAGAGAGATGGAGAGAGAAACAGACAGAAAGAGTAGGTAAAGGGCAGTGGTAATAATATCAGTCACGGAGTGGTCAGTGTTGATTTGGTACGGCGAACCATTAAATCCTTGGGTATTTCCGAGGGTGAGGTTTTTTTTAAGTACGAGAATATACGGAGTACAGAGTAATTCATAGGATACATACGTATGCCTCTTACGCTTCCTTTTCCCCTCTTCCCCAGAGTTTCCTTTCTTAATAATCGTCGTATTCGTTACATTCCTTTCTTTTTTTTTTTTTTCCCTTCCTCTTCTTCCTCTCCTTCTCTTTCGTCTCTTACTTACTCTCTTTCTCTCCTCGTCTGCCCCCTGTGGACTCCTTTTCTGTCCTGAGCGTCTCCCAGCGACTTGTTCAAGCGACGACGCTTATCATTCCAGCTTCTTATCGGTCCATACCAAATACGTCATGCAACGCTTCTCGACCGTGGGCCATTAAATTCCCAAAGTCAGTCATACGATTACCGTTCAGGTATATACATACATACAAACAACTACATTCCATACGGCGTACCCTCCGCTCTCGTCTTCGGCCCTTTCCCACTCCTCCACACTACGTCTCTGTTCCCATACAGTACATCTTGGGAATCTTGAAGCTTTTCGCATCGTTCTTCCTGGCTGAATGGAGTCCAGTCCTCAATATCTACAAAATGGTACAGCCCTTCTCGTTAATGCTAAGCTCTTTCTCTATTTCCACCTTGCGCGATGATTGGATCCCTCCCACTAGCACAACAAGCACCATCCTTGCAGATTTGCACCCCTCCACGTCAACCCAACTTCCTCTAAAAGACCCCATTTCAGTATCTCTATATTAACTCTCTTTCTTACAGGGTTGTTGCTTGTCCACTGCGCGTGACAACCGCTCCGCATATGCGACCCAGACAGCCACCGAAGAGCGCCGTCCGGATGCGTCCGCTCGTGGGGTGAATTCAACCGCCGCCGCCACTATCCCTTCTAACTCGGCGCGTGTCGTCATTCGTGCCTCCCCGGATCATCTCCCGCTGAATGAGAATTTCAACGCCCCTATCCGCCGTCGTGTCTGGTATAGCAAGCGCCGACTGTGGAATCGTGCGCAGCTGGATCAGGAGCGCAAGGAGTTCTTCGAGACGCGGGTGACGGGCAAACCTGAGATCTGGGCCGCGCTGTCTGCGGCGATCTCGCTCATGCAGACGGGTGATCTCACCACGGCTCAGGGTATCATTGACGCTGCCGGAGTGACGGTGCCTACGGGTGATCTGTGTCAGGGTGTCTACGATGAGCAAGGGGTCCTCTATAGATTACCACAGTGTATTGTGAGCGATCCAGAGAACTTGGTGAAATCCAACCTCGGAGAGGATGATTTCGACACCGACGACGGCAAGTTGTCATTGGACGAGGAATCGGGAGACGAACTTATCGCAGACGATGCCGAGCGTCGCAGAGATGAAAAGGGCAAGCTCAGCGAGCGGGATTTGATCCGCGTGAAAGCACGACTAAGCGATAGGGGCGGGCCTGACATGGTCGTGACCGTCGGCAAAACGCAGAATGTTGCTTATGTCGCACGCAAATTGCAACAGGAAGCCGAGGTAAGTCAAATCAGACCTATATGGTATATATCTCATAACTAACGCGCAGCGTTCTCGCCCAGATCCCCAAAACACAGCGAATAAAAATCGCCTACTTGGGCAAAATCCTCAAGGAACATTTACCCCTAGTCGACCAAGGATGGAAACAAGGCAATGTGATCAACGCATTGGTTGTCGCACGGCCATCTCCATCATGCTAGTCGCCATTCCATCGATTATTGAAATCCCGTGGAACTCTTCCCGAATCGGAGATTGATACAATCTGCGAGACATTTCAGCCATTTAACGACTACCAACCACCATTACGATATCCCCTAGTCTATTGTTTAATTTGCATAATACCCCATGTTTATCTGTTTCATCACCTATGTCCACTAACATACCTACTTCCCTGGCTCAGATGTACCTGTTTTCAGGTTGCTCAGTTTGGCTGATAGCCACCTCCTTCCTGGCCACGGCATTATGTGATACGTCACAGTATGTATTTGACTGCAGCTGTCAATCATAGGAATAGTCTAATTAAATGAAATGTGAGTGTCTGTGTGGCATTCAATATATGAATCTAGTCCCTGTCCCTTGCAGCACCTTCTTCCAGAAAAACAATAGTGGGTATAGGTGGTCATGATTTGCGTAAATGGACATACAACCAGACGATTGCTTGGAAGTCAAAAGCTACATACACAGCGCTATAGTTTGTTTGGCTATATAGCAATAGTACGGCGTACGTACTCTACATTGTAGTGTATTTATTACTCCATATTGCGTGGTACAAAAAAGTTCGGCCCAAAAAAGAGAGTGCATCATCCGTGAATCGAACACGGGCCTCATCGATGGCAACGATGAATTCTACCACTAGACCAATGATGCTGGAGATATGAACCAGTAAGCTATCCAATCCATTTCTTGTTATATTACTTTATTAAATATATTATGATCAGAAGGAAGACAAATATAGAACATTGTGAGTATAACTAACCCTAATAATGATGGCAAGGAGTTAGCTATATTAATGATGCTATGGTATTCTATCAACAATTATATCAACAAAGTTATATATATTCAAGGCATTATTAGTGCTTTGGTATATATAGTTTAATCCTTGGATAGGCATGAAATAGGATGATGAAACGCATGAAGTGAGATATATATCGCAGTTCCCTTCTCTCCCTCCATGGAAAACACCAAGATGCGATCAAACCAACCTTCCATTCTCGGCCTCCCTCCCCTTAGGCGTCGTCCCAGACCGTCTCTTGAACACCCGACAAACCACTTTCGCACTACTCCCAATACCCCGTACCAAGCTAGTGGGGTTATAATGCTTAACTCGGAAGAGGTAATACAGAGCAACAGTACCCATGACATTGAAGCCGATGTAAGCCCAGCCCAGTCCGAAATTCCGCCACCTCTCACTGTAGTCTGTTCACTAGTTAGCCTGTGACCCGGATTCCGGTAGAAAGACTTACAGATGTTACTGCTGGCGAGGTACTGGTCGGCATTCTGAAGCTGACAGTACTCGCATCCTTGTGTTGCGCTGGGGTTGTACAGCATGCCTGGCGCAGACTGGAGATACGGGGCCAGGTAGTCGCCACAGGTTGAGCCGGACGGTGGATTGAAGACGCTTAGTTCGGCTGCGTCACATGTGATTGCTCGGCCGTGTAATCCTGTTCCTGTCATGCCCGCGATTAAGTATGTCAAGGGCGATACTCGATACATGAAGATCCAGAATCCTGGGAGAGCGTTCGGTGGTTGCATGACTCCGTTGAAGGTGGTGGCCATGATGAATAGCAATGTTGCGATAGTTCCTCCCGTCTCTGCGTCGGGCAGTGCGGCTATAATAAAGGTTGCAAATGTTGAGGTGAACAGGTAGAACTGGATGATGAAGATCAACATGAGGCCTTGCCGTTGAGATGCCTGATTGGCACCGTAGATGGGATAATAGTAGCATGCCCATGAGATTACCCCGACAAATATCTGGTAAGGTATCTCAACTATTACGTTGGCGATAAGGAACGCTGCCCATGAATATGCCTTCGATGGTCGCTCTCTAACTTCGTATAAAGATCGCTGGACCACGAATTTTGGCATGATTCTAATGCCTGCGTTAGCTGGTATCTACAAACAAGAGTTTGGAACTATCACATACTGTTGTACCAATGTTGAGAAGATGGAAGTCAGCATGAAGGCACTGAACAAGATGTCCTGGAATCCCTGCTGACTGCTATTGGGCTTGAAGAATGTGAAACCAATGAATAGCGACGAGAGGGTGGCAAGAAGGATCTTGGCCCATATGTAGGAGGGCTCTCGCCAGTACTGTTGGAAGACACGATGAGTTACGTACCCCAGCTGGTACATAAACGGCATGGCGTATTCCGCAGGTTCTCTGTGATGGGTGTCGTCATTACCCTTGGATGCTGAAGCCCTCTCTTGATAGATTCTGTCAATTTCCTTTTGGACATCACTAGATTCGCGACTTTCATTCCATACGGCAGACCAGTCCTTAGAGGCTTTACCAGAGGCGCCGGCTCCGATAATTTCCAGCATATATTCGGCCGGCTTCCCCCTGTCAGTATGCTATCAATGAAGACGAAAGCGTACACTTACATTCTCATCCGAACCGCAGGCTCTTGCTCCATTCGCTTCAAAGTAGTCAAGGAGAGTGCGAGACTGCTCACCGATTTCTCCAAAATAAACAGTCTTTCCGCCCTTGGCCAGAAACAAGAGACGGTCATACTGCTGAAACAAGAGCGCACTCGGTTGATGGATCGTAGAAAGCACTGCTTGACCATGATCTGCGAGCTTCCGCAAGAAGGCTACAATAGACCAAGAACTCTGAGAGTCTAGACCACTAGTTGGTTCATCAAGAAAAATCAGCAATTCAGGCTTTGCAGCCAACTCCACCCCAATTGTCAAAAGCTTCCTTTGCTCAACATTCAAGCCTTCTCCTGGTGTCCCAACAATAGCGCCAGCGAAGTCCTGCATGTTGAGCATCTCTATAACTTCCTCGACAAACTCGTACTTCTCCTTCTTCGAGACTGACTTTGGCTGACGCAGGAGTGCACTGAACCGTAGCGCCTCTCTCACGGTTGTTGTGGAAAGGTGGAGATCTTGCTGCTGCACATACCCTGTTTTTCTCTGGAAACTATTGTCAAGCGCTTTCCCATCTACCAGCATATCACCTGTCACGACGCCGATAGAAACACGCTTAGCGAGAACATCAAGCAAGGTCGTTTTACCAGCGCCTGATACACCCATCAGTGCGGTAAGTGTACCAGGCTTAACCCACCCCGAGACGTGGTCTAATAGACGCCGCTCTCCCCCTTTCACAGGGATATCATAGCACACATTTCGCCAGGTAAATATGCTTTGCTGCTCTGGTATAACGGATACATCATTCTCAGTTTCCTTCTCTTTATTTGACTGAGCGAGTTCTGTAGATCCAGAGTCACCTTGAGTTTTGTCAAGGTCGCGCATATGTGCCGGCGCATGGCCCCGTCGAAACACCAAGAACTCGGCTTTAGAAGAAGTCTGGGAATTAATTTCCGTAGCCAGTAGATAGATCGCGGAGAAGAAAATCCAAAAGCCTATCAAAATGCCAAGGTTCCTCCATTCGTGCGCATATGTGTACCTATACTGCGATTCAATGAAAGCGTCCCCAGAAACGGTCCTTTCTCCTGCAACAGCACCTCTGACAGAGCAAATGAAGGAATCACCGCTAAGGCTCGGGTAAGAAGGCACAAATTGCGAGCATATGAACTGTCGACCATGGAACTCGTTGGCTATCATGGACTCGAACGTGTAGAAGATGGGATTGATCCATCGGATCCAGCTAAACCACGGGATGTCATGCATCTGTGGAACAGGAATTACAAAGCCTGTATAGATGACGATTGCTAAGACTAATACACCAGCCATGGCCATAGCTTGTGCGAGGGTCTTTGTCGCAGCTGCAAGGGTCCGAAAGATTCCCGACATTGCAAGAGTACTAAGGAATGTAAATAAGAAGAAAATGAAAAACTGGGACGCCTCATATCGCTATATGCTTGTGTTAGCAGCTTTTACATTATGGGATGACTAGTCACTACCTACCAATCCAGCCAGGAAGTAAAAAATGATATTGAAAATCACGGCTGAGATGAACTTCACTGGTATGTCGCTTACAATGCCCCCGAATGCCTCAGTGAAGGGGTGGACAAAAGCATAGGACGCTTGCTTCTCAACTATAGGTCGCTGGTCATAGAGGGAGTTGATCTCGGTGATACTGATAAGGGCATTCATTCTAGACACAGGGGTTAGCCCGGGATTTGCGTTTTTAAGATCATCCGGGTCACCAGGATTGATACATAACATCCAAAGGCATACTCACAGAACAGCAAAGAAAAGAGCAGCTCCTTTACTATAGAATCCGGCTGTAGCATTCGGTGTCCTATGAAGGTTAAAACTGTACTAGACATAAGGGTGATATCGAACTACTCACCCAAAATACATGGAACCAACTATAAGCGCCATGAAGATTCTTCCGAGGACCGTTGTCAATGTGGCGGGCTTGTCGTTCCAGAGTCTGAGGTGGTTAGTATAGAAATGATGGCAAAAGTGTAGTGCAAGGATCAAGGAATCGATATGTACCGCTGATAAGCTCTGATTGTGCAGAGTTTGATTTGCATCGGAATTGATATGATATAAGGGCTCTCCGGTCGAACATGCTTTGCCTGTTTAACTCTCTTCATTTCTCCAAAGCTTTGCTCCGCTTCTCCTCCCACTGGGAACTCCATATTATACTCATCGATTTCACTTTGGAGCGCGGCATATTGAGGGCTCGTTTTCCAGTACTTCTCAAATTCATCAGGCGTGCGAGGGACCTTGTTCTCCATTCCATCCCGTGCTTGACGCTCCTGCGGGTTGGTAACGGCTGTCAAGAAATCCCCAGTAGTTTGGCGTGGTGGACAATGCCAGCCCATACCGGTGAAGTAGTCTCTTGCCTCATCACATGGACCAAAATAGATCTCTCGCCCTTCGTATAGAACGATAGCCTTGTCAAAGACATCGTATATTGCCTGCGAGGCTTGATAGATGGCAACCGCATGACTAGTGCCAACTAAATTGGAGGAAAGCCGCAGTGCTTTGACAAACTCCAATGCGCTTGCAGAATCCAGACCTCTGGTACTGTTGTCCCATGCTCCCATAGGTGCACCAGAAACTGGTATAATGTCAATTGCAAAAGTTACCAAAGTAAGGGCGACTTAAATACTTACGTGCCATCTCAGCTATACTGTATGCGAGTCAGAGAAGTACCAACAATCATGATATGTAGAGCATACTGACCTAACTCGTTTTCGTTCACCCCCTGAAACACCTCGAATATAGTCATCACCCACTGTGCACCGGTGTCAGCTACTTCAACTTCCGGCGGTTTCTAGCTTGCACGACATACCCTTTGTGTTAAACGTATGAAGTAGGCCAAATACAGCCATCGCAACCTTGGTGATGTGCTTAGCAAACTCTTGTCGCTTCAGCCCAAGTAACCTATTCTCAGGGGTTCTCGCCGCTGCAGCAAATTCCAACGTTTGTCCGACGGTTAAATGAGGGAAATGCTTATCCACTTCTTGATTGTACAAAACCTCACCCTTGAACTCTTTATGCATCTTTTCCATGGAAACACCATTATACTGTATCTCTGAGCTTTCACGAAGCTTTAAACCATGCAGCTGGCCACACAATGTTTTAAGAAAGGTCGAACATCCGCTCCCAGGCCTCCCCAGAACAATGAGCATCTCGCCGCTCTTTAGGAGACCATCAAAATTGCGCAAAATCTGCTTCTCTGGGGACTTTTTCACAAAGCTCAGCAATCCTTGTGGGCGGAAAGGTTCCCACAAAATCGACCCCACAGTGCTTTGATATTGCAGCGCCGAGCCTGATCCGGACACATTGAGATTCTGAAAAACAACTCCAGTCGAAGGGGGACGAGGAATGCCTTCCTTATCCATCAGCTTCAGTCTCATCCGAGTCCATTTGTACTGGTCGAATTGACCACTGGTAGGGTCCAGAGAAGGGTGATCGAGGCCAATATCCTCAAGCGTATCTTTGCGTTGGAGACGAGCTTCGCTCTCTTGAGAGTTAGTCGCAGGACGTTGCAAGGGGAAGTTTGACGCAATACGCGTCAACTCCGCTCTGCCTTCGGGATTAATACTCTCGAAGACTGAGGCATCATCGAACTTTGACCCCCTTCGCTTGTACTGCTGTCTCACGTTTGCCGCATCTTCCTGGATTGAGCTTGACCGGCTGCTGCCGGTGCGTTTCTCCTCTGTCATATCAAATCATACAATCAGACTTGTGTGAACTGACTAGATAAGATGTCAAGTATTAAGGCAATGAGGGTGTGAAGTTTGTTCACTTTGAAGATGACCAACGATGCACAATAAGGATGTATGTAGAATGCAATTGAAACCAGGTAAAGAAATCGAGTAAACGAACAGCAATATTTGGGCGTAACGATTCCATATAAGGAAGCCCACACATTTCGCGTGTAACCCCATTCGTCTCCAAGCGAGCTGCAACCTAGGTACTGATTGACCTGTTATGATGGCATTACGGTTTGCTAATTGACTCTCGGGCTGATGTTCAATTCGTCCCGCGGGAAGTGGTGATGTCATTGATAGCAAGACTCAAATGCCTGAGAGACCCCTCGTTGGAGCAACTCCAAGATTTCCGCACTATCAAACTGCATCTTCTCAACCTGAGTGGTCGTTGTGTCTATACACATGGAGCCACCAGGGGTCGTACAGAAGGTAATGTTGTAATGTGCCCTGGATGCGGCAGAGAAGAGAGTTTATCGGCGTCGAGAGCTGAAGACGAGTACATAATATTTTAGGGGGATAATTGATTAAAGCGGTTAAGTTTCCAACTTGGGATCTGGTGTCTCGCAACAGCAGCTTCGTAGAAATAGTATACAACAGGGTGAGTTGGAGGTTTGGATATCACTGGCTGATTGTACTGTGTACTAGACTTTTCTCGTGCGGTCTTAATACTAAGATACCCGTGATCCGATCACAAATTAAGCAGCCACTTTCCACTTTGGGAATCTAGTTTTTCTGAGTATATTTTTACCCTCCATCTATCCTTCTGTTAATCAACTTTCCCTACTTTCAGTCTCAAAAGTCTCAGCCTGTTTGTGGGTCCAGCATCATCGATCTCGCGGAATATCGTGAATTGTAATAGTACCAATGGATGCTGAGTAGACCGTAAATCATAAAAGTCGACTAAGTCGATTAAAGTTCCCCACCCAGTTGGGTCTCGACCATTAGTGGTGCACTTGAATATTCACCCAATCACAACTCTAGACTCACCCCACCCAAATATCACTAGAACAAACAGAGCAAACACTAAAAAAAAAAAAAAAAAAGATTATGTCTGTATGATGGTCTGCGGCATATCAAGTTAGACATAAAGCAAACAACACAGCTACAACCATGACAGATCTACAAAAGACTCCCTTCGTCAGGGAGCTCGCATCCAGCGGTATGTCCCAAAATCAGTCCAACCCCACCTCAATCGCAGCTGTCCACTTCGCGCACTCCAACCCAAAGCTAACCAGTTATCGCAGACAAGAAAATCCGGGACAAAGCAACCGACTCCCTAACTCTCTTCCTCCGCTCCAGAGCCGACCTCTCTCTCATCGAGCTTCTCAAACTCTGGAAGGGCCTGTTCTTCTGTACGTCCCGCGCTGCTCCTATGCCTACATACACCCAAAGTTGAAATCCAATTGTATATCGAGAAAACTAACAAACGACTCAAACCAGGCTTCTACCACTCCGACCGCCCACTCACACAACAAGCCCTCGCGCGGAACCTCTCCTACTCGCTTGTCCCGACTATCCCCCGCTCCGCCGTCCATCGCTTCCTGCGCGCATTTTGGATCACCATTGGCCGAGATTTCCATTCGCTGGATCGGTTGCGACTGGACAAGTACCTGATGCTGATCCGTTTCTATGTCGGGGTTGCATTTGAGATCTTCCTGAAGGGCGCGCAGCAAAAGGTCGCGCAGGACAAGGACAGCAACAAGAAGCGGAAGAGGGAAGCCGAACAGAACGGAAAATCGAAGAAGCGGTCGAAGGGAAAGAAGCAGAGCGAGGTTCTCGAAGAAAAGGAAGAGGAGCAGAATGATGAGACTAAGTGGGCGGAATTGGAGTCGTACATCTCAATCTTGGAAGAGGGCCCGCTCTGTCCGCTTAACTTTGACCCCGACCAGCCCCCTACTGATGAGAAGAAGGATTATGTCGCCATGCCCCATGGCCCCGATGGGTTGAGGTATCATATTATGGATATCTGGATTGATGAGGTGGAGAAGGTGCTTGAGTTCGAGGAGGGGTCTGATGGGGTGCGGAAACCGAAGGGTGATGTTCCAGTTGAGCTGCTTTTGAGACCCATTGAGAAGCTGCGGGCCGACAGCCCGTATAAGCCTGTAAGAACTCGGGCGAAGGAGACTTTGGAGGATGAGCGATTGATTGAGTGGGGATTCCGGACCCGGAAGGTTGATTCGGATGAAGAGGATAGTGACGAGGAATGGGGTGGATTTGATTGATTTCCATGTCTTACTAGAAAATTTGATGTCTATTGTGGGATTCCATGGTGTTGATTTTTTATATACAATTATAGCGGTCACCATTTTTTCTTTCTCTTCTGAAATTAAAGGCTCTTATTGCTGGTTCGGAGATGCAGATACAACAACAATTGTCTTTCCATGAACTCTATAGTAAAGTGTATACATCACGAGCTGTAGTTGTTAGTCAGTTCTGGCTAACGGTATCCAGCTAGCAGAGCCCTAAACTAACTGCATTAAAAGCATGCCTGTGCTTCCTCGAAAGTCTTGCGCGCGGGTATCATAGAATGACAAGACCAGTAAAAATAAATATATGTATACAACCAAAAGACATCACTGGCGACCTGTTTCTCCATTGTGTCCTTTGTTACTTGAAGGGACTGTGTCAAGGACATCACGGTCTCGGACCCTCTGCCTCATAGAGATGTCCCGATTTAGAGAGTACCGTACCGAGACCTCTATGGACTTCAGCCTGGAAGGCTTCGAATGGGATGCTTTCACCGTCAACGCTGATATAGCCTTCCTTCTGACGAGGGACCAGGCGGTAGGCAAAAGCTTTGCGGATCTTGACATCGGGCATATCAAAGAACTCATTCTCGGGGATGGCGGTCATCATCTTGAGGGTCGTAGTACGAGGGATTGTTCCGTTAATGGTGACAATGTCCATCAGCCCATCGTTGGGCACGGAGGCGGGGAAGAAATTTGTGTCCTTGGACACAATAGCCATTTTGCCCGCGTAAAAGTTACCCATTTCTTCGCCTGGAATGACTTCCCAATCTTTGGGAAGATCATCCTGGACCGTGCCGTACTTAAGCTCGGGAAGACCCTTGGACTGTCCTGCAGTCTCTTCGGGGGAACGAAGCGGAGCTGGATTGTGTGCGTATGTATTATAATGGTCTTTGATCGCCTTTTTGTCATCAGTCTCCACCTTGATGGCGAGGTCGCATGGGTACACCGTCCGTTGCATGATGCGTACAAGGAAACCGTATGTGAAACGGTGAGCTCCCATCCATCGGATGTTGTCGGTTCCTAGGTCCGATTCCGCGATGACACCGAAGGATTGAGACAGGAATGACAGTGTGCGAGAATTCCCTTGCGTAAGCGAGACCAGATCCATCGGCGTTCTCAGGCCTTTGACAATCGCAAGCGCTGCCACTGAAACATTGCCCGTGCCACAAAGGTTCCATGCCATGGCATTACCAGAGCCGCAGGGGACCATGGCGACGGCTACTTTTGCCAGTGCTTCTCCAGCATTCGGTTTCTTTCCTAGACCGTTGAAGACCTCGTACGGTAAACCATCACCGGAGCAGCAAACGATAGCATCGTAGGCGTCAATGTCGATTCGCTCCACGATCTCGGTGGCGTGGCCTCGATGTGTTGTTTCCTGCACATCCACTACACAGCGCGCAGCGGCGAAGACCGGCGCTGCATGTTTGTGATAGCTCTTAGAAGCTGCACCTTTACCGCCAAATGGGTTGATCAGAACCTTAAGTCTTTTGTACCGTTGTGCTTCGCCATATGCAAGGTCTAATAATTGCGAAACCCATGCCTGCGCACTTGCCTTTTCTTTCTCGGTGATCGGGTACTCGAGGGCCGTCACGGAAATGCTGTCTTTGGTAGCAGCTTGGGCATAAGTGATGGTTAGGCCCGCAGGGGAAAGATCGGCATCAAGAATATTATACAGCCCAATGGAATGGGTAGTTTTCGCTGTTATAGATACAGTCAGTCAGATTGAACCATATTCTTTTGAGTCGACGCGAGATAAGTTCCCCTCCGAATTGGAGTCAAGTAAAACGCGACGAGACAAAAAATCAAGAAAATCAAGAAAAGAAAAAAGGAAGGTATTCGGTGCGACATACATGACTTGGCCAACAAGCCACAGCATGCGCGCTGATCTTTTGACTTTGGGCGCTCGTCTGTAGCACCAGAGTTAATCAACAAGGAACTCTACGAGCCATTGATTCCTAACCACGTACCGACAACGATAAGGGAGTCGCCCCCGATAGTAAGGGAAACCGATTGTGCAACTGTCAGAGTTGAATCGTGCTGTAGCAATTGTTGAGAATCCGGCCGATCCGCATGATTGTTGGAGGGAGAAGTCATAATGTTACGTTAGGAAGCGGAAATCGCATCCTACCGAGGGGTGGGTAAAGGGAAAAGAAAAAATAAAGGAACGACTCTGGCAGGGAGTGATCAACAGGGCAGAGAAGGAGAGAGGAGGTTCAGTAAGTCAAGAATAATAATAAGTTACTGGAAGTAACGACGGAGTATGGACGAGCCGGGCGGAGTTCAGGAAAAGGCTAACTAAATAATTGATTTTTTGTAAATGTCAAGAAAATTAAAATCCCAATGGACTGACTTGGTTTCATTTAAATGTTGCAATGGCCCACCGGTTCCTTCGTACAAGAACTGGCCTTTTTCTATTTCGAGTATTTCTTGCGCCGTTCTGAACCTGACACGGCGGATCTCCCCTTGCGATTCGTTTTTTATTCTTACTTGTAGTATTGTCCCTTTCCACATCCCTTCAATATAAGTCCGTCTACTCGACTCCTCTCTATCAACTTCCGGCACTTCCGCGCATATAAATTACTCCACGTTTGACATGCGCTGCAGAACCACAGCCATTGCCGATTCCCACCCATATCTCTTTTTGAATACCAAGCCCAATTATTGGGTCATTCTTCCTCTCCATGCGTAATGAACCGCTCCTGAAACCAAGTGGCCCTTCCGTTGCATCCTCACCCAGGGTTTAGGCCGTTTCCACAGCCGAGGCATCAGCGATCTGCGGGGTGTGGAGACACTTAACAACTTGAACATAACATTGGTGATTGTGCATAATACATTATTATTGTACGATCCACTGATGGTCAATTGATATGTTAACAAGCAGAAACAACCCAGGAAACCCATTGAAGATCTATTTGTAAAATTCTTTCATTTCAAAGAGGAAAAAGTCTTTTCTCATCCAGTACAACACGGTAGAAAAAGGAAAACACGTATAGTCAAGAGATTCGTCCATCAGAGTCACACTGAAGAGAGAACAACAACGCAGATCAAATACAATAGATACTATGATAATAAGATAGAATGTAAAAGGGTAATCAACTATTCAAGCGCTGGTCAACATCAATTAGGCAGCCGAGGCCTTGAGGCCTTTCAGGGATCCCAAACTCAATGCCAGTCCCTGTGAACGGCTTCTTATCCGCACAAATCCAGTGATCGGTCCGTCGTCTCCTTCCTTCTCGATGCTCAGGTTTGCAAGTGCGTCCTCGCCTGTGACACCGTTAGCCCTCGTCCGACGAAATACTACCATCACGCGGGTGAAGTATACATACCAAATACGCTCCGGGCATATAGATTAGCACTCAAGAATCGACAGTCTCCCTTCAGCGATGCTTCTGGCGTCAGGCATGACATGTTGGTGCTGTCCATGAGTTGCTTGAGGAATTCGCGGAGGCTCTTCGCCTTGGAGTTGATGTTGACCTTGTTCTCCCACTCGAATTCGGTCCACATGGTCCGGAACTGAGTCTCGGTGCAGTGAGCCGGCTGGATGTAATCCATAATGTCGGCATGAATGTCGTTGAGAATGACGACGTGCGACTCAGTTGAGCTGGCGCCATCATACACGATGTTACCAAAGATGACACCCGTGTCCGTGGACGATACCTTGACTGTAGCCTGCACATTCAAGAAATCGCGGGGTCCGAGGTTGTGGGTCGCTGGTCGTTCGACAACCTTCAGGTCTCCAAGTGTCGCAAACTCGACGGACAGGTTTTGCAGGGTTTCCAGAGTTTGGTTGACCAGAAGAACGTCCAGAACAATATCAAACTGGTGAACGGTGACGTAGGCCTCGGCATAGACGGGATCTGAGAAACCAGTGAGTTGCACCACACGGCTGAGCTTCGAAGAGACAGTTTCCACCGTGGAGTCCCCGCCGGTGGCCTTGGCCAAATCAAGCTCAATTTCCTCCGCGCCCTCAAGAGCGTTCTTCTTGGAGAATTGTCGGATGGGGATAGCATCATCAATCTGCACAGCACTCTTGGCCTTCTCGACCGCCTCCTTAGCCGCTCTCTTCTTGTCCTCCACCTGGACCATGGCCCGGAATGCCTTCCGGGTGTCCTCCAGAAAGGTGGTTTCTAGTTCCTTTCTCTCGGAGAATTCAGCAAGCGAGCGTACACAGCACATGATACGGTCCACTGAGTCCTCATCGATAGGGGCTTTAACGAAATGGGATTGGCCGACACGAATGATCGAGATCATGATCAGCATTGCCTCCGCACGCAGTGCGTTTGTCCGAGCAGCATCCTCGGAAACTTCAGAATGGCGCATCACCAATTTCGTCAAGGTGGAAGAAAGAACGGTTGCTAGGTAGTAATCACCGTCCAGGATCAATTGACGGAGAGGGGGCTTCTGAGCAGCTTTGACGGCTTCAAGCCTGGCTGCAGCCGCGGACTGGCTAGTCAGAGCATTCTCAGTAGCATACGTGCCATCTGCCAACACCTTCCTAGATCCTGTTGGCGCCGAAGGTTTAGCATGGCCGTTGGCCTGTTCCTTGAGTGCACTGTCTTCTGGGGTTTCGTCAAGCAGCCGCTGCTCCGAGGCCAAGATAGGGATTTCACCCAAGCTAGCTCTGATCTTCTTCCAGGCTTCACGGATGTCTTTCTCCTCCAAAGAGTATTCACCGACAACCCACAAGACACCGCGGTAAACCTTTCCGGCACGGACCTCACTCAAAGTCGACACCAGGCGATCGACGATGGAAGCGCGCAGGTTAGGGAACTTCTCCACGACCTCCTTGACGAATGAGATCACATCTACGGCAGAGTTGTTGTTAAAGTCTGCAATGAAGTCCATTAGAAGATCAACGACGCTAGCAGCGATCTCCGAGAATTTAATGGCACAATTGTGTATCGATTGGATAAGCAGTTGACGATACTCGCTATTCTACATAGATTGTCAGTTGGATGCTCTTGTTACAAAGGAGTCGGAAACATACCTTCTCGTATTGCTCATCTACAGTCTTGGCAAGCTCCTTCTTCAGCAGCATGACAATCTCTTCGACATTCTTGCTGGAGACCATCTCCAATGCGATGCCGAGGGCCTTCCGCCGAACGTCGATATCCGGGCTGGAAAGGACGCGTAGAATTTCCATTGTGAGATCCTCCAAGACACCTTCGTTGCGGATCCTCAGCTGGTCAACCCGATCAAGAACAATGAGCTTCACATTATTGTCGGCCTCTCTGATGCATAACTCGATCAACTTTTGGGCAGCTGCCTTAACGGCCACTGGGTTGCTGGTAAGAGCAGTAAGGGATGTTGCAGCTTCGTAAATCACGGTACTGGTTGAAGCGTCTAGGAGATCGAAGATCAATTTCAGGTACCTCGCCTGCCGGTAGTTAGCAGCCTGTAGCATCCTTCTGCTCTTCGACGACCCACCTTGTTCTGAGCGTTCTGCACCGCATCTTTCCTGATAAATTCGAGCTCCGCCAGCTGAAGTAGTTCATCCGTATTGGGAATACTATCGAATGTAGAGGCCAAGTACTCTAGGGCTTTCTGATGACTGATGGACATGAGAGCCGCGAAAGCATTGCGCTTGCACGTGCCGTCAGTCTCGGTGTCGAGGAACGTCTGGATGAGTTCAGGCGCATCGGGAATAAGAGCTTCCGAATGTTGGAAAATAGAAGCAACAGCCCACACGGCGTTCTTTCTCACATAGGCATGACGGTGTTCCAAGCATGAGCGGGCTGACGAAAGGAGGGGTTCAATGAGTTCCGGTTCTCGGAGCTTGCACAGAAAACGAAGGGTGTTGCCTCGAATATATTCGTTGGGGTGCTGAAGGTCATTGCGAATACCGTTGCTGCGTAGATGAATGTATATTAGAGCAGCCACCCACTAACGGCCGAATGGAATGCCTTACCAAACCAGGATCATCTCCTGCTTCAACTTGCCATTCGCATCGAGCTTCGGGCAGATTTCGTAGTAGAAGTACAGCAGTTTCTTGAGAGGTTTGCTCTTCGAAGGCATCACAAATCGAATAATGTGCATCAACAGCTGGGCCATTGGATCTCCATTGAGCATGATCGTGATGATCGTCCTCATCGTCTCCTGCTTAGTTTCATCATTGCCCTTCTCCAACTGCAATTTCAGGTCCTGTATGGAAGGCTGATCAGCCGTGTTGTCCAGATGGACAAGACTGTATGCATTTTCTAAAAACGACGCCATGGTGACGAGGGTTTGTAAAATTGAGCGGCCGTGGCAGGAATGGGATAAGGAGGGAGGAGAGCTAAATGTGGTCAGTACAACAGACTATTGTTATTGATTGGATCCTTCAGGGGAGGCGGGCAGGGAGAAGTACCGGAACTACTCTCCTCAAATGTATGAAGCAAGCGGAAGGAAGGAAATTAAAAAAGCAATTCGACTCCCCTCACCAGCCTTGCATTCACCAGTATGTAATGTTGATCTGAGAATCAACGTTGTCCATTTGCGCGGCGGAGAGCGCAAGCTGTCCGGAGTGTGTGGATGACTAAGCCCCCATCCCGTGCAAAGGCCCAACTCGACCCAGGCACCGGCCGCACCTAATTTACAGCCAACGACTTGTATTGTCTGCCGCAGCTGTCCCTGGTGGAGAGAGCTTGGAGAAGATGTCGACACAAAATCAGAACGAACCCTTCTATCTTCGCTACTAGTAAGAACTGGATTCTCGTTAGCCCAGGTTTCCTCAGCTGCTGACAGTCCCGCAGCTCAGGTCACTCTGGGCGGTTCGGACATGAATTCTTAGGTTGGTTTGCTATGACATACTGGCTCGCTATTCAGGTACTAATTATTACTAGAATTTGATTTCCGTACCCTTGGTGATGGTCGCAGTGCCGCCGTGCGGTACGCAAACAACTCCAACTATCGCAATGACTCGCTTATCCGCAAAGAAAGTGAGCGCCAGGGAAAGAACTCGTCGTGAGAAACTACATTGTCGCTAATGGGAATGCTATAGTGTGTGTGAGCTCGTCGATGATTCAGGAGATCAAGCGGATTATTAGGGAGAGCGAGATCATCAAGTATGTGATAGGTTACTATGTTTAAACCTGAAATGGGATGTTAATGCGAAACAGGGAGGACGATTCCAAGTGGCCCCAGAAGAACAAGGACGGACGACAGGAACTCGAAATCAGACTTGGAAATGAACATATCTCCTTTGAAGTACGTTTCTAGCCCCGGAGTGTTTGGCAGCAAAGGCACAATTGTTAACATACACGGCCTTGCGCAGACCGCGAAAATCGGTTCGCTGGTGGATGTGACCGAGTCCGCAGACCCAGAAGGTCTTCGGGTTTTCTACTACCTTGTCCAGGATCTCAAAGCTTTCATTTTCTCTCTTATTTCTCTTCATTTCAAGGTAATACCAGATTCTCTGAAGTTCGAGGACACCGCTCTGACCGTGATTTTCCGCCTCGCAGATCAAGCCTATCTAAACCGGTACTTCACAAATGACATGGGGCTGTTCAATTGAGGATCAAAATAGGGCGTTTTGGATGATGAGGCAAATTAAAGCTCGAGAGTCAATTTCGCAATACATATACAACGGGCAGTGATGACGCAATGTTATAGCTGGCCACAGATTTCTACCAAGTGTGTAGCAGAGAAATAAATACCCATCTGATGACCTGATGAACTATGTGTAATTGTGATCGTTGAGTAATTGTATAGTTTTGTATAAAGAAGAATGAAAAAAATAAAAATAAAATAAAAAATAAGGGAGAAAAACAAAGAATTTCAATCAAAGGGGTGGAATGGAATTGTAGACCGTAAGCCAATAATGGAAATAGGAATGAATGCCTGGCGGTGACCTGAAGGCCAAGGCCCGCCAGGAATTATCCGCCCCAAGCGCTTGGTTTGCCTCCCCCGCGCTCGCATGATCAGCGGGCTTATCCCTTTTGGGAAGTGCGTCTTCCGCCCCAGACTTCATGAGTCGAATGGACTTCCATTCACAACCCCTTTCACATCAAACCTTCTCTTTCATCTCTTCTTAGTATTTCTCTCGCATTGTACTTACACATAGCTGGCCTGTTTTTCTTGTCCTGTCGTGTGAGACCCTTCTACCAGCCGGATCCGATGTCATTCCTTTTCTGATTCGCCTCAATGCCGACCCCGAGTGACAACACACCAAGCCTGAATGCCACATCGATCTCTGAAGAAATCTCCACTCGGACAACATGTCCGCCTGAAATAGAGAGGCTGTCGTCCTGGCGAGACTCACCTGAATCTACCGTGGCGGAGGGCGATGCTCCCGATAATGCCCTCTCCCCCACCATTGCCTCGGCGCAGTCCGTGCTGACTCGGTCGGATGATGTTGCTATAACTCGTTCAAATCCGGATGCATTAAAGGCCAGTGCTGTGCCTGGAACCTCTGCCAAGAGCATGGAAAAATCCGACGAAGATGCTGCTGCGGGAAGATTGAGTCCTGCTGGGGAACCGCCACGCTCCTCCAACCAGCCGTCTTCTGTTACTACACCTTCCACTAGTGCGCTTTTGAGTTATGAATTCTCAAATATACGGGTATGCGACAATCGGAATTATGTCTTGGTCTGGTTCTTGTACTGACAATTGAAGCTTTTGCCTAATTACACATCGTCCTTTCTGCGACCCGGTAGTAAATTCACTGGCACGCAGCAGTCAGACCGTCAGATATACAATGTTGATGTAGAGATCAAGCATGTTGATATGGTTGAATCGTATCTTTGTGGTTATCTTAGAATTCAAGGTCAGTACCGTATCCCCACAGGATTACGACTACCCTAGATGGTCGAGCCTGACCAATTGCGCTTTATATGCAGGTCTCACGGAGGATCATCCCACCCTTACTACGTTTTTCGAGGGAGAGATTATCGGAACAAAACACACATTCAAGACTAGAAATGAAGCATGGGGCGCTACGGAGAAGACCGATATGCATCACTGGGCGAGATTTCCAGCTTGGAGGCCGTTAGCTAAGCAGGCAAAAAGACCGGATTTCACGTACCGCAACTTCGCTCAACGCGAACATATCTTCATGCGATGGAAGGAGTACTTCCTTGTACCCGACCATCGTGTAAGGACAATTTCAGGCGCAAGCTTCGAGGGCTTCTACTACATCTGTTTCAACCAGGTGGAAGGGACCGTGACTGGTATATACTTCCATGCAAAGAGCGAGAAGTATGTGTCCCAATTACTAGTAAAACTTCCCCTTAATTTTCCGATACTGATAAATTAGTTTCAATAGGTACCAGCAGCTGGAGCTCAAACACGTTCCGGATCACGGTTGCACCCCTGCTATTGAATTTCGTTGATACCAATTTCTATGGCGCGGGACAACGTTCTGGTCATCAAGTCCCTCGGCCTTTACCTTCTACGTTTTTAATTGCCTCTATTGCCTCCTTCTAATTCTCTCCACTAGTTCCTGCCTGTGATAAAATCCACGGTGTGGTGCTCCCAAAGCACAGGAATGCTTGTTTTCTACCCTCCCGCTCCCTACATCAGACACTTGATTCATGGTTTTACGATGGCTGTTTTCTTAAATTGGCGTCCGCGTTGGTTCTAGGGTTCTAACTATCACCCCATCTTGTGTTTCTTCCTTCCATCTTCTTGGTCTTTGTCTTTTATTCTCGATTCACACTGGGGCCATTGTGTGCGAATAGGTAGCGTTATCTGAAGGATCTCGGTTCAACACGTTTGGGCTATTTGTCACATTTCATTCATTTTCCTCGGACCTGAATAGTAGTCATATTCTATCCTTTGCTGATCATATATGCATATACGAGTGTATACACCGAAACAGATATCCCGCCATCATGTTGACCTTCGTTGACTCAGCATGGTGTGAGAGGAAGGTATCTAGATTTACCTTTGAAGTTTATTTCAGTTTCATGCCAGTTTTTTTTTTTTTTTTTTTTTTTTTTAAAGCACGCTGAGACTAGAGGTTGAGAATATGTTGCTAACGTAGTAGACTGGGGGTTCATTTATGGGATATGCGAAACATGGAGATGCAGACTAAGATCAAATTGAGCTTTGTGTATGGCAGACCCGTAACACCATGCCTAGAACCAAGTAGAAGAAACCGGCGCTAAAAAAAAAAAAGGAACACATCACACGTTAAGGATTGGCGGGAAGAACATGCTTTAGTCATTGTATAAGGGGTATCAAGCGCAATTTGTTGATGTGATGAGGGGACAGTTTTGTGATCATGTGCGAAACTTTTCGGGCGAAGATAGAAAAGGGTAAGGAAAGAGAGTGAGACGAAAAGTTCTTTAGGAACAAAGAGTGGGTTAAAATGTACATCTAATTGAAAGTAACGAGGGATGAAAGATCACATATAGCTGGAATTCTGACGGCTGCCCGAGGCGGAACTGCTTATGCTGCCACTGTGGTCACTGTTAGGGGTTGGTGGTTCAAGTACGACCTGCTGTCTGATGGAGACTATCCATTCGTGCTGCAGTAATTCTGCTGCAGTAGGTCTCTTCAAAGGATCGCATTCGAAGCACCGGCGGACAAAATCGATGCCCATGTCACTGAGTTGATCATGGGTCGGTAACTGGGGCTGATTTCCTTGGGCAATGTTGTACATGATGGCCCATTCGTTGTCCAAGGCGGACCAGGGACGACGACCAGTCGCCATCTCTAAGATTACACATCCCAAGGACCAAATATCAACGGCCCCTTGGCGGTGGATCAGCTTGTTAGAGTCGCCGCGAATCACTTCGGGTGACATGTACATTGGTGTTCCAGTCATTGTTTTCTGGTTCTTGCCCCTTTGGTTCGCAATCTGGGCATCTTTCGGCACTATTGCCTCCTTATGACCCGCTGAGGTGAACGCGTCCATGGGAACAACAGTCCTGCCTTGGCGAGCAATAATCTTGGCCGCACCAAAGTCAACATATTTAATAATGCCGTTATGGTCTAGCAGGATATTCTCCGGCTTAATATCCCTATGGACAATACCAGCCTGGTGCAGATATGCCAATCCTTCCAGGAGCTGGAGGGCATAGACCATAATGACAGTTTCGTCCTCAACACGGCCGTGCTCAAGCAAGCTAGCAAGGGACCCACCCGAGCAATACTCCATGAAAATATAGACTTTGTCGCGGTGAACTTCGATGCCGTGGTATGAAACGATATTGGGGTGGTCCAACACCTCGAGAACGCCCATCTCGTCGCGGATCTGCTGGGCAATTTTGGGGATGAGCTGAGGATCTTGCAGTCGAATTTCCTTGACTGCCATGAGATAATTGCTATCGAGGTTGATGGCGGCATAAACCGAGCCGAATGTTCCACCGCCGATGAATTGGCCTTGTTGCCATCGAAGAGTGACATTGGTGGCAGACGATGACAACACGGCGAGAGATCTGTCGGCTTCATTAGATCCTTCCAGCACTCTTCCTAGGGCCTGGCGTTTCGCATCTTCTTCCACCCTTCGGTCTTCAATATCTTCTAGGTGGGTTAGACGTTGCTCACGAACAAGCTTAGTCGCTTCTGCATCTGTCAGAATCCGACCGGAGCCAAATTTCCTTCCGCCTGCACGCTCCTCCATGCGCTGCTTTTCGGCCTGAGCTGCACGTGAAGACCGAGCACCCATGATATCGAAATGAGATATAAGAAGCGACATGCACCCGGCTACCTTCTGCCTCAAGAGAGCAAATTGAATATCATCCATGGACAGAAGATGCCTGCTGGAGGTTATAGCCATTGCGAACTCCAACGCTGATACAGCCCACTTGAAAGTTTTTCTATCAGCGGCGTCACAATCATCACAAATGAAAGATACCCAGTCGAGTGACAACTCTACGAGTCTGGCGCTATTCATTGCACGCCTGTTCGGATCAACATTAGACGAGCGCTTGCCGAATTCAGTAGCAAAGGCGTAGCACGCCTGAATGAGATCGTGGTTTTCCACCCCCCTTTCTTTCAGTTGATTTCTGATAATCGCTACACTATCCATGATAGTCATAGACAGCTTGAACGAGATCTTCTTGATCTTGTTCAGTTCCACATTCACTCGTCCAAGATTTGCGCGTTGTTCGATGGTCATGTCAAGCTGCATTCCAGTCAACTGAGACAGTTCCTGTCTTGCATTAGACAGGCGTTGTTGTGTGCCCTCAACGACGAGACGCAGTTTGCCCAGCCGTAGGTCGGTAGGTTGCTCCAACAGGCCAACCTGCATTTCTTTGCCAGCCCAGTTCAGAGGCTTCTCCGGACGAATTACGAGGATATATGGCACATGAGGCGAGTCTTTGGGGACATCCTCCTCACGAAAAGACGTTCCTAAGATAGCTCGAATATCGCCGGGGCGATTCCACAACGCATGATGCGCAAATAGATACACCCCTTTTTGCCCAGTAGATGCATTTGACTTGATCAGGAAGTGGTCCGAGATCAGAAGCGACTCAAAGAATTCATAGGAAGCGTCTGCCGGAATATTGTATTCTGTAGCATTCTCGAAGAGCTGTCGAAGGAAACGGGAGAAACGGTATAGCTTTCGTTGGCGAATCCGGGTTGAATCCAGGACGCTCTTGTAACGTTTGTCCATGTCGGCCGGGTCCTCATTTTGGCGAGTTACCAGTTCTCGTTCAAAATGGATCATCAAGCGTTGGAGGGATTTTGCGGTCAATGCACTATTTGCTTGTCAGTTACAAGGACACACATGTACACTACGAATTAGGTGCTATACCTGAACTGTTCGGCCACTTCGATATCTCCACCTTCAAGTTGACGACCAATGTGATTGGAGAATTCCCAATCTTGTTCGAGAATCTCTGCTTCTTTGAATGTGTTTTTATTCGCATTTAGTTTCCAATTCAGGAGCCGGAAGTAATACTTCAAGGCATCTAGAACGACCGAGTCGAAATTCTCGTCAATGCAAGGGGGCAGGTCCCAGCCCGGTTCTGGTTTCGCGATATCCAAATAGCGTTGCTTGAGGTCGACCGCAACCCTCATCAGAATCTGAAATTGCGAAATCATTTGGTCAACCAAGATAGGAGATTGCTGTGCAGGGTCCCTCATATTTTTAGCATAAGATAGTCGGACACGGATGATTTCTTGTATGAGACGCGATGGGAAATTGATCAAGGTGAGAAGTTCCTCGATGTAGGGAGGCAAGTGCCGTTTGGCGAAAGAGTTTGCATTTTCAATCAAGGTATTTTTAGCTTTCTGAATGACTTCACTGACGCCATGAAGCATATTGTGCTTCCCTTGAAGGGTCTTCAGGCCGTCCTCTTTCATGATGCGGTCGAGGAATGACGACTCGTCGGTAAGGTCCCTGTTGACAGACTTGGCTCGCACCTTGCTAAAGTCAAGCTCATCGTTACCGACCCACTTCTGTAAGATGGCAAGCTCGGTATTGATAAGAATTGTAGTGTTATGCCATGCCAGCACAGCTTCACGACTAGAGATAAACTCTTCCGAGGCGACGCGGGGATGGGCGGCTTCCAGTTCCTTTTGTGTTGAGTAGAGCATTTCACATTGCTCAATCTGTGCGACGATGTCCTCAACTTGCTTGATTGGTGGCTTACCAATCTCCGTTTCACCCTTGATCTCAAACTTGATGATCTCCTCAATTATCGGCCCAAGACCAGAACGGGCCTCCTCGATCAATTTCCGCTGCATGGCAATACTCCGCCCACATGTCCTGGCCCTGACTCCCAGCCATATTGCGTTATTTTGCGCCGACGACCGCTTCGTGTCGGTGGACCCTAGAAGTCGTTGCTTTTCCTGCTTCACCACGTCTCCCTTCAAGACCGAAGCCAGCATAGAATGCCATTCGAGTCTTTCCTGGTTCTTCGGATTCTTCAGCTCCTCCAGGGTTGGTTGGTTATCATCCGTTAGAAAAAGTTGAATATCGGGGTCGTAAGCATCGTCTTCAAATGGCACCTCTGACGACGGGGACGGTTCTTCTAAGTCGGAATCACCGACTATGCTCATATTTTGGGCCTCATCAAAGTGGCTGTACCACGCCTGGGGATCCGCACGAATCCTCTGAACATATGCCTTCTCCTGGGCTCTGTACTGAGCGTTGGGATCCCGTCTGGTGTTCCGTTTCGTCGAGGAGGATCTCTGGCGGTCATTCTGGAAGCTGATGTATTGGGGTGGACGGCGCTGGGGGGCGTAGGTATTGGAAGGTGTCCTGGCGGGACCTGCGGGACGTTGAGGCCTCACATCCGACACTGGGAGACCGTCGGCGGACGGCGCCTTTTCAAGCACAGCTGGAGTGCCAACACTGGAGCCGCGTGGACGCGAGGTTGTGGAGCTAACCCAGGATGGAAGACCCGAAGGAGGCGGCGAGGAGGAAATTGTGCTAGCTGGCGTTTGTACTTGGCCATCAAACGAGTCTGTGAAATTCGAGTTCGATCTGGCGTAGGATTGTTGGAGAAGCTCATCGGATGACCCTGAGCCATCCGAGTCATTGTTGTTCATGTCAGGGTGCTCCATGGTCTCCGATCCACAATCCTGATGAGCCTCCACGTTTCGCATGGACTGGACGGCGGAGTTGATGAGGAGGAGCTCATGGTGGATTAGATAGGGGTCTGTGGCGGTGCATGTTCTATCAAACTGTGGCGGCGTCCGTGAATTGATTACTAATCACCATGAGTACTTTTGCGACAGGTACGTTCGACAGAGTACAGGACAGCAACGCATTTATCTTACTTGTGCTGCAGAGAACTTATTCATTATATGCATCAAACTGTATAGATACTCCAATTAGGGGGAGTGCCCATGCCTCTGATTGTCCTGCACCTATGGAGTACAATACACAGAAGTTTCAATCCTTGGTAAACATTCAGAGTCGATCAAATCCTACAGGAAACTGTCCAGCATGACAAATCCATTGCGTCTGTAGGCCTGAATATATACATAGTACGTTTCAGACTTTGAAGTCAGAGAAAACAAGCTAAAAGATCGATAGTAACATGCATCAAAGGCGATACCATGTTGATCAGTGGGCCCGAACGCTCGATTTAGCGTGTGCGGGTCTCACGATATAAGAAAGCCGTCTGGGATTTGACCTCAGGATGAACATCTGGGGAAGTCTTACCGGTAAGGGTCGCTACTCAAGTCTGATAGTTGCTGTACCATGATTCTTATATTCTCCCAAACAGGTTCACTTATGGGACTGAGCTGAAAGAACTCAACGTTGTTCTCAGGTTATACGCCGTACTTGTCATATTTGGTCCGTCTTTCATCGAGGTATATGCAGCTCCTCCCCAAGCTTTTCGATAGTCGGAGAATGTAAGCAAGGCTCTAGATATCCACAGGTGCCCATGACCTGAACGAGTCAATGGAGAGTGTTTGAATCAGTCAATACTACTACTTCTAGCAGTATTGATGCCAAGGGCTGACGGTGCCAAGGCCGCACTGCGCCTCGGGATGCCGAACGGTCAAGCCCACCTCTGGCCAATGGGAGCTTAAATGCTTATCTCTACTTCATCCTCCATGTCTGTCAGAAAAGTACCTAAACCAGACAGTGGACGTGGGCGGAGTAGCTCGAAAGGAGAGGCAAGGAGACAGGTACCCGGCCCACCAGATATCCATAAAAATCGATGTCCCTTTTTTTTTTTTTTTTTTTTTAAAAAAAAAAAAAAAAAAAAGCAGGCTGAGAGGGTCAAGATGGGTCCCTTAGGGCTCTAGTCAAATGGAGGAGATGATGTTCTTCTTACTTACTCCAAAAGACCCTCTGAATTGTCCAACCGTAGTAAACCGATATCAATGAATTGCATGTTCTTTACAACCCGATATCAGATCTGAGAACGATGATGTCTATCGATAACAGTGCAAGTCAGTGACTGTAATAACAATGTGTGGACGGTACTGAGATGATAAGCCACCACGGCAAGTAATGATTGGCCCCCAGGAGGGTTGATAACGAGCTGATACGAGGCATTCGAGCTAAAGGGAGTTGATGAGACTGTCAGCGACTTCTAGACTGACAAACAAGGCACTCCTCTCAAGAGGGAATTGGGCACGATTCAAGTCCAGTGAAGGCTGTGAAGCACATAATATTCCTATATTGTTATGACATGGACAGAGTGACAGAAGCAACCCGCATGAAGATCACTCACTCCACTCACTGGCGGAATCAACTGACAGCGATACATACATGACTCGAGGTTTATTGATTTTGATTTGAATTGATTTATCTCGTCGTTATCTATCTTGCATATTGTCGAGCTCCTTGATTGGCTGTGACGGTTCCCTATCTCTGTACAGGTCCAATTGAACTTGAAGGCTGAAGCTTCCACACTTTCAATCTGGCACCGAACCTCCAGACTAGTTCTTCTTATTCTTGCCAATCGTGTCCAAGTCCCCGTGGAAATGTTCCTTCGTTCCCCCGTGAGGAGCTTCCGCCGAGATCGCTCCACAAGCCTCTCTCACCCAGAGTATCAGAAAGATTACGGACAACTTGTTAGCAAAAGAGAAATAAATCAATTCAGATTGCCACAGGACTATCTATCGGAAAGTTTCTTATCCACCCCCGGAAGTAATAGTCAGATGAGCACTGGCTCAGAATCCTCCCCATCTGTATCCACTTGCCTGTCTTCGGGACAGTTCTTGGCCTCAGGGCTGGCTCCTTTGATATCGGATGATGCCAATCAGTGATTGATGATAGTCAAGGTGCATCCAATAGTGGACTGGGGCCTGTGTCGAGACGGAAGTATGTGACTGGTACCGCCGACATATTTATGACTCCTGCACCCTGTGCCCCTTGAAGTCATATTTTCCCTCTTATCGCCCCGACGCCACCCATCCTCTTCTCTCTACCTTGGGATCAAGTTTTTACACCTGTCCAATTTTGCTAGAGTTAATCCAACTGGTTGCCTACCGGTCGAGTGTTCCTTCGAGTATCTTCATCAGCTCAGCACATCTCAGCGGACAGGATACTCGCTGTTCAGCGACAGCCACGGTGATCCACCTAAGCCACTCAGTTTCAGATTGCTTTGCGGTATTCGATCCGCGCATCACGATTCGCAATGGCAGAATACCCTGTGGCCTACAATGGGTCGGAAACTGGGACCGGAGGGGACTCCTTGACGGAAGATCTGAACATCTACTACAGCGTTTGTTGCGCCCAGTGAACAGCACTTACGAACGGCTCAACTAACTGCCGTAGTCCGGTGATATCGCATGGGTTATTGTATCGACGGCCCTTGTCTTGCTGATGATTCCTGGAGTCGGGTATGAAAACCCCAGGCCACAAAGTCCAGCCCTACACAAACAAATGCTTTGCTGATCATACAAGGTTCTTTTATTCCGGTCTTGCCCGTCGGAAGTCGGCCCTTTCCTTACTATGGCTATCGATAATGTCTGTCGGAATAGTCTCCTTTCAATGGTTCTTCTGGGGCTACTCTCTCGCTTTCTCTCATACTGCCGGAAAATATATTGGTGACTTGAACAACTTTGGGTTCAAAGGTGTTCTGGGCGCACCGTCTGTTGGCAGCGCCAAGGTCCCAGATCTCCTGTTTGCTGTCTTCCAGGGCATGTTCGCATGTATTACGTGAGTCCCAGAAAAGTCCAGACCTTATTTAACTATCATCACCATACTGACAATCAACCAGTGTGGCGCTCGCAGTTGGTGCTGTCGCAGAGCGTGGCCGCATGCTCCCCTGCATGGTTTTCAGCTTTGTCTGGTCCACCATCATCTACGATCCGATTGCATGCTGGACCTGGAACTCGAGTGGTTGGGTGGCAAACCTTGGTGGTCTTGATTTTGCGGGTGGTACACCCGTTCACATTGCCTCTGGTTGCACTGCATTGGCATATTCGTTGATGCTTGGAAAGCGCCGCGGACACGGCACCCACGAGCTCAACTATCGCCCGCACAACGTAACACATGTGGTCATCGGTACTGTATTCCTCTGGGTCGGATGGTTTGGATTCAATGCCGGCTCCGCCTTGAGCGCCAACCTCCGTGCCGTCATGGCAGCCGTGGTGACCAACCTCGCCGCCGCCGTGGGTGGTGTTACCTGGTGTCTTCTGGACTATCGATTGGAGAGGAAGTGGTCGACTGTGGGTTTCTGCTCCGGTGTGATTGCCGGCTTGGTGGCTATCACCCCCGCGTCGGGCTTTGTCACTCCCTGGGCTTCATTCATTTTCGGTGTCGTGGGAGCCGTCGCTTGCAACTATGCCACGAAACTGAAGTATGTGATCAAAGTTGACGATGCGCTTGACATCTTCGCGGTCCACGGGATCGGAGGTCTGGTAGGCAACCTTCTGACTGGACTTTTCGCTGCGTAAGACGACCCATGTCCTCCGTATGTACAACAGCTAACATCGCTCCAGTGATTACATCGCTCACCTTGATGGTTCTACCACAATCGCCGGCGGCTGGATCAACCACAACTACATCCAGCTAGCTTACCAGCTTGCCGACTCCGTCACCGGAATGGCATACTCGTTCTTCGGAAGCTGCATTCTCCTCTTTATCATCAACATGATCCCGGGTCTCAGCTTGCGTGCCCCCGAAGAAGACGAGATCATGGGCATTGACGACGCCGAGATTGGCGAGTTTGCCGTAAGTCGCTCCTTAGGGTAGAGTATCGATAGAATGGCGTTCAACTGACATGAGAATAGTATGACTACGTCGAGATTACCCGCGATGTCATCAGTGCCGCCAACAGTGAGAACGGCGAAGCTGCTTCCAAGCGTAGCTTGACTCCAACCGGCAACGAGACGGCCATAGAGACCAAGGCTTAGCCGAGCCCTTGCCTACGTTTTGGCCTTGATACCTTTCTCCACATTTTTATTTTCTTTATACTAATCATCGTATCATCGTGCAAGGTTGCAGGGTGGTTGTCACCTTGATAGCCCGCGGAGATACGTTTGTACATACTTATACACCCACTCATTCTTTCCCAGATTTCCTTATTGTCACTTCTTCCCATTTTGCCTTGCTGATTGAGAAAGCAGTACATGCCAATACTGTCTTGTCTCCGAGGCTCCCATCTTCATTTCTGATCTCCCTTTCCTTTCTTTGCAGATACCCTTCTCTACCCTGATGTTGACATATATTTTATTTATTTTCCTTTTTACCAATTTATTCCACTTACCTTTGACTTTCTTCAGTGTGAACTTCAAAATAACCTATCCCAAGAACAACATAATCCAACTCCAAAACGGCGGAATCTCAACCACCTACCCAAAATAAATAAAACAAAGATCAAACCTAAACAAACCAATCATGCCTCTATCAGAAAAAGAAACCAAAGATGTCAAAGTAGAAGTGAACACCCCTCTTGCAGCCCACACGTTATATAAAGCACACGCATATGCGCGCACTCTTGGAAATAATCCAAGCCCCAAACAGGGCCCTACGCCAGCTCTAGCACGCCTTTCAGATGGGAGTCTGGCATCGACATTCTTCCTTATAGTCAACTGTACCTCCTATTACTACCGTCAACGGACTTGGTCTTGGTGTATGATTACCAGTATGAAGGGGTTACTACCGCTTACGTGAGAGCCGAAACAATGATCTTCACACCTATCTCGACTACGCAGAAACGATCTTATTTGCAAGGTCTTACGAAGTCCAGGTAGAGTATCTCAAAAGGACAACGAAACGCAAAATCATTCTTGGTACATAAACACACAAACATTGCTCTAGTCTATCCAGTATCAGCCAGCATGCTGATACCCGTGCGGTATCTACTATATCAAACAGAACAAAAACGCAAATGCAAAACACAAACACAAAGAGAAACACACTTTCCCCGTCTTCACTTCCCGTGTCGGTCTTGTCCCGATCGCAATCAGGAGTGCTGACTGTGGGGCTTAAGAGGAGGGCTCAGCGGAAGGCGTGGGAGAAGGAGAGGCCGAGGGGGTAAGAGAGGGAGAAGCGGAGGGAGAGGCAGAAGGAGAAGGAGACGAAGAAGGCGAAGGAGGGGAAAAGACGATGTTTCCATTGAAGTGGCACTTCTTCCCATTCTGGGAGCCATCAACGTCATGACAATGCCAGTTGGTGTCCTCGGCGGCATCATCGACGGTAAGCGAGAACCCCGAGGTGCCGTTCACCCGCTGGACCTGCAGGGTGAAGGTGGAGATGTCGTCCACACCTTCTGGGAACCGGACGAGGTAGGCGCCGTCACCGGTGCGAGCGTTTGAGGGAGGGTTTCCGGGGCGTTCCCTGGCCATGTATGTTAGTTAGGTCATGGAGGGGAGGGGAGTAAAGCGCACCAGATCACGTTGGCATTGATAGGCGCCTTGTTGTAGTTAGGGTCGCTGAGGCTGAAGGTGACAAATCCCTGCTGGTCATTTTGAGAAGCAGAAAAGGCGCTGATGACGACGTCTTTCTGGGCTCGCTTGCCAGGGACGGCCAGCGCAGTGCCGGCAGCCAGGAGGAGGGTGCCGATAGTGGTGGCCTTCATTTTGGTCGATGATTGAACCTGTCAAATGACGAGGAAGTAGAATATAGAGAGTGAGGACTGGCTAAGTTATTGAGGATTGAGTGACAGACAACAGAGCTGTATTGTTGATGACGGTTATATTCAAGACGAGGATTAGCAGGCTTTTATATCCCAGTGACTCCATGATTACAATCTTCACAATAGCGGCAGAGTACAGATTGTGAGATGCACTCAGCCCATTTTCTGTCTCAGCATGCATATACTAATTCCAAGCTCAAACGGCTGTGGCTGAACCTCGACACTTGTCTCAGGCCTCCCAAAATCAATAGGGACCATCCACGGCCATGTTCAACGACGATCACTCCGAGTACAGCAGCCCTAGTACAGTATAAGTTAGGCTGATGTGAAGCTTTGTGGGTACGTCATCTTAGGCGTCTCACCCTGCAGCCTGGACTAAACCCCTGACGAAAATAAGCATGCTTAATATAGCAGCTCTGCTCAGATGCGATAATGTGAGATTATGGAAGAGCATCAAATGTCCCACTCAGGACTGATAGACTTTCTGCACAGTTGTTGTTGACCTCGTTGGGATAGACGTTCAGAACCAGTGCTCTCTCTTTACTTAATATCCACATTTAAGTGATTTTTAGAGAGCATGATATTGAAAGGCGATTCAAAAATAAGGTTCGGCTAACGGTTCGTCAGCTTCAACACGACGGGGCCAAAAGGACTGGAGGAGAGTAAGCATCAATTTTACCAAAGTCGAATTGATCTTGTAAGTTATGTGTTCCTACATGACTTGATCGATACAAAGCAGCATCGAACCAGGCCCAAAACAGCAACCGCATACCCCGACTAAGAAGGGTTCCTGAATTGGAAAAGGTACCAACTCAAACAGGATCAACTAATCCCAATCCAGTACTGCAAAAGAGAGCACCGGTTCAGCCCTAACAACCCCGCAGACTCAACATTACCAAGCAGTATACTTCGCATTCTCGATGGTTCCGATTCGTATATTCAAGATGGGAATAATTAGTAAACCAAAGTAAAATCTCTGATATTTAGAAGCTGAAGAATCCAGTCCCCAGCATCTGGAAACATGCCATTCTGGCCTTGATTGACCTTCAATATATATAGTCCATACTAACGCTCGCCTTCTACCCTTCATACACCAACGGAAAAAAAAAAAAATAAAATAAAATAAAATAACTAAACCGCCATGCCTTGCCCACCAAGACTCCTCGAGCAGAAAACCCCCGTAAACCCCATCGGCTACGGGGCAATGTCCCTCAGCGCCTATTATACCAACACGCCCGAGTCGGACTCCAAGCGCCTCGCCTTTCTAGATCATATCTACGCCACAGGGCAACGCTTCTGGGATACAGCGAACAATTACGGCGACAATGAGGAATTAATCGGCAAGTGGCTGGCGCTGAATCCTGAGAAACGAAAAGATATAGTCCTGGCAACGAAGTTCGGGCAGGTGGGTGGCGGAGCGGGGAGAAATGATGCAGAGTATGCGCGAGAGTGTTGCGAGAGGAGCTTGCAGAAGCTTCAGACCAGTTATATCGATTTGTACTATGTACATCGGGTCGATACGGCGGTTCCTATTGAGAAGACCGTGCAGGGGCTGGTGGGACTAGTTCGGTGGGCTCCCCTTCTCTCTTTTCTTTTTCGAGGGAGCTGATCGGGACTGATGTTGTATGGTAGAGAAGGGAAAATTCTCCATCTTGGTCTTTCGGAGGTGTCGCCTCAGACTCTTCGGAGAGCTCACGCTGTGCACCCCATTGCCGCGGTACAGATGGAATACAGTCTTTTTGCGTTGGATGTCGAAAAGCCCGAGACTGATCTACTGAGCACCACGAAGGAGCTCGGCGTCGCGCTTGTGGCATATTCACCTCTAAGCCGGGGTCTATTGTCCGGCCGGCTTAAGAGTCCTGACGACCTAGAAGAGGGTGATTTTCGAAAGGGAATACCACGATTCTTTCCAGAAAACTTCCACAAGAACCTGGAGCTGGCTGAAAAGTTGCATGCCATTGCGGCCCGGAAAGGCATAACGGTAGGCCAGTTGGCCCTTGCGTGGTTGTTGGCGCAAGGCGATAATGTCATTCCCATACCAGGGACGAAGAGTATTGACTACTATAATGAGAATATGGGAGCATTGGAGGTGGAGTTGAGTATGGAAGATCTGTGTGAGACTCGAGCAGCAGCGGAAAACGCTGATGTCAGGGGACATCGATATGCAGCGGAGACGTCCCCGAGCTCTTATTTTGTGGATACACCATCATTGTAAAGCAGAGTAATTAACTGATTGTATTTGGTGAATTAGGGCTGTACGAAATACTGCACCAGTTGGTTGCTTTGGAACTATGTGCTGTTTGATTTCAATAGTCTCAAGGCTCTATAGGCCTTTCGAAATTAAAAACAGGAATGTAATTAAAAACGCTCTGACAAAATAATGTAATGACCAAGACCCGTGAGCCAGGCCAGAGCCACAGAGAACATGGACTTATCAAGGGTATTGCTGTCAGATCTCAATCCGGGTCTTTAGTGACTGGAAGATATTTACTCGTGCTCAAGGGGCTCCTCCTCCTCGAGGCTGCAAGCGGGTTAGCACAGATACATAAGAGCAGGGCCAAAGGGAATCACTTACTATTCCTCCTCGCCCTCAGAGATGGAGGCGTCCTGGTACTGCTGGTACTCAGAGACAAGGTCGTTCATGTTGCTCTCAGCCTCAGTGAACTCCATCTCGTCCATACCCTCACCAGTGTACCAATGCAAGAAAGCCTTGCGACGGAACATAGCAGTGAACTGGTCGCCGACACGCTTGAAGAGCTCCTGGATGGAGGTGGAGTTTCCGATGAAGGTGGAGGACATCTTGAGACCACGGGGAGGAATGGAGCACAGGGCGGTCTGGATGTTGTTGGGGATCCACTCAACGAAGTAGGTCTGGTTCTTGCTCTGGATGTTGCGCATCTGGTCCTCAACCTCCTTCATGGAGACCTTTCCGCGGCTAAAAAACAAGGGTCAGTTTTAGAACAAAAGAGGGAAGAACAAATAAAAATAAGGCCACCTACAAGATGGCAGAGCAGGTGAGGTAACGGCCGTTGCGGAAGTCAGAAGCAGCCATCATGTTCTTAGGGTCGAACATCTGCTGGGTCAACTCAGGAACGGAGACGGCACGGAAAGAGTGGGCGCCACGGCTGGTCAGGGGAGCGAAGCCGACCATGAAGAAGTGGAGACGAGGGAAAGGAACCATGTTGACGGCCAACTTGCGAAGATCAGAGTTGAGCTGACCGGGGAAACGGAGACAGGTGGTCACGCCGGACATGACAGCAGAGACCAGGTGGTTCAGGTCACCGTAAGAGGGGTTGGAGAGCTTGAGGGTGCGCATGCAGATGTCATACAGAGCCTCGTTGTCGATACAGAAGGTCTCGTCGGAGTGCTCAACGAGCTGGTGGACGGAAAGAGTGGCGTTGTAAGGCTCAACAACGGTATCGGAGACCTTGGGGGAGGGGACAACGGAGAAGGTGGCCATCATGCGGTCGGGGAACTCCTCACGGATCTTGGAGATCAGGAGAGTACCCATACCGGCACCGGTACCACCACCGAGGGAGTGGGTGATCTGGAAACCCTGGAGGCAGTCGCAACCCTCAGCCTCGCGACGGACAACATCGACAACCTGGTCAACCAATTCGGCACCCTCGGTGTAGTGACCCTTGGCCCAGTTGTTACCAGCACCGGACTGGCCGAAAACGAAGTTGTCGGGACGGAACAGCTGACCGAAGGGACCGGCACGGACGGCGTCCATGGTACCGGGCTCAAGATCGACGAGGACGGCACGAGGGACATACTTGTTTCCGCTGGCCTGGAGAAGCGGTCAGGACTTGCAAAGCGTTTTTATAGCGGCTGAAAAATTTGAGGTACGCACCTCGTTGAAGTAGACGTTCATGCGCTCCAGCTGGAGATCGGAGGAGCCATTGTAACTATCCTTCCTGTCAGACCCATCCGAAACTCTTCCAATGCCATCTGGTCGTCGTTCGTTCGAGGTGTACACGGGTTGTACTTACACACCGGAGCCGTCGAGGCCGTGCTCCCCGGAGATGGTCTGCCTGCAAAGGTATTAGCAAACACGTGTCAGACACGAGAATGATATATCCGAGCTCATGTTTCTGCTGAGGCCCTACGTCCAAAGCATATTGACTCGGGGGCATCGAGACATACCAGAAAGCGGCACCTATTTGGTTACCCTATCACCAATATCACGTTTAGTATCCGTCGCCATGGTCCTCCTAGACATCAAATCATAGTCGAACTTACACACTGACCGGTCTGAAGGTGAACCTATATGATGAAAGAAACTCCGTCAGCAAACTTATATTGTTGGAGAACGGGTGGGGTCCTATCAGGGGGGTATCCCCAATAGAAACGCGTCTGAAGAGGGGAACCGGGGGGTAGGAAGCAACTTACGATCTCACGCATTGTGGAGGGAATATTGACGGTGTTGATATGAAGAGGTGGTTGGAGAGAAGGGTTGCTGGATAGACTGGGGGAGGCAGTCGACAGGTAGTAGGTTAAGAGGAAGAGGAGAAGAGAGAAGGAGGAAAGATGGACTTGAAGTTGAGCGGTGAGGAGCGTCAAGTTGTTCGTTGTGCGGGCGTCAGGGGATCAACAAGTCAACATTGGCTTAGTTTATTTTTTGGGCAGGTAAATAGGGGCTCTTCCCCTATTCCGGTTAGCGCTGTCACGAGACTGCAGGAGCGAACCACAATTGAGTTGGCGGGTTCAAGCCACTGGTCGCCCGCTAGTGCCTTAGTACCAGTAGTACTAGTTTCCTTCCGAGAAATTAGTAGGTTCGGATCTAACTTGAAGTTGCCTGTCAGACACCAACATATGAATCAATTGCGAATTAAATACAATTCTACACTCCCTAGAGTAGGTATAGTACACGGACTTTCTAGAAATGGACTCCACAGCTCAGCACCGGTGGAGGTACCCACGGTTCGCACACAGTACTGGAGGAGGTTCCTGAAGCTGGAGGTGACAGAGCACAGCTGCCACCAGATCGTTGAGTCCTTTATTTGGCCGTGTTCTCCACAGTGTGGGAGCTCTCGAGCCATGTGCCAAATTCATCCAATCGCTGTCTCTCTTCCTCATCCTCGTCGGCATCAAGTCCCCTCTCCGCCAAGTCTTCAAGCGCCGCGCGTTTCTCGTTCGTCTTCTTAAATCGCTCGCTACCATCGGAAATGTAAGCCTCAACGCGGGTGCCTGCGAAAAACCGGCCATCCATGAGCTGTAGGGCACGATCGTTAGCGCTATCCAGACAAGTATTTCCTTGTCCTCCAAGGATGCTGAGCCAATATGCACATACCTTGACGCAGTTTCTTGCAGCCTCTGGGTCATGGAACTTGACACTAACTACTCCATCAATTTCCTTATCGTAAAGGACTACATTTGTCACCTCTCCCAGTTTCGAACACTCATCACGGATGTCCTCCTTGATGTCAAGTATGGCTGCTGGATCATCCTAATGGGATTGTCAGCCGATGCAAGCAGGATACAAAAAGAGGAACAAGGAAGAAAGGCCCGTACATCGAGTTCTTTCAGAGTGAACATATGCTTCAAGATCACGACCTTGTCAAACTTAGAGTTGGTCTCCGGTAAAGCAGATGGGTCGTCATCATCCCAATCGGCAAGTTTGCTATTCCACCACATTAGCAAGACTCTTCTATAATATAACCTTTCATACTTGTAGGTTCCATACTTATTTAATCGCTGGGTCCTTTGAATGATCTTTCTCTTATCCTTCGCGCTGGTCTTGGTCGGTGCTTCTTGTTGGCTTTTGTAAGAGAAATCTGCAAGTTGAACCCGCATAGGCCCCTGCGGCCCTGTTACTCCTAACCTGAAATCCGAGTCATCCAGCATCTGGATCGCAAGGTTGACAGATTCCGGGCGAAAGAACACAACAAGAGCTTCGCCCTTGAATTTTCCATCGTCATCCATGTACATCTTAATCCGTGGGCGGCCGCTGTCGATTTCCTCGGCGATGACGCCACATTTAGAAAAGACATATCGGATTTCTTCAAAGTCAGCATCAAGAGGAATTGACGTAACATAGACCGCTGTGTTCACACGCGGTTTCTTCGATTTTTGGCCGTTTCCCTACGTATAACCCACAACGTTAGTCCCACAGGCTTGCGGCATGACATGACCAAAGATGTATACGCCACTAACCTCGTCTTTGGTAGCTTGCTGCTTGCGCTTCTTCTTGAGTTGCGATGCCGTGACTTCGTCACTGTCATCTACGCCCTGAACCTTATAGGCTTCTTGCTGTTGTCGGAGCAGTTGTTCATCTACCTGGAGAATACCCACGGGCGCGCAAAAGCGGCGCCCACCACGAGATCAGTTTCACGAACCATCCAAAGTCCTTGCAGTCATAGCTATCCCAGCATATTTGCAACGGAAGAAGGTTCTTGGGCGCTGTCAAGCGCAGTCGCAATAGAAAACAACAGCAGAGCAGGATTTCAACAGCCGGGAAAACACAACAGGAATCACCAGCTGGAGAGAAAGCGCGCACACACCGTCGGAATCCATCGCTTCAAAGCCGTATCGTATTCAAACTCCTGGCCATCTTCTGTTTCCAAAATGAACTTGTCGTCTAGTTTCGAGAAGGAAATGCGCGGGTCGCTGTCGAATTCGGACGGGTCCTGAGGGAAGTTGCTCAAGGCACCCTCGGGACTAGGGGATGCCATAGCGGCGGAGACGGGTGTGGGATCACTGGAACGCTGAAAAGTAAAGGCACAAAGGGTCTATACAAATAATTAAGTGACCGTGGGAAGACAAGCAGTAGATCGACGTTCGGAGTTGCGGGGGAGAAACTTTGGTACGCGGGATTGTTGCTATGTAAGCTCGAAGTGACGATGGATAACCAGTGGCATGAGCTGCTGTTATGCTTTCCCATTGGCTGGTATCCCGGGTTGTTGCTTACTAATATAGTACTAGAGAAGCTGCCTTAGGCCTTCTACTTTTGATTGGCAACGTTTAACCCTTGTTAGCCCCAACGTAATCTACCGACGTCACAATTGTTCTGAACTCAGATAAAACTCGAGAAGCGGCAAGAACATCCTTTAAATCCAGGAAAGCCTATGGCAACGGACCCACGGGACATACTCGAGGCGATTGTCACGTGAAGGACTTCCTTGTACAGCTCGGTGGCACGGTGACTTGGACGCAGTTTCTAGACCTCATACAAAGAGCCAAGGGTCACCATATGCGGGGTATAGGTGTTACTGAAATAGAAGAGGTTATGATCGGTGCCCGAGCATTCTCGCAACGACCTGAGCGCATCACTTTGCCTAGTCCACGTATATACCGCTTTCAGCTGCATGCATACAGCGTGTAAATGGAAAAAGATCCGACCTATAGCCCTACCGTAGCCACTACTACTATCTACTACTAGTCCCTGGACACGAATGTACCAAGGATAGCAAATAAAATGGATGCATAACACGTAGAGAATCCTCTCACCCTCTGCTCCCATATTTTGGACCTTTATTGATTCATCCCGTTGTACATATACTCGCGCACTGACTGGGCAACCCCTTGCATCATGGTGCAGTGCCACTTCCTACCTAACCCCACCTTGATTCGAACAACCATCAACACTAACCATCAACCAATATGTCCGAGAACTTTGATTTAGATAAAGACCTGGAGATATCGGGTATTGTCGTGGCGGGGCACATCGGCGACAAACTCGTTTCGGATGTTCGGCAGGAGTTGGAGAAGAAACGGAAGACTATACAGCCACGGAGCCGACAGATCCAGCTACACTGGAACGCCGAATGCGATGCCGTGATGTTCTACTTTGACATTGTAAGAGAGTGTAGATCATTTGCCCGCGGCTAAGTCTAACTCCGAATTCAGGTAATCAAGCCGTCCATCGCAATTCTAGAAGATAGGCCGTGCTTGAACCGATGGTTCGTTCAATACCATGATCGTCCGAAGGGAACGTCGATCTACAAGCCCCGGGTTGAGAAAGGCACTTACAACGTCCTGATCGTCATTGAACCAGGGGCGGGCCTTCCCCGGTTCTATGAGGGCTCGCATGTGGAGAGCGAGAACGAGGCGATGGCACCCGCCGTTAGTACCTATGCTGTGGAGGTTCCCCAGCAAAAAGGAGCGGTGGTTGTCTTTGAGGCAACGCTAGGGCGTCGAGATTCCGCAGTGGAGGGTATCGGAGCGTCCTGCATCATGTTGGTATATTGAGACATGCCAACTGCAGCCGCAGAATCCCAATTCATTTTCTGAAACATACTGTATTTACAACCATATACTTGCAGGAACATCGCAATAGAAAACCCAAGACTCAGGTCTACATACGTTAGGCTGTCCCTCAATGATGAGGAGGGCTCTCGCGAAACCAATTAAGGCAATGCTGTCGTACAATCATAGAGTAGCGTGGTTGCTGATGAGCTCGAGGACAGTTCCAGGACGGCGTTATGCATTGTTCTGTTCTCTACATTGGCTGCTGCGAACCCACGCTTTCTGATTGCTCTGCGAATATGGCCCCTGAAACCAGTCATGACCATAGGATAACATGGCTCCCCATTCGTTGATACACAAGGGGATGAGGTTGGTACGTAGGACAGTGTGGCGAACATTCAATGTTCGACTCCATCGGCCCACCAAAAGCATTCTCATGTTCGAATCGCCGTTCTTTTGGACAATGTAAGGGGTCTGTTTATTGCCAAACATCCGAAACTTGACAATGAGCGCAAACAACCGAGACCAGCATCCTGAAAGAAATCTGGGGATGCGAATTTTTCTGAGTCTGAACCCGATCTGCGGTTCCTTTCTCGATAACTGAATATTGCGAAGTCCTTCCGTGGCATATTGATAGTGGCTTGGGAATTCTCGTGCAGAAGTATAAGTACTATTGAATCCGCCCTATCCCTGTCATGCCCCTGGGAAAGTATGTTGCTGTCTATCTGGCGCGCAACTTCATATATTGCAAATTATGCACAGACAGCACAAAATAGATGAACAGGACTCTTCATAATCTCTTTCTAAGTGTTTTTTAGAAGCTGTGAATGGAAGGGGAACTGTATACCCTTCAATGTTGTGTACTGATTTCGTAAAAGCGGCGGCACTTGTAATATATTGGGAAATGACAAGTTGCAACAACCAACAGACAAGAGTACCTTTGTTTTTTATGTAGAACCTCAATCAAAATTCATCTTACAAAGCTATCCACATTATTTACCATGGTTTATGGCAAGACTTTCACGGCCAGTTTGATAATGTCACTATTGGGAAAGCAGGGGAATAATCTCGACCAGCTTCTTAACCGACCACGCCCATTAGCCTGGCAGCAATTTATGCAGCAGTCATGCATCTTCTTGCACGCAAGCTTTCCACTTAGCAGAGCACAATTGCTGCCCAACCAGTCAAAGACCCTGTCTCAGTTGTCTGCATTTCCGACGCCCATAATTGCCAACCTTCTCTCGCCGAGGGCGACATTCTTATCCACGCAGGGGACCTGAGTCCTGACTCAGTCAGGGTCAATAAAAGAACTACAGACGACACTTGACTGGCTACACGCACAGCCGCATACAACCATTGCCTCACTTATGATACCCAGGCTACCCCACAGGAGACCATGCCTGGGGTTCTACCACCAGTTAAAGCAGCAAAGAAGCCAAAGAGCAGATCGTTCCGGGTAAAGGTCTATGGGATAAGGAACTTCGCGTGCCTTCCAGGGCAACCGATTGGAGAAGAACTCTAGCTCTGTACGCAGACCTTGGGTGAGTTCAATACGAAGGACTGATACATGCGGACGCATCCCTAAGACAGGACCGTGAAATTGCTTGTGGAAGGTTGAGGCGGTCGTAAAAGATATACGTCCTGTGACTGGAAACTATCAAAGGATAGTATATGAGAAGTGGAGGGAAGACGTCCAGTGGTGTTTGTCTTGGGTTTATTATCGCTTTACTAACGATATTTGTATTCTTGTGCCCTTTAGTGCATTGATGAATGTAAACCGGGTATACGAAATTGGCCTCGGGGAAGGACAGGGAGGTCAAGGCGTGACTCAGTAGTTCTATTGGCTTAGGCATATCGTGATGAAGAATCTCATATCCCGAAATCATGCATAATCTAATAGCTCATGGAATAGAATAAAGTAGACTCATTGAGTACCATAGCTTTAGTACACAACAACGAATTGGGTCGTAGGCCTTCTCTCGCAAAATGAAGTTATCCTTTTTCTCTCACTAGCTGGGCCATATCTTACCCCAGTAGATCCGGCTTTGCAAATGGCACGGCAAGGAACAGATTTCTCACAGTAGCAGTGTATACCGTCCGTGCTCATGCTTAAATAAACGGACATTGGCCCGTTCGTGAACCTTTCAAGCCCTGGACGTACTCCTCTAGAGATGTTCGACCTTTGCCTTCGAAGTACTTGGGTCCTACATCAGGTGGATAGTAGCCCCGGGGGTAATACTTATCACCTTCATCGCCTGGAAGAGGCCGACCCATAGCCCAGGTAAGCCAGGCGACAGGGCCCCAGCGGTTCCGGAAAGTAGGCGCGACGTAATAGGGTGCCGCATCCCACTGGGTGATGAAAATGCGGTCATCCTGGTTCGGCTGCTCACTGTAGGAAGTATAACGGAGGAAATAAGGCCGGGGGAGCGACAGGTAACGCAACACAAAGCGGCGGATGGACAGAAGCGACGAGAACAGTTTGGCATATGATGCCGGGGGAGTGTCGTACCTAACCCCAGGTTAATCATTACACGCGGCAACTGTCTTCGGGTTGTACTTACAACATCGCGCGTCGGAGGCGGTCATCCATCATGAACGAAACGAAGTACAGTCCGATGTGCTGGAACGGCTTCGGGACCATGTACAGTAGCACAGCCGTAGTCTGGTCCGCGGTCTCCCGGTTCGTGGCATTGGGAACCATGTGCTTTGCCTCGTACGCTTCACTCCAGGCCGTGATCTCCTCCAGCCAGTGGAGGCCATCGCGGAATCCTGTCTTATGCGATGGGAAGGCCTCGTAACTGATTGCGAGACCATCGCCGACGCTCTTCCAGAACGTGCCGATAGCGCATTTCTCGAGCTCGGTCAGCTTTCGCCATTCGAACCTCTCAATGAACCGGATGGGTTGGAGGGCAAACAGGCCAAGCGTGTAGAGCATATCATTCTCGGAGATCTTTCCCGAGCTGCGATAGCTATTGTGGAGCCAGCGGGTTCGAGCGAGCGCAGTGATAGTTCGTTTAGACGATGGGGCGTTGCCTATAAACTCCTGGACCAAGGCGCTTGTATCGGCGTAGCGCTTGTAAGATGTCTCCGGATTCGAGAATTGGCTGGTCTTGGTGAGCAGCCCGGAGATGCTGGGGATTCCGTAGGTCTTCACTGGGCCAATTTAGGTTACCAGACGGTCCACAAAAAAGTATAAAAAAAGATGAAGAAAGGAGCCGCACCCTGAAGAGAGCAAATTGAAGTGCTTTAATATAGATGAACGGAAATTCCAGCTGCAAAAGCACTTTCTGGATTTCCCAGGCTTCGTCGTCGGTCATTTTAGCCAGGGATGCCCGGTTGGGGAACTTGAACTTTTGGTGTACCCATTGTACGCGGCGAAATCGGAGCAACGAGACCAGGAATGGATATGCTACCAGGATTGCGAGGACATATGGAAGAAGCTGGCCAGGAACAATGTCTAGAATTGCTTGCGGGGCAGCATTGCTAATGTTAATGCCGGCCGTGACGGGCTGGCTCTGGTTTCCCATCGCTCCGCCAAATGTCAACAAATCTGTATACTGTGAAGTCTAGATCGGCTGGCTAATGGGGGTATGAACCATGTACACCAGAAGTCAGAGGCCTCAAACCACAACAAGCCGGTCCGATAGCGAGTACTAGACCTAGTAGTTAAATATGATCTTATAGGCGAGGGTCCGAGGGATGCGGAGGAGCAAAGTTGCAAACACGGTCACCGGATCTCTTGCATGGAAATTCGGGTTCAGCTCGCCAAGAGTTTAGCTTGACAAATAGTTTATTTTTTATAGAATCTGTGCATAAAATATGTTCGTCCATTTATCCTTATGATTCAAACAAAGTAGACCAAGAGTAATAGCACGTCGACTATTGGTCAACATTGTTCTGGACAGTGTTCCAATATTTTTTCTCCGTATTTCAAACCGAGGTTCTCCTCCGCCATTACTCAGGATTGATTGACAGCCTGGATATTTCCCCACAACCTAAATATTCCTGCCGAGTATCGAAGGACCTCGGGCACGGACATACGGAGTAGTGAGGGGGGAAGGAAAATAATTAATACCATGGCTTTATTCCACTCTGAAACCCTCTCGCTCGATCCTAGTATCGTTTGGATCAAGAACTCATCGTCCCCACTATCTTGGACAAGATTGTAGAATACCCCATGGCGTCTTAGCAGATGGACAAGAACAACGACCTTTGGATCCTGGACCAGTATTCGTGCCAAACAGAGGAGTTGCTGTTGGCCTTGCGATATGTTTGCGCCCCCAGCGCTGATAGGCGAGTCCAGAGTCAATGCAGCGGATCTTGCTCCCTTGCTGTCTCCCACCGTCAATAACTTAACACGCCGCAACACACCTTCCAGTATCTCTTCTGAGGCCCGGTGGAAATAGTCGAGATTGGACCGTACTGTACCAGAAAATAGAATAGGATCTTCTGGTACAAATGCGATTTTCGCTCTACGCTAAACTAGACCCTTGTTTGACTCCAACCCTCGGAGACTTGCAGAGCAAGAGTGAGAGCAGATAGTACTGATCCTCTAAGACCAGCCGTGTAGACCGCCGCACGGTCCTGTATCCCATATAACCATAGGCTGTGCAATATGAGAACAGGCTACAGAGTGAATTAATGACAGCTAAATCGAAGCAGGACGTTTACCTACCCAACAGAGCGCACTCCAGCGGAGCGAAGAGAACCAATTTCCGGATAGGACCCAGTTGCATTGCCCGTTAACCACCGAGGCGCCAAAGCCAGCACCGGCTAATAGAGAGGTGAGGAACAACAGTCTCTGCATCCTTGTTTGATAAACTGCCTCAGAGTATTCCGAGGCGATCCCATCCCTGTCCGAGTACATCTCTGATGTGCGTTAATGGAGGGGATAAAGGTATGCTTTGGGTTGAAAAAGAATTGGGAAACTGTATCAGAATGTCCATTGCGACATGGAGGTCCTGCTATTCAGCACGCTCACTGTCTCATACTCTGGCGGAAGCCCGACCCGAAACTTTAGCTGGTGTTCCCAGTGGATTGACGCTCGGATCCTTGCCACCGTCATCTCATTTCCGACCCCTACAGTATGGCGCAATATGCTTATCGTCACTAGTCATTGGGGCAAAGCTCTGGGTATGCAAGTTTTGTGTCCCTTCGGACGATACCAAGCATTTACCACTCTGCCTCTAAAGTGGCCCCGCAAAGCTTGGTGTACTTGTGCTAAAATTTGCATCCTTCTGTACCGTACATGTTGTATGTACAGACATACTTTTGGTATGTCTGTCGCCATGATACACGTCCCTTGAATCTTGATCACTTGGGTGACGTGCTCTCAGGTTTGCTGCGAAAGATGTATTTATACAGTCCGGGATCAACCGGAGCAGTCAGTGAGTGGCCTGGGGCGCACATGGAGCACTCACGTGTTGCCCTCACTAGTCACTTCCTCTTCTATTGAACTTATAACTTCATCACATATATTCATCTCCTAGTTATGGAATTGAACCACTACAACCGCCGTATGTCGAAGGATCTATGTATCACTCTTCGCTCAGTGGGAGCTCATGATCTATTTGCCAAAACAGCCACAGAAATTAAGATCGGGGACAGCGACATGCTATTATGGAGACGGGTTGCAGGTGAATAGTGATACGAGTTAACACATAGATCCTTCTTATAAGCAAGATAACTGGAATGCATCATATAGCTTTATGAGAAGCAATCATTCCATGTCTTGCCGAATTCTAATTTCTGTCTATCTTCATAGCGAAGAGACAAGCTTCTAACACACAGCTTCCGTCAAGCCGATGGTACCCCGGGTGCGAGCATGACCGGTCATGCGTACGTATATACTGAGTTTGTTGACCGGAGGTCTTACCTTCTTAGAACCATTCGAGCCATCTCATTCAAAATATCTATCCAAGGACTCTGAAGCAAAACACCGCATGTATGACTGATGACCCCAATCTCCGATGGGTAAGTCACCATGAATGCATGTGGATGGCATCCCATGGAGCAACGCTCTTTCATCGGCCAATCACTCTCAATTCCACCATTCTCAGCGCAGGGAAGGCGAAGGCCGTGAAACCGAAACCGAGCCAGATTCCCAAGTCACAGCCTCCAGTGACTGCTTTGCCAATCGGCCCCGTATAGTACACTTGATTCTATCAGGAAAAGAGAACTGGTTAACACTGGTCTTAAGCAGGTGAATCAGGGATATACTATACCATCCCTACAATTGCCCCCGCCCAGCCGACCAAAAAAGCGAGAGCTGCAGCAACTCCTACCGGCAGCTTCTGTCGACAGTTCCATGCGGACCAGTCATAGCCTTTGCTACGTCGAAAGAACAAGTCTTCCTCCGCAACAATAGTGAACCAGATGATGATCCAATAACCAATCAGTGGGAGGAAGCTCTTGAAAATGTCGTATAGGAAATCTCGCCCTCCAATGGCGCATGTCGTGTATATCACTGTCGTAGTAACAGTGAAGACAGGACGCGGGATTTTCGACCATACATTCCCGAGCATCTGGAAATTCATAGCCATTGAATAGGATCCGGGGGCATTACAGGAGACCACCGCCACGACATTGATAAATGCGCAGAATTTGCCAAAGCCACCAAGTCTGCCATAACCAGCCATCAACAGACTCGCCGGCGTACCATCATATATTTCAGCCCACTTTGGGTTTTTCGCCACTCCACTTCCCAGACCAACTCCAAGGAGAAGAGTGATGACCATCGCCAAGCATCCTCCCATCGTGGTCATCGACCATGTTTTCCATCGCCTAATGGTCGGCGGGTAGTAGACATAGTAGTCTGCAGCTACCGGCGCCCATGCGAGAGCTACAGATAAACAAAGGGAGAAGAATGCCAAACGTTTGGCATTGACCTCGTTCGAGGATCCAACCGATGAACTCTGGAAATCAAACTGTGGCCCTGCCGATCCGATGATGATGCAGAATACCAACAACTGCGGGAACCAAGCATATCTGCAAACGTTCGCATTGCTGAGTTAGCACCAGCGAATCTGACAAAGGCAGGCACCAATGCATGGTTCATACCTCTCATAACATTGGAAGATCTGCATTCCAAATGTAGCCATCACCAAGCTTGCAAGTGCGACAACGATGATACCAACGACAACGGACACGGCTCCACCGGATAGTTTTGAGAGTAATTGTCCGCCGATCATACAATTAATCATTCCATAACCCAGGTTTGTAAGCACATTCAGCGAGCAGCACACCTTGCTAGGGTAATACCCCATAAAATATCGGGTGACTATCTATCGACGACAAGTGAGCTGTATGTACTTCTCTTCCTTTCGTAACAGGACAGGGACGGACAGAATTTATACGCAACGGATGAACCATACAAGAGTGCGATTCCCACTTCTGGGTCCCCAGGTGCTCATATACCCGACTGCCATACCTCCCAAAAGATTTCCAAATATTGCGCAAAGAGCAGCATCTGCAAAGCTCAGCTTCATTACCAGCGTGCCTAGTGATCCAACCACTATGTTGTTCAAGGCCATTCCCATGCTAAACCACATAAGCAGCATATGAAGCGATGCTGATGAGCTGGTTTTCAGGCGCTCCTCAAGCGGTATTGGCTCAATCCCACGCGCCTCCAGGCCTTTGATACACCCTGCCCACCTTTGGTACCTCGATCTGTGACCTGCATTAAGGGGAGCCTGATCTTCCAACTCCTCCTGTGTAACACTCTGAAGAGAAGGGGATATACGAGCTTTTTCGGCTTCCGACATCATGCTGGCTTTCTGGACGGGTTGCCACTTGGTAAGAGGAGCCAGGCCTGCCTACTTCTCTGCTCCTTCTCGTGAGAAACAGTAAAGTGAAAGCTTGACCAAGCTACAAGTTGCCGAAAGGAGATAGTCAGGAAAGACGAACAACGTTTCACGGTATCAATAGGGACATAGAGATGTGCAGGAGAAAAAGGAGAAATTTAGGGGAGGAGTATGCTGCTCTCACAGTGCTACTGGGCTGACATCACCCTATCACCTGCCCTACTTGATGCTAGCATTCCACAGCTGGTGTGTACACGGTACCAGGCCCTGCACTTTGACCGCACGGCCCTGTCGTCTACACTCATGAAACAGGCACTCATGATGCAGGGCTTCATAAAAAATAAGTTCAACCCCATCCATCCAAAGAGAAGGAAGGGAGCCCAGCGCCAAACAAGGGCTCGGTATTTTCGGGTTTATCGAAATTCCCGTCACCTCTATGGCCCTCCAGTCAATTTTTTTTAGCTCAAACACCCGGATCGCCTCTATTACATTCAAGCTAATGCGGTACAGATCGCCCTGGTTCCGTGATTTGCCACATCACCATGCCCATTACATTCCATTACTCATATTGGCATTAAGCTCTCCAACAGGGTCGTCTGGTATGCACCAGCCAAGCAAGGAGAGACAGGTAGAAAGATGCAACGTAGCTCAAGGTCCGAAGATCCGGGCAGTTCAGAAAATTCCCGGAGCCCATACTAGCCCACTTGGAAGAAAGTTTGACAAGTATGGATATGATGCTATGATCATCCCTCGAAGCTGAGTTGAGGTAATTTTTTTTGGGCTCTCAACAGGCACCATGAGTCTCTCAGCTCGCCACCATGCTGCCTACCTTTCAGCCTTGTGGTCAATCCAAGGTTAGCCATTACATTTCGACTTTCTTTTTTCTTTTTTTTTT